CCCCCCCCCCCCCCCCCCCCCCCCCCCCCCCCCCCCCCCCCCCCCCCCCCCCCCCCCCCCCCCCCCCCCCCCCCCATGTTAGCTGCGGAGGCCCTAGATGAACCAACCGCCTTGTGCAGCATCAAGGTTGGAGCAATGGCATCCAGTCCAGTCTCGAGTATTCACTCCATCGTGAACCCCTCAACAGCGCAGGAAGACACGGAAGGACTGGATTGATTCGCTGCCCTGAGCTTGTCATCAAGGGGAAGCAGCTTCAGGAATGCTGATACATAATCAATCCGTAGATGATTGTCCCAAGATGCTGCTCCCGTGACATGTCCCACCGCAATCTCCCGCCCCTTTTCCCCCGACAAATCCGCACTATCTGCAGTGCAGCAGTGCAGGTGACAGTGAGGATAATCATAAAATTATTAATCCAGTTGTCTCCGGCGCAGGTGCGTGCGATTCGCTGAACAGTCAGGGACTGACTGGCCTGGACTGGCCTCGAGGTGACGATGCATCAGCAGCATTGACGAACGTGCAACAAATTTCGTAGCCCACTGGCGAATTTCCTCCTTCCTTTCTTTCCCCTTGTTCCCAATCCCATTCCGACCACGCGCGACGAGCACACCTTTCTGACCAAGCGATGAGCAAAGGGTTCCTGGGCCGCCTCTTCGCGCCATCGCGACGACTCTTGGACTCGTTCTACTCGGCCATTCCGGGCGGCAGCAGCGGGAGCGCGCATGACCACGACGATCATCACCACCACCACCACCACCACCACCACAGCCATCAACACCACCATCACCACATGCACCATGGAGAGCGACCCGCCCGGACGTCCCTCGGGCAGTACGCGCGCAGCTTCCGCCACGCCCTCTTCGCGTCCCGCCTCAACATCCTCCTCGTCTTCGTGCCCGCAGGCGTCGTGACGTACCTCACCCAGGCGCCCCCCGTCGCCGTCTTCATCACCAATGCCATCGCCATCATCCCGCTGTCCGCGCTGCTGACGGACGCGACGGAGCGCATCGCGGCGGACGCGGGCGACACCATTGGCGCGCTGCTCAACATCAGCTTGGGCAACTTGGTCGAATTGATTCTCTTGTACGTTTCCTACATGTATCATGTCTCAATACCCCCATGCGCTAACACCTCGACAGCATGTAGGTCTCACTCACTCGTCCAAAAGACACACTCATGCACGTGCTCACCCATTCACGCAGCGTCGCCCTCGCCAATGGACACACGCGCATCGTCGAGGCCTCCATCCTGGGGTCCATCCTCGTCAACATCCTCCTGATCCTGGGGTCCGCCCTCCTCGCCTGCAGCGTTCTCGGCATGGACACCACCTACACCACCGCCGGCACCCAGGTCCTCGGCTCCCTGCTCTTCGTGTCCGTCTTTGCCTTTCTCATGCCCACCGCGTTTGAGTATGCATTCGAATCGGACCCCGACCCCCACACCGACACGCTCGAGATGAGCCGCATCACCGCCTGCGTCGTCCTGGCCATCTACGTCCTCTATGTCGTCCACGAGCTACAGGCGCCTGCCAAGACGGTGGCAGCCCTCCAGATGAAGACCCTCGATCTCGAGGCCAGTAGCAGCAGCAGCGGCGGCGGCGGCGGCAGCGCGGAACCCGAGACGACACAGGTCTCTCCTCCGCAGAACATTGCTGGCGGCGTCGCCTATCCCCTGCCGCTCCGCACAATTCGCTTTGCCGACGAGAATCTCGTCGATGCCGCCGATGGCCCGCCCAACGTGTCAGCACGCACCAGTGGAGAGTTTAGCAAGCCCTTCGAGTCTGGTCCGGACAGCAACCCACGGACCAGTTTTGCCGTGGAGGATGATCGTGGACGATCTTCTTTCACAGCGGCCCGGACCGCACCCCCCTCAGCCTACCGCCAATCCATCTCGCGTGGTCGCTCAATCTCCCTCACCTCCCTCAACGGCCGTCCGAGTCGCGACTCCTCAGCAGGATCCGAGAGTCGCCGGGCCATTCTTCGCTCGGCTCTGCCCACGATGCGCACGATGCGCAGCTACGACGACGAGGCCTTTGTCGATCTGGCAGAGGGCCTCCCGCACCACACGACGCGGGCCATTGAGCGCACCGTGGCGATCCTCGTCCTCATCGTCAGCTCGGGCATCATGTCCATGAACGCCGAGTTCCTCGTCTCGACCATTGACCAGATCACGCACGACGGCCACCTGTCCGAGTCCCTCATCGGCCTCATCATCCTGCCCATTGTCGGCAACATGGCCGAGTACATCACCGTCGTCACCGTCGCCTGCCGCGAGAAGCTCGACCTCGCCGTCGCCGTCAGCGTCGGCTCCTCCATCCAGATCGCCCTCTGCGTGGCTCCGCTGACCGTCATGGCCGGCTGGGTCCTCGGCGTCGACCTCATGCTGACCTTTGACTTTTTCGAAATGGCGGCCCTCATGGGGACCGTCTTGCTGGTGAATATCATCATCCTCAGCGAGAGCTCGGGGGGCGCGCGGTCGAACGCCCTCCGTGGAGGGTTAATCTGTGGCTCGTATGCAATTATTACGTGAGTCTCTCTTCGTCTCCTTCGTTTCTTTTCCTTCCCTTGCAAAGACTGACATTCCCAGAATCGGAGCGTATCTGGCTCCCTCACAGGAACCGTAAAGCATTGGGACGGCGTCCATCGTTTACTGCGTGTCACGCAAGCATAGCATATTAATTCCAACTCAGGACATTCTTTCGGCTCGCCTGTACATACATATACTACTATAGCATAGCCAATCTTCTTTTACTCCTTGGACACGCGGCATTCCGCGGTCGCGTTGACCTTGCCGTCCGACTCCGACGTGACCGTGACCGTGACGACACCCTCATCCTCCGCATCGTCCATCGCGCCGACGGCGACGTTGGCGCTGACGGTCTCGCCAAACTTGGCAGCAACAAGGGCGTGGGGGACCTCGACCCTCCACCCCTCGCCGTCCACGGTAGCCTCGAGTCGGAAGATGTCGCTGCCTAGGTACTCGGACGCATCGTCCGGATGCTCACCGCCCTCGACGTAGCTGCCGCTGTTGGTCAGGTCGAAGGAGCAGAAGACGCCCTTTGTAGTCGGCGTGTTGCCTCGGCCACCGATGGGATGGCCGTCCTGGAGAGCCACGCCAAATTCACTCGCGCTACGGCTCGCGAGGGCCCTGACCCCGACGAGGTAGGACAACACACCCTCCTTGTCGCGCTGCACGTCCAGAATATAAAAGTGCAGGCCGTTGGGCTCGTCAACGTGCTCGTACGCACTACCCGAGCGCGTGCCAGCGTGGAAGAGTGCGTCGGCCAGCTGGCGATAGTCACCCAGGGTGATCATGACCTCCTCCCCTGCGGGGCTCACATAGTCCACCAGCGCAATGTCCTCCGGGTTGGCGTCAATCATCCACTGGAACGGCTGCCGGTTGTCCGCGTCCCTGGACTTGCTGAGCATGACGCCCGCGTCGGGCTGGAACGAGTCGGCGCCCATGCGGTCCACGACCTCCATCTCGTAGTTGTCGTAGCCGCCCCCATCACAAAAGACATCTGTCTCCGTGTCGCACGCCGGCGCCAGGTCCTCGCCCATCTCCACGCGCAGACCCATGAGGTTCGACTCGACGGAGCGCGCCGTGAGGCGGGCAATGACAAGGCCAGACGCGGCGAGACCGTCCTTGGACAGGCGCAGGAGCTTGTGCTCGTCCATGAGGCCGAGCTGGTACTTGTCGCGGACGGTGTGGAGGGATCCCATGGCCGCGCCCTGCATGGCGGGAATCTGCCAGCGGGTGTGCGGGCCACCAGGCCCGTTGAAGCTCCCGCGGCTCATCATGGACCAGGACCCCGTAAAGGAGCGACGCAGCGGGTCGCCGTACGGGTTGTTGTAGTTGTCGCCAATGTCGAGCAGGTGGCTGAGCTCGTGCGCGTAGACGCCCATGCCCGAGCTCTCGGCCTGCGTCGAGGAGCCCCCGCCGGCATTGGGCCAGATGCTCGCGGCCGAGGCCCACGACGTCCAGGGGACGTAGCGCGTGGTGCCGGCATTGTTGGGGTCGTCGTCGTCGTCGTCGCGGACGTCGGCGGGCGGGCCAAAGGCGTCGGGCACGTCGTCGCTGTCGGCCCACTTCATGATGCCAAACTCCTGCCAGGTGCCGGACTCGTCCTGACCGGCGGAGAGGATGAAGACGAGCTCAAAGGCGTCGGCGACATCATCGCCCACGTCCTCGCGCCAGAGTGCGAGGCCGTCCGTGCGAATGTTCAGGTTGCAGGTGGCGTTGCCGGGACACGAGCCCGGGTTCATCCTGTCGTCGATGCCGTACTGGAACGCCCGGTTGGGCATCCGGTACGCGCCAAAGGCCGTCAGATCCACGCCGTACTTGCCAGCCGAGTCCTCCATCCAGTACTCGTGCAGGGTGTGGCCCTGGTTGAGCTCGCTGGGCGTGTTGAGCAGATCCCTGTAGAAGGCCGGGACGTCGTAGTGGGGGACGTTGGCCGCCAGCGGCTGGGGGTTGCCAAAGACGGTCGAGCCGGGTGGCTGAGTGATGACAAAGGGCTGGTCTTCGTAGTCGAGCAGCACGAGGGCAATGTTGAAGTTGCGCGCGGCGCCCTTGCGCGTGGGATCGCTCCAGTTGGTGCCGGGCGGTGGCTTAAAGTCGGCCCAGGTCATGTCGTCCGGGTTGACCCATTCCTGCTTGTCGATGATGGCAAACGGGTCGCCCTTGGGGATGCACTTGGCAGCCAAGGCGACGCCAGCCAGGGCGAGGACGGAGAAGGGCTGCATTCTCTCGGGTCTTGACGGCAGGGCAGGCAGCTGGCTGGTCGATCAGGGAGGGAGAGCAGCTTGGAGCACGCCCATCTACCCTACCACCTGTATATATAAGGACTGTACGAGTGTAACGGTGGTCATTTTTCAGATGTGATGATCGACCCCGCTCTGCGTAACATCGCTTGCCCATCTTGCCGGTTTCTCGCATGGCGCATGCTAGATTAGCAACAACAAACGTGAAGAGCCTGACTGCTGCTGTTTGGCAGTGTGAGAAGAACAAAGTGCCCTTGGGTCAGAGGAGCGACCTGCCGTATGCAGACAGATCTTTGGTTGTCGATGAGGGGTCGGCCAATGAATGGCCAAGCCGACGCGGCATGGATCGGGCCCCGGGGGGGGGGGGGTTCGGTGATAAGAGACGGCCTTGGCGTCTGAGGAAACCGGGAGGTTGGGAGTGGCGTTGGTGATACCATCAAAGGACGGGCAGTCGCGGGAGAACTGGGGGCAAACGAGTCCGGTTCATTCTATGCGGAACACGGCAATGAGCATAGTATAGTGAATCATGGAATGGCGTTAAACCTACTGGGTAGTATGATGGCAGGATGTTTCGATGCTCAAGCAACCAACAACAGGCATCAGACACCCCATCAATCGTGTGAACAAAAAGAAGCCTCAAAACAACCTTGTTGCCGTCAATCAAAATAGCCTATGATAGGCCCGCGAAGATGCCAACCAACTTCTCAACCTTCCGCTTCACTCTTGAGATCAAAATTACTGATACCTGTTTCTTCCAGTCAAACGAATCGCCCGGACCCCAGCTCCCCACACCTTGCATCCATCATCTGGAGGAGCCCGTGTCGTCAAGATTGAGGAGCAGAACATTGCAGTGAAGATAAACAACGCATCCTATCTGAGGTTAGAAGAAGCGCAGAGAATGAGAGCAATCCGACAGGCTCTCCCCAACGACCAAGTTCCTGTCCCAGAGGTTTTCGGATGGAGAACGCACGGCACCCAGGTCTTCGTTTACATGAGCATCATCACCGGGAAGACATTGCGGGAAGCATGGCCGTCGCTCACCGAAGATGGAACGAGATGGATCCTAGGAAATATCATCGTCTCGGGAGCTCCTGGTTTTCAAAGAGTCAAAGGCATCATTGACTGGGAACAGGCAAGGTGATATCCCGAGTACTGGGAGTATTGCAAGATGCTCTGTGGGGTGGGACTACGTGATGAGTGGCGCACAGATGACTGGCCCGACAAGATTGTTACGCCTTTTGAGGATACCTTTTTTGCCTTTGCAGAGTACTCCATGTGGCGCTGTCCATATTAGGCGTGCATATTCTTCATTCGATGTCTGATTGACCCCGGCCAAGGACTTCTTCGAGATCTTACCTGTAAACTTTATCGAGTAAACTTTATCGAGACAAAATCCGCCTGTATTGTCGAGGTGAGAAACCAAGATATGCAGAGGTCTCGCTGCGTCTCAGAAAGGCACTCCGAGCGATTGAACATGGTTAGCTGTTTGCCAACAAGTTACCAAGGAAGGGTCTCCCGAAACGATTATTCGGCTAAGATCGACGGCATGGATGGGAAGAAGCAATGATGATGTTGCAAGGTACAACACTTAGTCTATTAAAGTGACAAGATCTAAAAACAGGGGCTACGCTACCGAAGCGCGCGAGAACACGTTGGACCTGAAACCTGTTCGCCGGCTCCTCTGCCTGATTCTGGCTTAGAGTCTATATTTCGCACTTGTGGGCTCATAAACAACAAGCGTGATTGGTTTAGTGGTAAAATTCTCCGTTGCCATCCGAGCAACGTCGGGGAGCCCTGGGTTCGATTCCCAGATCACGCATTGTTTTTTGCTTCGCTGAGGCTCGTCGCACACCGCTCCTCTCTTTTTGACTTTTGATTGCTCAATCTTTGGAGATTCGCCCTGCCACTTGCGTGCGACAGCTGTCTTTTGACAAGCAAGAGATCGGAATAGGGGCTCTTTGCACCTTCTGCGCCAGCATCAATTGACTTCATGGTGACTTCATTGTTCCTCTACTTCTGCGGAGAAACCCTGGACTGTCAAGCTCGGAGGTACGTCCGGCAGGCCCATGGCTGTCGATGACGTTCCCAAGGGAGCTGTCACCACTGGCTCGTAGCTCAGTAGTATAAGGTCTGTTCAAGTAGATGGGAATCGTAGTACCTCCGCTCCTCCCCAATACTCGTTCCCGCACGCTCGTGAACTATCCAATTCCATCAATCCCCAATCAACGTCACCATGTCTCACCAATCCAGCGCTTCCCACGTGGGCGATCACAGCGTCTACGAGGACGGCGACCAGAGGAATTACAGCAATTCCCAGGTGCACGCGGCAGAAAGGGTCAGCGGCATCAACGTGGAGGGGTTCAGTAGGTCGCTCGACAACAGACAAGCCACGGGCTTCTGCTGACAGGCCTGTAGTGGACAAGAACAAGATCATGAACAAGCTCCAGGACGAGGAGGACCATAAGCGCACGCAGGACCGCATGCAGCACGAGCCTGGCTTCGCAGTCCGTGACCTTCTCTCCTCATGCCCCCTGACCAACTGACGTGCTGACCATTCTCAAGGCTACCATGCACGGCAACGAGCCCTCCAAGGGCGCCAAGATTGACGCCGAGCTGGCAGAGGAAGAGGCCGAGCTGCTGGCCAAGAAGCAGAACAAGACGGATTCTCTCCCCGGGAAGAAGAACGAGCCGGGCACGGACAAGCACGACATGCACCAGGAGCTGGACGCTGAGATCAAATCCGAGAGGACGGCGCACTCCAACAGCGGCTCCAACACGGGGCAGCGTGGGCCCACGTACGTCGACAGAAAGAACAAATGAGCCTCGTCTTGCTGTGCTGGCAGGAACGAAGAGGTCTTCTTAGAGAGTAAAAGTTTGCAGTAATTATTGGTACCAAACAGAGTAGTGAATTACGTATTATGACTTGCGCCCCTGTGCGTCCAGACTGGCCATCCGCACCAGACTGGCCTCGTCGTTGTCGCTGTACTGCACCGCATACGTCTTCTGGTACACGATGCCGGCGCCGCCGCTGCTGTCCTGGATCGAGCCGTCCGGCGAGTCGGCCGACCCCTTGCTGTCCCTCCTCCGTCTGTCGCGGTCGGCGGTGACGATGGCCACGTTCCGGCTCTTGTGCGTGGCCGACTTGTTGCCCGAGGCGTGGCCGTAGCGGTTCTCGTAGTAGTCGGTGGCGCGCCGCGTCGAGCCGGCCAGCTTGGGGAAGATCTTGACGAGCAGCAGGCGCACGGTGGGGAGGCACGCGCACGCGACGCCGACGCAGATCTCAATCGTCGACCAGACGGAGACGTCGTAGAACTCCCAGGTGATGTTGCTGCTGGTGGCAAAGTGCACGAGACTCTGCAGGCGGAGGATGCTGACCACGGTGACGCTGCGTGCGTGTTAGTGTTTGTCCTTTCCCCTACTTGACGACGGAATCTCGTCACACTTACAATGTGCCGACGCAGAACATGAGCGCCACGCCCACCTTCTTCTTCCAGTGCAGCTGCAGTGAGCGCAGCTCCCACAGGGGAACGGCGAGGATCCACACGTCGAGGCAGATGTTCATAATGGCGTTGGACCAGGCAATGGCGTTGGCCTCGAGACATTGGCCCTCGTGCAGGCCGTCCCACTTGAGCCAGAAGTAGCTCACGGGCCGGCACTGGAAGATGGCGAGGACGACGTAGCAAACGCCCCAGGCGCTGGCGAACCAAAATGTGCCCCAGAGAAGGCGCTGCGTGTTACGGGCGGGGAAGATGCGCATGTAGAAGGCAATGATGCTCAGCTTGACCAGGGCCGTCTCGACAAAGTACAGGATGGCCATGCCGTAAAAGTACTTGAGCATGAGGGTGATGTCGTTGTGGGCCACGGTCCAGATGTCTCGCCCCAGACCATGCTGGGTGGTGCCGAACAGGGTGACGCAGGCGGAGGGTACGGTGCTGATGATGGTAGCCAGGATGAGCCAGTCGTCCAGGCCGAGCTCGGTCTGCATGTAGATCATCTTGTAGATGAAGCGGACGGCGACAAAGACGACGCCCATGATGATCATGGCGATGGTGAGGACGACGTGCGACTGGGCCTTGTCGCGGACGGGCGCGTTGCAGTTTGTCGCGCTGACATTCTTGGTGGCTGTTTCGGGCTCGTCAGGAACAGTCAACTTGGACAGGGGACAGAAGGTGGCAACACGTACTCAGCGAGTCGGGGAGCGTGCAGGACTGGGCGACACAGCCGGTGACGAGTCCTTGGAACGTGTCGTTCGTGCAGATGCACGTCTGGTTCGTGGGAGCGCAGATGCCCTCGGACATGGCATCGGCAATGCATCCTCGCTGGCGGACCATCAGCACAGCCCATCCTGTCTGGTACTCATGGGATGACACCTACCGCGCACTCGGGATACACACTCAGGGCCGAGGAGGCATCCTGGCACAAGACTGCGGGCAGCAAGGCCGTCAGAAGTACGGCCGCCGCCCTGAACGAAGACAACAACATGGCAGGCGAGATGGGTTGTGAGGTTCGTCGGTGACTGGACCAGGGAGTTGCTGAAGGACCCGGGCTCCCGGTGCGGTTGGGAATGCCAGAGATGTATATGTGTGTGATCTGCCAGACTAGATCGACCCTTACGTCTGGCGTGCGTCCCACCCCTCCTCCACTCGTCCGTCAGGGGTCGAAGAGGAGCACTCTTGTAGTCTCTTCTGGACGGAGACTAGTAGACTCACTAGACCCGTATCCGCACCTGAAGATCGTAGCGTCGGGTGCGTCCCATCGCATCTTGGCCCCTGTTCGACCCGTCGTCCGGTCCCTCACCTCTTGCGCCTGCTGTTGCTCGCCGATGCATTGTCCGCCGATTGCAGTAGTATATTCACAAGGCCAAGGTCCAAGGCTCATAGATCACGCACTGGCAGCAGGTCTGGCGAACCCGTTAGTCTGCCCGCAAATTAGGGCAAGGTTGGCCTCTTCCCACTAGTCCCGTCTGTCATTTGATCCGTCCAGGGGTAATGGAGATCGGACCGTTCGCACGGGGAGCTAGGTTTGTCGCAGACTTTGACGCCACGCGGGTCCCCTGCACCATAGTGTGCGGTACGTGTTCGCATTCCCAAGAGGTATTAGGCGGCCCTGTCACCTCGGCGCCACGGCCGGTATGCAGTTAGACTGTGGTTATATGCAGGCAGAGTGCGGCTGTCCAAATCGGTAGTGGCCAGGACTGGCAGACGGCTGGTCGTAGCGAGGTGGCCATTGGCAGTCGTTGAGGACTTGTTGAGGGTGCAATCGATTCCATAATGGGTATGTCCCCCGGCTGGGGCTTTGCTCAAGTGTTGCGAGGTGATGGCGACGTGGTGTGATCATTGACGTGGTGTGAGTGGGTGATGCGGTGGGTTGCCGCCAGACAGACCGTTCAGAACTTTAGGGCACTCTGCAGTCAGGCCTCGGTCCATCATTGGCAGCAGCCACGACATTAGCCGTGGAAGTGGCACGACGGCCTCGGTCGACAGGCACGGCACTCAAGCCCAAGGCAGAATCTATACTCCGTAGATCAAACATGCCATCAAGAGACCGCACGATTGCCGATCTGCGTCTGGGACAAGTCCAGTCGGCAACGTCTGCCGGCAGTGAGACCTAGTGAGGCGACGACGCTCTCGCTCTTCTTTCATGTTTTCTCCCCTTCTTCATTTTTATTTTGGGTACCAGCTACGTCATTAACTACATATTCGCTTACTGTTCTCTGCGCGTCTGAAATCAATTTCAGCCGTCCGCTAGCGGGCCTCGAAATGGAGCATCAGCCGGCGTTATCGAGCGACGCTGGCCCGTCTGCGGCTTTCACAGAATACAGCATGGCTGGCACTTGGCAGTGATCGAGGCACAGTCTCTGGCTTTCAGGCTCTATGAGGACCCTGGCATTGCATTATCAATTGCTTGCCCAGGTGATACCCAGCTCGTCGTACGTCCGGGAGCGATCCCCGGGCCCGGGTGAGCTATATTTTGTCTTGGCTCCAAGCCAAGCCTCGGACGAGATTCGGGTAGGACCTTGTTCCTGGTCACGCCTTGATTGAGCGTTCGGTTCAAGCAGACTTCAGCTGGCAAGGGCCGCAAGGCTTGCGTCGGCCGCCAAGACTGACGGTTTCGTATCTGTACAGACGTCCGTATTGGACTTCTTCACGCACTCTTCACGATCACTAATGTCCGGTCCTTTCGATAGTCTTTCGCGGGGGAGCCTCGCTTCGCTCTGCTCAACCGAGTCATGGGGAGACCCTGCTTTCCACAGAACATGACTTCTCTGACTGTCTGTCAGTGTCCGTGCGTCGCCGGATATAAATGAATCATCGCCAGTGCCGAGACGCCTCTGCCCGTGTTTAGTCGTGGGAGTGCAGAATTAAGTTTCGGTCTGGGACTCTCGATAGCTCCTGGCGGCCTATACGGGGTGCAATTACCCTACAGTCTGTGGACAAGCCACCACCGCACTGGTCGACGCCTCGAATTATTGCCACTTGCGCAGCCTCTATTAATGAGACAGGCAATCGGAAATTAGAATCTGAAGATGTTCGGAGCATTTATTCAGACGAGTCGTAGTCAAGGCGCGTATCTAGAGACACGCACACTTTGCCCAACAGTTCTGAATAGGTCCCGTACTTTCTCCCAACGCACCCGAATGACCAAGCAAAGAACACCAACTATTTGATGTGGTCACTGATGAGTATGAGAGAGGATAGAAAATTCCGAAAGAGACTATAACATCTCATCTCATCTCAATTCTAGAGTTTCGAGGGCATCATTAATACTCTGCCAATTGCAGACCTAGCAGATCTAAAGATCACGGAATGACGGGGTGGGTGCATCCCCACTCGAGTCGCCCGAAGGATTCACTCGTCAAAAACGACATGTAATTTTTGTGTCCAAAACTGATAGTATATCTAAGTTTCCAATGTTAGTCATGCTCTATCTGCCGGTATACCCGGTGATATTCTTGTGTCCGTCGCCATAAGATATGAACAATATAACAACGTTGGCCAATGCCAAATGACACCTGCACGGTGGCTTTGGACTGAGAAAAGGTTCATGCCAACAACCCCAACCAAGCGACCCAAACATCTCATGGCAAACGGGCATACATGCATGCGGTGTTGGCTCTGACCTACGCTGGGAACCGAAAGTGACCTGCCTGCGAGCGTTCCGTGTTCCGTGTTCACTTAAGTAGTACTGTATCCTAGTGCACGGATGGGAGGTACATCTCGTCCCATGCGATGACCGGACGCAAGATAAGTCTGATGTTTGGGGCCCGACCACAAGGTCCTGCTCTCTCGTAAATCCTACGTATCCAATAACTTGCTTGCTGCCAACGACATCGGGGTATAACATGAATGCTCCTCGCTTATATGCATCGCTTCTCATCGCCCGCCCCTCTCACCCACAGCACACCGTGGCCTCGTCGATGCCAGCAGGGGCCCGGTCCACCTCCAGGTTCTGCACGTCAATCTTCACCACCATCCAGTCGCAGAGGAACTTGCCCAGGCCGGCACCCACAAACACCGAGATGATAATGTAGCCGTTGAAGTACATGACCAGCAGCATGACAATGTACGCCCCGCCATAGGTGACGGCATGCAGCAGAGCGCGGATGAACTGCTGCAGCACCGTCGCGCGGTACGTGATGGTCGGTGTGTACGGCTCCGTGGAGCCACCGCAACCCTTGGCAGCGAGGCTGGAGCCGTGGGCGCATGCTTGACGCTGGAACTGCCGTGTGAGGTAGGCATCGTACTCCTTGCCGAGACGACGCGAGAACTCAATGAGGACGGCCAGCAGCATGACGCCGATGCACGTGGCCGCCATCATGCCCTGGTTCTCGATCCGCCACGACTCGGAGAGGAAGCAGGCGTCTATCGTGTGCCAGTTCCAGAGCATCTGTATATGGTAAGTTTTGGGGGCGTTGGCAGAGACGACGTCGTGCATACCTCAATTTTGCACTCGGTGGCACCGCCCGTGTCCCCGCCTCCGTGGTTGTGGCTCATCTTGTCGGTTTGTTGTGAGAAGACTTTTGGCCGAATTTGTCCTGGCTAATCGGGTGCTAGGGTCGGTCGAGTGGTGAGGTGAATCCAGCTTGGTGCACTGGTGGTCTTATGAGTCGAAGCCAAGAGAACAGAGACTGCTTGTTGCAGCACGCCAATCGGAATGAAGTACGCAGAGCCAGGCAGTTGATGAGCGCGATTGAGGGTGTTTTGCGCAGGGAAATGTGAAGAAATTGGAAGCTGATACGTGTCGGCAGTCGAGAAGAGGGAGTCACGCTCTTGATGAAGCCGTGGTGCGTGCGGAGCCGTGAGCAAGTTATGATTGACCCCGGCCTGGTGGCGCAAGATTAGCTTTTGAGTCTTCTGGGCATGCAGGAACGATGCAGGGTAGTCGAGACAGATCCCAGACGACGAGGGGCTGGGGCCGTCCACAGAGGGGTACTTGTGCATGCCTGACAGGGGTATTATGCTGTTTTGTGCCATGTTGTGCAGACCCGCCCAAATAAACTTGCTCAAACATTCTCAACCGCCTCACATTCGCCTCCTCGCCAACCTGCGCGCAACAAGGTTGGCCAATGTCAGCGAAACAACCGCCTCAATGTCCCTCCCCAAGCGGTCTGGCCGCTGGCCGGATTAGGAAGAGCGGATAGTCATCGACCATGTGCTCGGATCGCTAAATACTCCTGTCTGCCAACTCCCGAGCGTGGTTATGCAGCTTGTCTTTTAATCTTCATTGCGTCCCTCTTCACCACGACGATCTGAACCAGGCGAGCCAGACAAGTTGACAACTATCACTCGCAATGGCCTCTCTCGTCCCTCGCCATATCCAGGACCATGACTCGGCCGAGTCGCTGGTCCCCTACTGGGGCTACGCTGACCGCGTCATGCCCTGCACCAACGACCCCGGATCCTGCGAGTACCTCGATGTCGTGTACGGCGCACATGCCATTGGCATGCGCTACATGGCTATCATCTGGCTGACCATTGGCGGCATCATCCTCGTCTGGGCCATGACCAAGCACCTTGGGCGCCCGGACTCTGTGTCAACGTCCATCGCCATGGACGGTGAAAAGGGGCAACCGGTCTACATGCGACCAGGTGGTCTGCGCAAGGTCCGACACGCCATGGCCTCGACCACGCGGCGTTACCTCCTCCCCGATGCTGTCCGCGCCATTTTTGGTCGCACCACCCGCTTCCAGGTCTTCACCTTGTGCGCCTTGACGGCCTACCTCACCATCTTCACCTTTGTGGGCATCACATACAACACCTGGATCACACCCGTCAAGGACATGGACGGCGTCTACAACACGCGTACCAGTCTCGGTCCCTGGTCGGATCGCATTGGTGTCATCGCATACGCCCTGACGCCGCTCTCCGTTCTCCTCGCTAGTCGCGAATCGATCCTGTCTCTGCTCCTCGGTGTCCCGTACCAGAGCTTCAACTTCCTCCACCGCTGGACCGGCTATCTCATCTTCGTCCAGAGTGCCCTCCACACCATTGGGTGGTGCGTCATTGAGATCCGCTTGTACCAGCCCCAGCCCAAGGTGGCCCTGGGATGGATTGTCCAGACATACATGGTCTGGGGCCTCGTGGCCATGCTGCTGCTCACCATCCTCCTGCTCCTCAGCACACCGTGGGGCATCCGCCTGACTGGCTACGAGACGTTCCGCAAGCTTCACTACGTCCTCGCCATGGTCTACATTGGCGCCTGCTGGGGCCACTGGGCCCAGCTCAAGTGCTTCCTGCTGCCGGCCCTGATCTTCTGGTTCATGGACCGCGGCGCGCGTCTCATCCGGTCTGCCTTCCTGCACTACCACCGTCTGCCATGCGGCAACATGGGCTTCCGTTCCTGCGAGAGCACCATCACCCTCTTCCCCGACTCGGAAGCCGGCGACATTGTCCGTCTGGACTTGGAGAACGACCAGGACGCCTGGCCCGTCGGCCACCACTTCTACCTGACCTTTACCGAGTGCAGCATCTGGCAATCTCACCCCTTCACACCCCTCAACGCCCCTGTCGTCCGCAACGGAAAAGTCCACCACAGCTACATCCTGCGCGCCAAAGGCGGCGAGACCAAAAAGGTCGCCCAGCTGGCCACCAAAAAAGTGGCGGCCGGCGCCAAGCCCACCACCCCCGTCATCCTCACCGGCCCCTACGGCGAGCAGAACATGCTCGACGTCAACCCTTCGACCAACATCATTTGTGTTGCTGGTGGCACCGGTATCGCCTATGTGCTTCCGGTGCTTCTCGAGCTTGCGCGCCAGGCCATCTCCCCCAACCGTCGCGTCGAGCTCATCTGGGCCATGCGACACGCCAGCAACACGGCCTGGGTGCAGCAGGAGCTTGATCTCCTGCACAAGGTCTCCAAGGCCCTCAACCTCAAGGTCCGCCTGTTTGCGACGCGTGACAACACCACTGGCAGCGCGAGCAGCAACACATCGATCAAGGGCGACGACGAGAAGCACACGGACTCCAAGGAGGTAGGCGGCGTCACGACGCAAGCTGTCGCCTCTGCCTCGTCCTCGTCGGCGGATGAGATTGGCTGCGACTGCGACGACGTCACGCCGGTCCGCAAGACAGGCGGTGCCGACTTTGTTGACGTCGAGCGCCACCCGGATCTGACCAAGCTGGTCAACGACTTTGTCAATGCCACGTCGTCCGGGTCCACGACGGTCTTTGCCAGTGGGCCCGGCAGCATGATCTCCGATCTGCGGAGCATCGTGGCCCAGTGCAATGACGGAGGCAAGGTGTGGGCTGGCGAGGAGCGTTTCGATGTTAAGCTTGTTTGTGACGATCGTCTTGAGTGGTGATACCCCATAGGAAAATAGCGTGCATTTGTTTTTTTCCCTTTTTTTTTTTTTCAAGAATAATTGATGATCCGGATTTTCTGGCTTCACATTGGTGGCGCTCGTGAATGAGCTTTCTATTATCTTGCACGGCTTGTGATACCCCACACGCGCTCACCGACTACTTCTTCTGTATTCGCTGGGCTTGAGACTCGGATCTCTTGCCATCGGCGCAGGCAGACTGTGTCAGAGAAGCCACATATATAACATTTAATCAGGAAAGAGACGCAAGCTCTTATTTGCCCAGCATCATCCATAAGATCCTGCTAGTGCCTCAAGTGCCAGATCAATACACCACATGCGCACAGATCGTAGCTCATCTATTGGAGACCATTCGCACCCAGATATCCAACAACAGCCGCAAATGCAGCGCCCGCCCCAAACACGGCGACGGATTCCGCCGGGCCTGTCAGTGCCATTGCCACGCAACTGAGAACATCCAGGGTGTCGGTCAAGCCATTGCCCCAGAGGAGGACTCTCCGCATCTCGTCCTTGGACGACTGATCGCTCGACATGAGCCGGCGGAAGGCGGCGTAGGTGAGCGTGGCAATGGCGAGCTCGCGCGCACCAAACAACCGGGGCAGCAGGCCGCCGTTGGGGGGAAGGAGCAGCATGACTTTTGTGGCGAGATGGGGGGCGACTAGGGTACACACCCCAACAAGCCCTCTGACAATGTAGAGGGTAGGGATGATGAAGCTTCCGAGTGAGGAGATCTTGGCGGTGCCAGTGAGCGAGGCTTTTGGGTCGGTGGTAGAAGCCATGTTGTACGGGGAGAATTCACTCTGTACTTGGTGACGGATGACTGAGTGTTCGATGCGAGGAACAAGGTATCCAATGTGTTTGCAGTTTCTGACGAATCGTGTAAAATGTATGGCTTTGTTGAGGGTGAATCGCTGGGGACCCTTATATCTCATGAGCATAATGTGTGGCGAAGACGGATGGGTGAAGCGTAACGGTTAAGCATAACGCAGCATTCTTCTAGCGCCAAAGCCTATTGGTAGACTTCAAAGCGCCATGATCCGAATTTATATGCCATTGGATTTCACTAGCCTCAGTTGGCTTCTCGAGAGGCTCCCCATTTTGCGCCCCTTTTCTGCCGGCGTGCTGTTTCCAAACAACTTCACGTTCCACTTACGTGTTGCCATATGGGCGAGTAAGTTTACATCAGCGGTATCGGTGAACTGTATGCTGCCAGGGACTTTACAGGAATCAGGAGCTGACATCCTTGTACAGTAATCAGTGACCTCGGGGCCAGTACAGCGTTGGTGTCATTCGTTTGCACAATGTTGCGTCCCCAGCCCTCTGCATCGTTCTGCCACGGTGCTCGGTCCGGCCTAACCGACTTGAGAGACGGCGGGTGGTCGGAAAAGCTTGATTCAAATCTCTGAGCTCTTAATTTATCCCACGATGATAAGCTGCAGCAATGGAGGAATAAGAGCAAGCGCGCTGGATGGTGGTGGCCCAGACGGGCGACGATAAGGAGCGCCAAGCGAGTACGGCAAGCAGCTTGACGTACATCTGCAAAGCTACACGGCCAGTCATGCGCACAACCAAGAGTTCGTCACCACTGCAATGAACGCATCAGAGCACAACTTCTCCGCTGCGTACATGTACATGTTTTTGGAGGACCAGCCCCCTGTATGCTATCGCTTGTGTATTCCTCCAGCTGACACTCGACCGTAAAGAGTACCTTGGCCGACACCCGAGAATCGTCAGTCGCTCGCCCGATGTCAAGTTGCATGAAAGGATTCAGTTCATTTCCATGTTCGCTGATGCGGCGTCGTCCATGTGTAAGCATATGGGGTCGATGACCACAGCGAGAGCCGCGCCATGTCCATGTCCATGTGACTGAAGCCCCAAAATTGTCCTGTCTAATCGAGCACGTTTGGCTGGCCCTGCGCAGTTTACTTCTACTTGGTCATTTAGATCCGGGGCCCCGCAGCCTGGGGAACTTTGAGCCAGCTCGGGCATGGAGACGACGTCAATGGCGCCGGGGCCGGCCCGACGAGGCACACAAACTTCAAAGGCAGTTGAGCAGCCAACAACATCCTCGGCTGGGAAAAAAAAAGTGCGGATGGTCACAAGATCTTGCAAGAAAATTGAACTAAAAAGTCGCAGGGTGAATCTTGGCTCCCATAATGCCCACTGCCGAGGTCGCCGGCTGATTTTGCCAAATCAGGTACCGCGGATTGCCAGCTTCTGCATTGAGGCAAGCCTCCATCCAAGACGGCGCGGAAGCGGCAATTCCCAGTGCCGCCGGAGACGTCTCGGTGGTTTTCAATAAAGATGGGGTGCAGATATGGGGTACAGTCACGCTGCAAGGCTAAATTCACGCTGGAAGAGGAAACGTCGATTGGAGGGCGCGTGCGTGATCGAGGGCAGTGCCGCAGGACGTACGTACGTACACGTGGATGTACTTAAACCCCGTGACAATAATGAGCTCTTCGCATGACAGCCACAAGGTGGTTCGGATTTCACTGAGCTTCTTTCTACATGTATTATGGCAAAGAGTGACTGACTAGCTTGCCGAGTCGGCGTATATCCCACGAGAGCAGCGTGGCGATGAACCGCAACGATCTCCCCAGATACTGCCAGGACTCATCAAATGAAATATGAACGGAAAAATGCCCAAGCCTATTCGATCCCACGTGCCTCGATCCAGTCGGCCCGTTTCGTGATTTAACCCTCTTGAGCATCTGGGACACTCTCCGTCCTTTAGCGCATCCCCCTCCAATCCATGGCTCCATTTGATGTCTCTCTACCCACCCATCCATAATCCCTCCATTTCCACTCGAACACACTGGTGAGCATAAACAGTACCCTGCTCTCCAGGCTGCTGATCACTTCGACGACCGGACCGACGAGTGGATTCAATGTCCTGCTGTGCATTAATCAAGTCTGGTGGCATCGCTGCATCTGGCAGCTGTGGATTGTGTATGCCCTTCCTCGACTAGTAACTGCCCAGTCGCATGAGCATGTCCATGCCACCGGACGGAGCTCCAGACAAATGGATACATAAATGCGCTCGTGTCCAGCTCGAGTTTCCGAGATGCCACTATCACCACCTCCATCATCCAGTCTACTTCGCAACAGCCTTCATCATGAAGTCTGCTCTTGCACTGCTAGCTGCGGCCATGTTCTCGGGCGCCCTCGCTGCCGACAAGGCCGCGTGGAAGTCTCGCAACATCTACTTTGCCCTGACCGATCGTGTGGCGCGCGGTGCCAACGACAATGGCGGTGGCTCTTGCGGCAACCTCGGACAGTACTGCGGTGGCACATTCCAGGGTCTGCAGTCCAAGCTGGACTACATCAAGGGCATGGGCTTTGATGCCATCTGGATCACGCCCGTCGTTGCTAGTAAGCGCGTCCAGCCCTATTGGAGACACATGAACTCACACATAGTCCAGACACAGACGGTGGCTACCACGGCTACTGGGCCAAGGATCTCTACTCGGTCAACTCCAACTACGGCACCGCCAATGACCTCAAGAGCCTTGTCAATGCAGCCCACGACAAGGACATGTATGTCATGATCGACGTGGTGGCCAACCACATGGGCGCGGGCGACGTCTCCAGCTACAGGCCCGAGCCGCTCAACCAGCAGTCGTCCTACCACTCGGCCTGCGGCATCGACTACGGCAACCAGAACTCTATCGAGCAGTGCTGGATCGCCGGCCTGCCCGACATCAAGACAAGCGACTCCAACATCCGCCGCGTCTTGAACGAGTGGATCTCCTGGTTCGTCGGTGAGTACGGCTTCGACGGCGTCCGCCTCGACACGGTCAAGCACGTTGAGAAGGACTTTTGGGCCGACTTCTCCAAGGCCGCCGGCGTCTACACCATTGGCGAGGTCTGGGACGGCGACCCCGACTACCTCGCCGGATACGACGGACTCATGGGCGGTCTCCTCGACTACGCCACCTACTACCCCATGAACCGCTTCTACCGGCAGCAGGGCTCCAGCCAGGACCTCGTCGACATGATTGACACGGTCAGCCAGACCTTCCAGGACCCCGCCGCGCTCGGCACGTTCCTCGACAACCACGACAATGCCCGCTGGCTCAACCAGCGCAACGACTGGGCCCTGTTCAAAAACGCCCTCGCCTTTGTCGTCCTGTCCCGCGGCATCCCCATTGTCTACTACGGCTCCGAGCAGGGCTACGCCGGCGGCAACGACCCCGCGAACCGCGAGGATCTCTGGCGGAGCGGCTTCAACACGGATGCCGACCTGTACAAGTTCATTGCCGCCCTGGGCTCCGTGCGTCAGGAGGCAGGTGGCCTCGGCGGCAACGACCACGAGCACCTGTACGTCGAGGACGGCGCCTATGCCTGGTCGCGCCTCGGCGGCGACCTGATTGTCCTGACCACCAACGGGGGCAGCGGCTACGAGGGCCGGCACTGCGTCTACTCCCGCCGCAGCAACGGCTCCTGGAACGTCGCCATGGGTGGCTCGGGCACCGTGACTGCTGACGGGGATGGTGTTGTCTGCTTGGACGTCCAGTGGGGCCTGCCCGTCGTGCTGCGTGCCCGCTAAGGCTCTTTGGTGGTGGATGCTATGCGTTGAGGGGAGGAGAAGAGAAATGAGTACATGTGGAACGGCCTGTCCAAACGCCACGTGTGAATATGCGAACCATTTGCATGCGATTTGTCTGTCGACATACAATTTCAGCTGTCTATATTTAATTTAACTTCCAATGAAATCTGCATGGGCCACTTGTCTGACACACTGGCGCCCTCGTGACAAATTCCGCTTGTTTCAGACACTGTCGGCAGACATGTCTCAACGCTGTCTGACAGAAGAATACTGTCTCGGCCATTTCAGCCCTCCGGCCGCCCTTGATTTTTCGTCGCTCAACATGATACACATGGCTATTTCCCCCGACATCTTTCGTTTCTCCTGCTGCTTCTGACGTGACATCCTTCACTTCGCAGCCGCTGAATCCCATGGCCACGGCTACAGCCACCGCCACCGAGACCACAACAACTACTCAAGACTTTGGCTACAAGCTGCCATATCTCTTTCGTCGCTTCAGCCGTTTCATCATGTCCGAATCTCTCGTTCTGGAGTCCACGCCCGCAGATGGTGTCCGGGTGCTCGCCTTCAATCGTCCGACGAAGCGCAACGCTCTCTCCCAGGACCTGATCCGGGAGTTTCTTGACAAATTATCTGTGGCTTCTGTGGACGCCAAAGTAAAGACGATTGTGATCACAGGGGGTTCCTCCTTTTTCTGCGGTAAGATTCGAGCTAGAGTCGGGTCCAAAATGGGACACTGATGCCCGGAACCTTCACAGCTGGCGCCGACATTAAAGAAATCTCCGTCTTGGATGCTGAAGGTGCTCGACAATGCAGGTATCTTGAGAATCTTTGCCAGGGCCTACAGAATGTGCGCAAGCCCATGATCGCCGCTGTCGAGGGCATGGCGGTGAGTGTGCCTCTGACTTGGGTAGAGCTGTGGTACGAACTGAAAACTTGCAGCTCGGCGGTGGATTAGAGGTCGCTCTCGCTGTACGTATATACGAGCCAATGCCCGTTATCGTGCTCGGACACATGTAAGCTGACCCAAGTCCAGTGCGACATGATATACGCATCCAACACCGGCAAGTTTGGTCTCCCTGAAGTCAGCATCGGTCTGCTGCCTGGTGCCGGCGGAACACAAAGGCTGACCAACGCGGTCGGAAAATACAAGGTAAGCTATCCTTCGATCTGATCTTCTTGTGGCCAGGACGTGACTGACAGCTGCACCAGGCGATGCAGATGATTCTACTGGGGAGCCCCATCTCCGCGCAAGAAGCCCGCGCGGCAGGCCTAGTAGCCGATACCTTTGAAGCGGGGACCGTGCTGGACAATGTGATGCACGTGGCAGCGAGATTGGCTTCCATGAGCCCAACGGCGGTTTCGCTGGCGAAAGAGGCGATATGTCGATGTAAGTATGGGATGTGAATGATGAACATGCGCTGACGTCTGTGGCAGCCGACAGCCTTGGACGCGACGACGAGTTTGAACGTAGTCTGTACTACTATGCGTTCGGCACGGCGGACAAGAGAGAAGGCGTGGGTGCTTTTCTAGAGAAGAGAGCGCCAAGTTGGGCGCGGTGAAGGGGCGTGTCGGGATTGACCTGAAGTGCACGTCGATATCGCCGCCGGTTAGACTTCTCTAAATTCGGTTGGACGGACGATGCGGAGAATACGACGTGATGTTTCTATTGTTCTTGCGGTCGAGTGTCCGCGATTCCTTCGTCTAGTCGATAGGTATTGTTTATCTACGAGTCAATCCTCTAGAGTTCTGTCTTGCCCTTGGCGGGGAGCTGCTTGGCCAAGAAAGCCTCGACCTCGCTGAGCTCCTCCAAGCATGCGGAATGCTCCATGCCCCTAGAGCAAGTCAGCCACAGCTCACAAGAACAGCTACATTCACTTACCTGTACACTTTCATCGTCACATCGTAGCCCAAATCTTTGAGAGTCTTTTCACTGTCCTGGGCCAGGGGAAAGCGGACCAACGGGTCAATGTCGCCGTGGCCCATGAGAACCGGCGTCGCCTTGTTGATGTTGGACGCGGGAACGAGGTCCTTGAAGCTTTGTGAAAGTAGTAGCCAAGAAGAGAGACCGACGATGCCACCCAGCTTGACGGAGGCCGTGAGGCCGCTCAGAATGCTCATGGCGCCACCCTGCGAGAAGCCGCCGAGGATGATGCGCTCAGAGGGGATTCCAGCATTTATCTCCTCCTGAATGAGGCCGTGGAAGTACTCCTGCGACCGGAGGATCCCAGGCCGATCCTCGTCAACAGACTTGGCGCCGAGGGAGTCAACAGAATAGCCGAGGGCTTTGATGTCGAACCAGCCGGGCATGGGGAAGCCGCCATTCTGCGATATTTGGTTCAGTCTCCCCTGACAAGGTGGCGTCTATTCTGCTCAACGCGGTCGACTCACCATGGTAATGGGGATCGTGGGCGCGTGAGGCAGGATGAACTTGACCTCATCGAGGCGGTTGCGCGAACGTTTCATCTGCTCCACAGCATCGGCCCAGCCATGACCGGTGTCACCCAGGCCGTGGATGAAGATGACGGTCGCGGTGTGGCGGCTGGTAGCCGGTAGCACCAAGGGTGCCATGCGTCGAATTGAAGACATTTAATGATGTCAGGGTCGCTGCGTGGACTCTGGATCGGTCGGAAATGCAGAGGGAGCAATTGACTTCGGGGACAGGACATGCCAAGGGATGAGCTCAGGGTCGGCGCAGGAGAAGGCCTGTTAGATTCGACGCTATCAAACCGCTGCTCGGCTAATCGGCGGCCTTTACGTGATCGCTCCAGGTACAGGGTAGTTAAGAACCCACAGTTCTTTGGTTGATTATTCCACTTACCCTTGGTGGCCATCAGCCTTCAGAGCGGCATCATGTTGCCGGATCTTTGTACTCCTGTGTAATTATTGGGATCAAACGTCCCTATTGTGCGGAGATACGCAACTTAAAACTAGTATCTCCTCCGACAGCCACCAAGGAGGGGGGCTTCATGATGCCATGAGATCCACTCGAGATGCGGCGAAACGTCATGCTCAACTTCATGTTCACTCCGAGCTTCAATTGATCATCACTAAAGCTACATTTTTTCAGCGTGCCCTTTGTCGTTTCTGTAAACCATGTCGACGTAGTACGTAAACCTCGGACAACACAAGCTCACAGCCCCGGTATACACACAATGGTCTGCACCACCACCTTTCAGCTGAACACGGGTAAGTATATCGTGCCATCAAACGGCACACGCTGACAATGCCGTAGGCCACCAATTCCCGGCAGTGGGCCTGGGAACATGGCAAGGTCAGCAGATTTCTACCCAGTGCTTCACCTGAGATAGAGAAGGACGCGAATGCCAACCATCACAGGCAAAGGAACAATTGATGACGAGAACGCACTCGAGTCCTCCATCATCCACGCGCTCCAGTCAGGATACCGCCTCGTCGACACCGCACAACTTTACGGTACAGAGCACGTCGTCGGCCGTGCCATCCGCAACTCGGGCGTCCCCCGCTCTGAGATCACCGTCGTCACCAAGTTCTGGGGCCACTGGCACCACGATCCCGCCGCCGCCCTCAGGATCTCGCTTGAGGAGCTGGACATTGAGTACATTGATGTCTTCCTCATGCACTGGCCGTGGGCGACGGCGCCCGATCGGAAGCCGCTCCGCAAAGACGAGAGCCCGACGTTCAAGGAGACGTGGACCATGATGGAGAGTCTGGTCGGCGACAAGTGTAGGGCGATTGGTGTCAGCAACTTTACGCAAAAGACGCTGGACGAGCTGGCGGAGACGGCCAAGGTCACCCCTGCGATCAACCAGGTTGAGCTGCACGCATTGAACCCGAACCACAAGCTGGTCGAGTACTGCCATGAAAAGGGCATTGTCGTCATGAGCTGGGCGTAGGGCACCACCAGATGGACTACCCATGTTCCATTGCTGACCGGATTTCTAGGACCCTCGGCGGCGGTGGAGACAGCGACACGAAAGAGGTCATCCTCGGCCACGAGCTCTTCAAGACCATTGCCCAGGCGCACGGTTGCTCCACGGGCGTCGTTTCGCTCTCGTGGGCTGTGCAGCGCGGCATCAACGTCATCCCAAAGAGTGGCAGCCACGACCGCATCGAGGAGAACATTTCCCTAGTCACCTTGACTGATGAGGAAATGGACAAGATCAACAATGCCCACAAGACCATCAAGTCGTATCGCCTGGCCAAAGGCATTCAGGGTCTCCGGATGAAGGTCGACGGAAAGGACTCGCTGCAAATGTGGACGTGGCAGGACTTTGGGTGGGAGGATGAGAGTGGCAACTGGCTGACATAGATGGTCTCGACTATCAAAAAGCCCTCATGCAAGTGACAGCAGTGCCCGTCGACAGCGTGATGCCTCGTGGTTGGTGGAGATGTGGTGTAGAGGAATCATCCACGAACCGACAGAGATGGTTCATGTTTTCAAGAAACTAACACTGTCAGTCTGTCGCCCAAGGCCTCGATCTTCTCACACATCTGACCACGCAGTTCACTCATTACTGATCGTGTACGGAGTACGTCATCGTGTAATCCTCCATCAGAGTGAACCGGACTCCGAAAGACCGAGGTGGTGATGTACCGCGTAGGCATGTCGACTCCGGAAATTTATGGTTAAAAACAAACTCGCTAATCTTTCCCCCTTGAAGTCTGAAACTTTAACTCGGACACCAAACGGGCCTTGGCGCGTGCGGATGACCAGGCTCAATGTCGGGCGCCGCGGACGCCGGTGGGCAAACTGCATCTACGGATTCTTGTTGCGGCGCCCGCGGGCGACCGCTGTGCAAATTCACGTATCATCGCGTCTGTACAAGATGTTCAGAACTCCGCCTCGAGAGTATGGTTTGACTCGTTCAGAACAACCTGCCTTGTCTTTTGCTCCTTACTCAGGCAGGCTGTCGTGAACAGTCAAGCGCTGACAACCATTTGATAGCAAGGTCCGACCGACACAGGACAATACGTCGAGTCGAGGAAGACTGAACCGACGAGCAGCGAATTCCAGACGCCCAGACTCAGGCACCAAACATGGCTGCCACGCTGGAGGAGAAGACACGGATCGGAGAGCCCAGGCCCCACGGGAGCGACTCGACACTCCCCAAAAATGAAGGCATCGAGGCAGCCAGTGCCGCGCCCGAGCCCAAGCCCGATGAGCCGCAGGAGATGACTGGCTGGCAAGCTTACTGGGTAGGACAGGACTGAACTCTTTGCGATCCCTGCTGAGGCTAACATGAACCAGAGGATATTTCGGTATGCTGGTACGTTCGAGTACGGCCTCCAAGGCATCGCCACGGTGGCCGCCGTTGCCTCGGGCGCTGGTGTCGCCCTCCAGAACCTCATCTTTGGCCAGTTCGTCACGGTAATTGTGGACTTTACGTCGGGTGCCTCGTCGCCCTCTGCCTTTCGTGGCGACGCCGCCCGACTCGCGCTGTACTTTGTCTACCTCGGCATCGCCCGTTTCTTCCTGACGTACACCTTCAACGTCCTGCTCACCTTTTCCGCGTACCGGATGGTGCGAAACATCCGCCACGAGTACATCCGCTCGGCGCTGTCGCAGGAGGTGGCCTACTACGACTTTGGCACGGGGGGCTCCATCGCGACGCAGGCCACGTCCAACGGCAAGCTCATCCAGGGCGGTGTCGCGGAAAAGTTTGGCCTCACCGTCCAAGGTCTCTCCACGTTCATCACGGCGTTCATCATCGCGTTTGTGACCAACGCCAGGCTCACGGGCATCTGCCTGTGCATCGCGCCCGCCACCATCGCGGTCATGGGCGTCGTGTCCTTCATCGAGGCCGGCCACGAGACCAAGATTCTCGAAATCTACTCCCAGGCCAACTCCTTCGCCGAGGGTGTCCTCGCCAGCGCCCGGACGGTCCACGCCTTTGAGATGCGCGCGCGGCTCGTCCGAAAATTCGACACGTACCTCGAGGAGGCACACCACGTCGGCCACAAGATCTCGATGCTCTTTGGGCTCATGTTCTCGGCCGAGTACACCATCATCTATCTAGGGTTTGCGCTCGCCTTTTGGCAGGGCGTCCGTATGCTGGCCAATGGCGAAATCACCGAGTCCGGCGACGTCTTTACGGTTCTGCTGTCCGTCGTCATCGGTGCCCTCAGCCTGACCATGCTGGCGCCGTACTCCATCGACTTCACGCGAGCCGCCTCGGGTGCCGCGCAGCTCTTTGTGCTCATTGACCGCCCGTCGCAGATCAACCCCTTCAACGAGGCGGGAGAGGCTCCCTCCTCCGTCAGGGGCCACATTGAGCTGCGAAATGTGCACTTTTCATACCCAACGCGACCGGGCACTACGGTCCTGGACAATTTCACCCTCAACGTCCCTGCTGGCAAGGTCACCGCGCTCGTTGGACAGAGCGGCTCCGGCAAGAGTACTATTGTCGGGCTTCTCGAGAGGTGGTATACTCCCACGTCCGGGAGCATCAAGCTTGACGGCCGAGCCATTGAGTCACTCAACGTCAACTGGCTGCGAAGGAATGCACGCCTGGTCCAGCAAGAGCCTGTCCTTTTCCAAGGGTCTGTCTACGACAACATTGCCCACGGTCTAGTTGGCACGTCCCTGGAACGGGCCCCACGCGAGGAGAAGATGGCTCGGGTCATGGAGGCCGCCCAGCTCGCCTTTGCGCACGACTTTGTCTCCGAGCTGCCGCAGGGATACGACACCAACATTGGTCAGCGCGGCAGCCTCCTATCCGGCGGACAGAAGCAGCGTGTCGCCATTGCCCGTGCCGTCGTCTCACAGCCCAAGATCCTCCTCCTCGACGAGGCCACGAGCGCGCTCGACCCTCACGCTGAGGGCGTGGTCCAGCAAGCACTCGATCGCGCCTCCGAGGGCCGCACCACGATTGTCATCGCCCACAAGCTAGCGACGATCCGCAAGGCTGATAACATTGTCGTCATGACCAAGGGACAGATTGTCGAGCAGGGTACCCATGAAGGACTGATTGCCCAGGACGGAGCGTACGCTCGCCTCGTCAGGGTGCAGAGCTTAACCATGTCCAACAGTGCGGAAGGCAAGAAAATCGATGAAGACGCTTCGACCTCGGACGAGGAGAACGTGGACCCTGCCGATCTGACAAAATCATTGACGCGGTACGCGACCGAGCAACAAGCCAGGATGGAGGCCCAGAAAGAACGCGACAACTACGAGCGGTACAAAGAGCAGAGCTTCCTCACCGTGGTCTGGCGTCTGATCATCGAGAACCCCCAGGTCAAGTGGTCCTTTTTCATGGCATTCCTCGGTTGCGTGGGTGCCGCGGCCGCCTTTCCCGGCCAGGCCATCCTCATGGCGAACATGGTGGACGTCTTCAAGCTGCAAGGCGCCGCCATGGCGTCACGCGGCGACTTCTTTGCCACCATGTACATTGTCCTCGCCGCGGGCTGTCTGCTCACCTACTTTGCGCTCGGCTACTCGACCAACACCGTCTCCCAGTCTCTGACACACAAGTTCCGTCGTCAGTTGTTCAACGACATGCTGCGTCAAGACCTGCAGTTCTTTGACCGCCCGGAGAACAATGTGGGTGCCTTGACGAGCCGCGTTGATTCCAACCCCCAGGCCGTCCTCGAGCTCATGGGGTTCAACATTGGCCTCATCCTCATCGCGGTCCTCAATGTGGCGGCGTGCAGCGTCCTCGGCATTGCGCACAGCTGGAAGCTTGGCCTCGTCGTCGTCTTTGCCGGTCTGCCGCCTCTCCTCGGCAGCGGTTGGCTGAAAGTTCGCTTCGACGTCAAGCTCGACCATCAGATTGCCAAGAAGAGCGCCGCTAGCGCCTCCATTGCTTCCGAGGCCGTCAACGCCATCCGCACGGTGTCCTCCCTAACCATTGAGAGGGATATTCTAGACCGATACACGGCCGAGCTGGACCACGCCATCCACGCCTCGCGCAAGCCGCTGGCGTCCATGATGGTCTGCTTTGCGTTCACGCAGTCCATTGAGTACTGGTTCATGGCCCTCGGTTTCTGGTACGGCTGCCGTCTCGTGTCCTTTGGGGAAACGACCATGTACGACTTCTTTGTCGCCTTTATGGGTGTCTTCCTCTCGGGCCAGGCAACCTCCCAGCTCTTTCAGTTCTCCACGAGCGTGACAAAGGGCAAGAATGCTGCCAATTACATCTTTTGGCTGCACAGTCTGCAGCCCACCGTGCAGGAGACACCCGAGAACAAGGACCATGCCCCCGAAGCGGGAGCGCCCGTGTCCGTCGACCACCTGCGCTTCTCATACCCTCTCCGACCGGACGCACAGGTGCTCCGGGGCGTCGACCTCGAGATAGGCAAGGGGCAGTTTGTCGCCCTGGTGGGTGCTTCGGGCTGTGGAAAGTCTACCATGATCGCCATGCTCGAGCGTTTCTACGACCCGTCCACGGGCACGATCCGCATCGGTGACGACGCACTTCTCTCCTTGAACCCCCGCCTGCACCGTCGCATCGTCTCGCTCGTCCAGCAGGAGCCCACCCTCTTCCAGGGCACGATCCGCGACAACATTGCCCTGGGCATAGATCAACCCGACGACGCCGAGGACATGTCCGTCTCGGATGAAGATATCGTGGCTGCTCTTCGCGCCGCCAATGCATGGGACTTTGTGTGCTCCCTGCCGGACGGCGTGTCGACATCGATGGGGAGCAATGGCACGCAGCTCTCGGGCGGGCAGCGACAGCGCATCGCCATTGCGCGCTCGCTGGTCCGCAACCCGTCCATTCTGCTGCTAGACGAGGCGACGTCCGCCCTGGACACCGAGTCGGAGAAGATTGTGCAGGGTGTCCTAGCGGAAGCAGCCAAAGCCGGCAACCGGATCACGGTGGCCGTCGCGCATCGTCTGAGCACCATCAAGGATGCTGACGTGATCTGCGTCTTTTACGGGGGCAGGATCGTGGAAAAGGGCACGCATGCCGAATTGGTTGCGCAGAGGGGTCTGTACAGGAAGATGTGTGAGGCGCAGAACTTGGACTAGATGATTTGCTACAGCAGCGCTGCGACAAAGATTATTTCATAGATATTAGGAGGATTATCTTACTATACAAGCAATTCCGTACACATGTACTCTTCTGTACACCTCATTCGTCAACGTACGCTCTGGGGAACAAGCTCGCCCAGCACCTGATCCAAATGGCGTCCGACAGTAAAGTGCGTCTCGCCCTCAAACTCGGTCAGGCGACTCCCTTGTAGTCGCCTCGCCATGTCGCGAATCCACCCAATGGGCGCATTCACATCCTCAGCCCCGTGCCATATGAGAATCGGGTCGTAGGCAACGTCCTCGAGGTCAAACCCCCAGTGCGTCGACAGCAGCACCGCCTCCTGGACCGTGGCCGCCGTGCCCTGCGCAAAGCCCTCGAGCAAGATTCTGACCATGAGCTCGCGCTCTTCCTGGACGGACATTGTCGGCGCCTCCTCGGCATTCTCGCGCTGCGTTGCGAGCCAAGCATCGAGACGACGCGCGCCCGCCTCCGTCTGTGCTATCCATCGCGCCAGGCCCACCATGGACGAGCCCGCGACTTTCAGCACGCCCGGCGTCCACAGCGCCGCGTAATGCACCATCTTGGATTGCATCGGGATGTGCTCCCAGCTGCGATCGTACGGACCGGCCGAGGCGAAAAGACCGACGCGGGCGACCCGCTCCTTTCCCAGGACGTGTGCGCAGGCCAGGGCGTATGGACCGCCGCCGGATCCGCCAATGACTGCGAATCGCGGAATGTGCATGCCTTTGGCAAAGGCGTCCACATCCTTGGCGTGGCTGATGATGGTCCTGTGGTTCTGGGGGGTGGATATGCCGAAGCCTGGCCTTTCCAGGGTGTGGATGCGGAGATGGTGCTTGTCTGCGAGATGGGCTGGGAAGATGTCGAGGCGCGAGGAGGGGAAGCCATGCAGGTAGAAGAGAGGGTAGCCGTCACAGGGGCCGACGCTGGAGAAGCCCATGAGGCGTCCGTCGGGTAATTTGAAGGTCTGTGACTCTGCGACTGTCGACTGGTGGTGACGCTGGCTCTGCTGGGGCACATGTCGCAGCGCGAGGGAATGTCGATGAGTTGTGCATCGCAGGCTGTGCCGCACTGTGTTTGGCGCGGCCATTGCCTCTGTCCGATTGATATGGCGTTGAATGGGGACTGAGCAAGTCGTGAAGAAATTGAAGCAGAAAACGTCCCCCTGCGAGAGGGAGGGAGTTGAGGCTGTGGTGTCTCATGCGGTCAAACCAACGTGTACAATACAACAACCAACATGTACAATACAACAGCCAACATTGAACCCCTGGAAGTTTGTACGTCGGCTGAGACTTGCAGCCAGTCGGGTAGCAGCTTAGCAGTCAACGCTGTCTCGGCTGTGCGAGATTGTTATCACGGAACCGACGATCTTACCACGTCCGTGCTCCACAGTGCGCAACGGCTTGAGATGATTCGTTCGTCGGCCCTACTAGCGCAAGTCTTTGTCCTTTCTTAACATAATTCCAGGGGTTATTGAGGACATACGACATGACCAATGAGCAGCCAAAAGATTAAGTTCTGAGATCTGACATTGATGGTGTTGGTTGTTTGGCTGTTCTAGGCGGAGCAGACACTGCTCACCAGACCGTTTCGTTGTGCGTGGTTGTTGTTGTCATGTGCATGTGTTGATGTGACCATGCATTAGCACTCAGCTCCTTATCGAGGTAAGATTTACCGAGGGAAAAAAGAAATCTTTGCACGGGGTAGGTAGATAGGAAAGCATCTTTACTGAACATCTTGTTGAATATCTATAGAATGGCGCATACCTATGATCGTTGTTGAAGATCCCCAAAGCGCCCGCCAGCCATGCCAATATGAAAGAAAGTCCCTGCATCCAAACGCTCCGAACAATGCGCACCGAATCCCCTCCCCTCGTCACGGCTTCTTATGCTGCTGAAAGAGCGATGCCAGTACGCTGGACTGCTTGGTCTCCATCTCGTGAAACTCGGCCTCGTCAGTCGACTGGATGGTCACGGCGCCGCCAGCGCCAACACGCCATGTGCTGTCCTTGGACCCCCTGAACGCCGTCCGGATGACAACCGAAAAGTCCCCGGCACCGCCAATGTCCATGTACCCAATGACACCCGAGTACAGTCCGCGCGGTCTCTTCTCAATGTCCCTCAGGATCTCGCAGGACCGCTTCTTGGGCGCCCCCGTCATGGACCCTGGGGGCAAGGATGACTTGAGCACCTCGAGACCAGCCCTCTTGTCGGGGAGCTCTCCCTCGATCACGGAGACGAGCTGGTACACCGTCTCGTACTCTTCAACGACCATGAGTTTGGACACCCACGTCTTGTCCGCGCCAATGACGCCGCTGAGATCGTGCCGGATGAGATCGACAATCATGAGATTCTCCGCTCGTTCCTTGGAGCTGTCGAGGATCTCGTGCGCACGTTCGCGCGTCATGCCAGGTCCCTTTTTCACCGTGCCCTTGATCGGTCGGAACTGACACTGACCCTCGCGTGTCCAGCGGAGGAAGCGTTCGGGGCTGCTGCCAATGACGGTCATGTCACCGAGGCGCAGGAAAGCGCCGTGGGGCGCTGGGTTGTTTCGACGTAGCCGCTTGTACAGATCCCACTCGTCAATCTTCTCCCCGGGCAATGCAATGGTCGTCTCGTCCGTGAGACACAGTTCGTACGAGTCTCCCGAGGCAAGAAAGTCTTGACAGCGAAGCACCTTTTCCCTGTACTCTCGCTCTGCTGGTCTCGTCACTTGGGCTCGCGCGAGTGCAAGGTCGAGGAATCTGTCCTCGGGTGAGACGCCGGTACTGACCGCATCAGAGGTCCTGCGCCTCTTGGCGTCTCGCCCATGTGTACCCTCGTCCGGCCCGCTCGCCGAGGACAGATGGTCGATGATCCGGCTCGTCGTGGCCAGCCACTTCTCATCATCGGGCAGGAGGGACTGGATGACGACATTCGAGGCATGGTGGTCAATGACGATACTCCGGTGTATGAAAGCAAAGCTGACGTCCGGGAGGGCGCTCTCCTTGCAGCTCGGATGAGCAGCCACGTCGATGCTCTCGAGGCCGGCCTCGTAGGACACGAAACCCATGAAACCGCCCCAGAAGGGAATGTTCTTCTCGAATGCGGACGGGGTCGGAGGTTGAAGTACATCCAGAGCGTCTTGCAGTACGGGCCAGATTTCCTCGATTCCCTCTACTTGAACAGACTGTTGCTTTGTCGGGCCAGTGGCATAACGCAGGGTCTTATCGGTCACGCGGTAGCTGACCTGGGCCGTTTTGTCAGGCGTGACAAGACCAATGATGCTATATCGTCCAGAGGGGTGGCCTTGGGAGTCCAGCACCAGGACTTGGTCTTGCACCAGCCCTAATGCTTCCAGGACGTGAGGCAGATGCAGCTGCTCGATGGTTTTCGAAACGGACTGCTCGAAAGAGACTCTCCCGTCTGTGATCGACATGATGTACTCCGCAAGGGGCCCGTGACCTCGTTGCCCTGGTGAAGCTTCGCCATTACTGGCGCCATTGCTTTGTCCTCCCACCTTGTGAGCCGTACCATTCGTCTGTTTCTCCTGCAAACGGGGCGCTACCTCCTTGCCATTCCTTCGACTCCAGTCCCGCGCCAGATCCCACCAACTCTGGATGAGCGCCTTACCAGCCTTGTTCGTGCATATCGATTCCGGATGGAACTGCACACCCCAGAAGGGTTTGCTCGTGTGTCGCACCCCCATGACAATAGGTCCGTTCAGCTCATCGTCAACATCCCATGCCAGTGGCTGCAGATCAGGACATGTCTCGGACGGTGTCCACGACACGTGGTCATCGCCAGCCGCGAAGCCCAGGTTTGCTCGGAGCGAGTGGTACTGCGTAGCCTCGAGGTCTCCGATGCCGGAGAAGATGTCGTCGTCTTGGTGCGTGACCCTGTTGACGATTCCGTGCCTGGCTCTCGCCAGCTTTTCCACCGTGGCGCCATGGGCGAAGCACAATGACTGGAAGCCGAGGCAGATGCCCAGAATGGGGAGCATGCGCTCCTCGCCGAGCTGCCACAGTCGGTTGATGAAGCCAACGTCGTCCGGATTAGAAGGATGGCCCGGCCCAGGGCCGACGACTACAGCATCGAACTGGTCGATGCGTGACTCGAGAGTCTTCTGGAAGCCGGCATTGTCAATATGCACAAGCTCAACCGTCGTGTCCGCGCAGGATTCCTCCAGCAATCCGACGATATTGTTGGTAAAAGAGTCAAAGGCATCGACAAAGAGGATCCGGTGACGACGACCGCCAAGACGTCCCGCGATGGCCATGGTCCCTGGTTTGGGGGGTTAATCTGAGCTGGCCGGGGGAGGCTTGGAGACTGGGAGAGATTCCCCGATGAGTGTGAGGCCAGAAGGGCTCATGTAAGTAGATGAGGCCAGTTCATCAATGTGCGATCATGGCTGAGACCGCATTGACCATTGCAGCATGATCAAAGCATGGTTCAAGACGGGATATGGACGAGAGGTAGCCTCTGACAGTCATGACTCTCTTGGCGTCGTGATAAGGGTAATGAGACTTTTTTTTACGGTGGAGTGGCTGGCATCGGCTTGAGTCGGCTAGCATCCGAGTCTGGCGTGACCACATCCGGTAAGTTACCAAGTTCAGCGTTAGTCTTTCTGCCTACCCTGCGCCCTGTGCTCCTGTCTCATGAGTCATGACTCTCGTCACAGCATGACCCCCAAGGAAGCAGGTGAGGACGACACAGTAGAGAGCGTGGATGACCGGGGAGCGACTTTAAAGGCGCCATTGCGTTGCATGCTGCGGCGGAGAGAGGCCGTGTGGACATTGTAGCACGCCTGTTGAGTCACGGCGCTGAGGTGAACGCAGTGGCAGGCTGGGGAGGGCAGACGGCCATGCAAAATGCAACCGCCGCAGGGCATGACGGTATCGTCAAGTTGCTTCGACAGGCGGGCGTAGTCGGTGGGCTTGGTAGGGGCCTTTTGCTGTTTGAATAAGGCATCTCTTTCAAGCCCAGTGAGTATACAGACGTCTCTGTAGCCGAGTCATGCCCAGCTTGGCAGGCATGCCTCGGTTTGGGATGCACGATGAGGGGGATATGGTCGAGTCGACCATGGAACTTGATTTAAGTCGAGTCTCTGGATGAGCTCTCTCTTGACAGGGCTCTGACGCGGATCATGGTCCAGATCCGACGCGATTTGGCGGGTATGGCTGAATGGGCAGCTATGGCTGGCACATGTAGGCGGTACTGATAACAGTGGCTCGAGGTTCAATAGCAAAATGTCGTCTTTCCCTGTCTTCACCTTTACTACAGAACAATATGAGTCTTTCGCAGTCGTATGATCTTCACTGCAGGGCACGAAGATCAGGTTTGTGCCTGAATTTCTATATTAATGTCTTGATGGACCACGTGTGAGTCCTTGGCGGGTATTGACGAAGATGCTGTGGTTCGTCACCACGCGCACATGATACCCCATGTGGCATCGACGTAGGAGTCGAATGAGTAGCCTTGGCTGAGGTAGAGCCTAATGTATGTTCTGATTGTTCTCGGGTATCGTGTTCTTCGGCGAAGCTGGATGGACGATGGATGAATCCATCATTGATGTCGCCGACTTCAGGTCCAGTCGCGTCGGCTGGGACCGCCTGGAGTCGCGCGTGTTACAGAGCAATCCCAGGGGCTCCGGTCCCTATGGCCCGCTAACCGTCAGCCATGCGGGCCGGCACCGCCAACGACTGGTGGGTCAGTTCGGCGACCTACACACACCTACCCGGTATTAATGAGCGGTGCACCTCTGTCCAGTGACTCCAGTCACTGGTCGTCATTGTGTCGAGAAGACGCTGCTGCTGCAATTCCAATCATTGAAAACAAGAAAAACCTGATGAGTGCTTTCTTACTTCCCTTTAGCCCTACATCAACTTGTCAACCCGCTGGCTCGCACCTCTCTTATCAGACGCCGGACTGCGCTCCGATCCACGTCCGAGAATTTCTCCTCTGGGCGATAGCCAGCACCGCGTCAAGCCCTGGTCTTCGGAGCTGCATCGAAAACAACGTGGGGAAGCCGTCCAAGCCAGGTTACAGCACTGCATCTCTTACTCTTCATTCTCGACATTGGAACTCCTCTCTTCTCCTAACTTCTTTTTTCCCCCTTCGCTCACGCTCGGAAAGGCAAGGTTGCACTCGGCACACTGCGTGCGCGGACGAGGTCACGAGCACGGCTTGTGAAGTGATTACCTAACAAATCCCAGCCGAGCCTTGCTTCGATTGGTGGCCCCAAGATTTCTGTGGGGTCGAATCTCGAATCCGCGCCGGACAAGGTCCTGTCCAGTCCCAGACTCACTCCTGATACTTCGTCTACGAGGATTATCTATCCATCTGCTGTCGCTTCAACCGTTGACTACAACCTGTCCTGCCCGTCTTCGATAGCCAGACGTCCCTTGACTCTGTGCAAAGCCTGTCGACAACTGTTCTCGCCTCTACCTCAGCAGTCGCCACCCGACACTCACTTGCTTCTCACTTCATATCTCACGTCCGCAAGCACAGAGAGATCAGACATCAACAGCGCCTCGCCACACCATCGCGATGGCACATGGTGTGCCATCGCATCTCAGCAGGCAGCTCCTGCGAGCAGCAGCACGACAGACCACCTCAACCTGGTCGTGCACTGCGCGCTGCTCTCCTACACGCCAACGTCAGCGTCAAGCAGCATCAGCCTCAGCCTCAGCCTCAGCATCTTCAGTGCGCTGCTTCGTGACGACTCCAGCAGCTCACTCGAAACCTCCCACAGACTCTTCGCAGACGCCGTCAAGTTCATCAAGAGGGCCAGAGGGCTCTACGCGATCATCACCCGAGAGCCCCAATCCCAATCCCAATCCCAAACACAGGCGCACAGCGCTGCTCGCGGCTAGCAGCGGCGTTCTCGCCTTGGCGCTGGCCTTTGTCGAGCCTGTGCCCTCGCAGCAAGACACGGGGCCTCACAAACAAGCGTCAGTCAAGGAACCCCAAGAGCCGTCGCAAACGCCTGCAGAACCAGAGGACCAGGCGAATACCGACACGGGGCTGCCATTCTTCCGACTCGCAGAGGTCAAGGAGCACGGTCCCAAGTCGGAGCGCCCATGGGTCACCTACAAGGGCAAAATCTACGACATCACCGACTGGGTCCCGGCGCATCCTGGAGGCGAGGTCATCCTACGCGCTGCTGGGTCAGACATCGAGCCATACTGGAACATTTTTGCCATCCACAAGTCCCAGTACGTCCTCGACATCCTGGAATCCTACTGCATCGGCCACGTCCACCCAGACGACCTCGCCAACGGCCAGGCCAGCGTGGAGGACCCGTTCCTGACAGACCCCGAACGCGACGCCCGTCTGCGCTTCCTCACACAGAAACCCTGCAACGCAGAGACGCCCGCCGACGAGCTGGCCGACTCCTTCTTCACGCCCAACGACACCTTCTACGTGCGCAACCACATGTGGGTGCCCGTCATCGACAACGCCCCCGACTATGAAATCTCCGTCGAGCTGCCCGACGGCGAGGTCAAGAGGTACACCATTGCCGAGCTGCAGACCCGCTTCAAGCAGCACGCCGTGACCGCCGTGCTGCAGTGCTCCGGCAACCGGCGGCGTGACATGACCGAGCACGCCAAGAAGACCAACGGTCTGCAGTGGTCCGTCGGCGCCATCTCCTGCGCCAAGTGGGAGGGCGTGCTGCTCCGGGACGTGCTGCGCGACGCGGGTGTGTCCTTTGAGCCCGACCCGGACATTCAGCACGTCCAGTTCTCCGGCGATGAGGCCTACGGCGCCAGCATCCCCATCGAGTCCGCCATAGACCCCCGCGGCGATGTCCTTCTCGCCTTCCGGATGAACGACCAGCCACTGCCCCGCGACCACGGCTTCCCCGTCCGCGTCATCGTCCCCGGCCACGTCGCCGCCCGCTGCGTCAAGTGGCTCAAGAAGATTGTCATTAGCGACGAGGAGTCCCAGACGAGCTGGCAGCGCCGCGACTACAAATGCTTCGGCCCCAACGAGACCAAGCAGGACTGGGACAAGTACAAGTCCATCCAGAAGATGCCCATCACCAGCGCCATTACGCGCACCAAGATGCGCCAGCCCGAGGAGGGCGAACCCATGGTCTCCCTCGAGGGATACGCCTACTCGGGCGGCGGCCGCGAGATCCAGCGTGTCGACGTCAGCCTCGACGGCGGCCACACCTGGGACCAGGCCCGCCTGCTGCAGGACGACATGAAGCTCGAGCACGGCCACCAGGCGTGGTGCTGGAAGCGCTGGCGCTACGAGGGCCACCTGCCCGCCGAGGACGGGGTGGCCGACGCTGAGAGCAACAACAACAACCACCACCACCACAACAAGGAGCGCAAGGCCACTTTTGTGGTCAAGGCCACGGATGATGCGTACAACACCCAGCCCCAGACGTACGAGAGCATCTACAACCTCCGCGGCAACCTCGCCACGGCCTGGCACAGGGTCGACTACGAGGTCAAGGACGAGGGGAAGCACAGCAAGGCCGTGATGAAGGCCGAGACTACATGATATCATAGACTTTGTGCGAGAAGTGGAGGGCGCGATTTGGTTGGGCAGCATTGTCGGCATCATTGCAGCGTTTGTGCGTTTTATTTTGGCTACAGGTACTCTGACAACATAATTCATTCCTCATTCACCATATGCCTAAATAAACCAGTTCCATCGCTACCCGTAGCTTCGACCATAGGTCCTTGCTCAACCCTGGTAGACCTCACTCAGGCCCAGGGATCTGGTAGACGGGGTTGGTCTCATCGTTGTAGATGTTGTAAAAGATACCAGGATCGTCACTGCTGTATAGCTCCGTGCCAAGGACACCCTCCGGGTTGTCGGAGCCTCCGCCGGTGATCACGAGGTTGATGCACTGCGGGTACATCTGCGTCAGACCCTCCGCGTAGCAATGGTGCAGCGCAATCTGCTCGTGGCGCAGGACGTAGCTGCCCGGCGCGATGCTATCGGGGATGGTGACCTTCCACGCGGCGCCTGGCGTCCTATCAGCAATCATCCCACAAGCAAAGGAAAAGACCCGTCACTCACCATCGCCAATGAACTTGTCGGACGCCCAGTAACCGGTCGCGCCCCCGCCGGGCCCGAGCTCGAGCTGGCCCATCTCGGCAATCTTGAAGAACTTGAGCAGCGTCTTGTCGACGGTCGTGCAGTCCCCGTGACAGTTGGCGAGGTAGTCGACGACGGGCCCGTGGTGGCTCTCGGGCCAGCCCGTCCACTGCAGGGTGAGCTCGTTGCCGGCCGCCCACCGTCGCCGTCAGGGGCGCGTTCTTAGCGTCCAGGTGGTAGATAATGTCCGGGTCCTGCATCGACGACGACGGCACGAAGCCCGTGTCCGTCGCCCAGTTCTGCCACCCGATCGAGTCATGCTCGGCTTGCCAGGGCGCGATGGTGGGGTTGTACCCGACGTACTGCTGGCCGTCGATGATGATCTGGTTCACGTAGCCGTGGGCGGACACGCCAGCGGCGCCAGCTAGGGCGGCGAGGATGGTGGTGGTCGTATAGGGAGGCATATTTAGCAATGTGACTTGTCCCAGAGGAAGAAGTACCTCTATAGATAGATGATGAGAGCGGAGAAGAGAGTGACTAGGGCGGCATGTAATTGTGTCGAGGACCGGACATGTCTTTATAGCCCTTTGCAGAGTACACCTGCCAACCATGCAAACCGCCTCATGCCAATCTCGCTTCCACTTGACCAAGTGCGGTCCTCTGACCGTGGCAAGATACTACTTGGGCTTTCCAAAGTGCCACCAGACTCTGGGGATGCGCCGCTTGGCGATGGCAGCTTGAGGGTGGTATCGACGCCCACTGGGAATATCAGCCTCCGCCTCCCCTCTCAGCGCCCCGTGTGTAGACAGTCTAGGCAAGGAATGCCGGCACTTTATGAGACTGAATGTACTGCTGGTGTTACCCTTTTGCGCCGCGCCAATCTGAGTCTTCGTCCTGTAAGCGCCCCGACCTCAAGGATGAAGCAACGGAGACGCCGTCGCACGCGCATGCCTTGAGCCGCGAGTTCGGTCACGTTGCCCTTGGCGTTGAAGCTGCTTCCCCGGACAATGGAACCTTCGAGATGGCTCCCCCTTCTCAACCACCAAGACCTGTCATTCGACGGATTGCTTTCCGGCTGCCCGTGTGCAAAGTGGCCCTAGAGACAGGCGCCTCTATCTGCCCCCTCGAACAGAGCTGCCTGAGCGACCAGCGCACCGCGTGAGGTGTTCACCGGCATCTTGATGCTCTGCCGCTGTCGTCTTCTAAGGTAGATGACCATGAGAAATCGAAACTTTCAGAACTGGTGGCTAGAGATGCCAGAATTCGTCAACAGAGATTTTGATGTAGTCGTCCGGGATGACCTGGGCTGCATAGCGATCCATCGGGGGAAGGTATGCCACGGACAACGCTCACGACGCGTTGCCAGGCTCTAGTGTTAAGGAACGGTTCATGGTGCCGTCTCCAAGCAATATAGTTTTTGGCCCAAACTCCTGTAATACTTGCTGAACAAGAGAAAAAGGCCCATCTCGATTCATAGGGCGCGTATATGAACACTGCTGCAGTGTACGACCCTAGAATCCGGGTACTGGCATGACTTGGCTCAGCTGGCTCAGCTGGCTCAGCTGGCCCCAGCCCGTTCCGATCAAGCCTCAAAATCCGCGGCGACAACTTCTGTCAAGATTTGGGGAAAGACAGGTGTTGAATACGGCATCTGGTCCGTAATTCAACTGCGCTGTGGCACGCACAATGCACACCGCGCTTTTGGCAGGTTGCAGGTGTAGTCCTGGCTATCCTAACATGACGCCCAGTGCTGCAAAAGGAGAGTGAGCGCCTAATGAGAGCTGCATGGCCAAAATGCCCGAGATCCAAGTCGGCAAATATATTCGATCATCGTCGTGACTCGTGATGCCTTCAGGGCCGTGGAGTTGACGATGAGGAATTGCGGCCATACGACTGGACAATGGCCCCGCCTATCTGCTTACATAATCCGTTTTGTCCGCCCGTCCGCAAAACACCTCGAGCTGCCCGACGACGACGACTTCATCATCGCCCGATCCAACCTCTGACGACATTCACGGACGGCGCTAATCCCACTCAATCGACTGCCGGGAGTATCGACCACCTCGCATAGATCAATTGACGCGCCTGCTCGATCGCATCCAACTCCAAACCCGCCCACCATGCCTCAGGACATGCCCCCTCGGGGCGGGTACGAACCCGTCCAATTCAAGGTGCGACGGCGCGATCGCTCCGAGCGAACGAGCAGACACAGAACATGGAAAGACAGAAGCTAACAATTGCGCAGCGCAACCTGCCCGCCAAGGGATTCCGCCCTGGTGTTCTGCTGCTGGGCATGGGCGCCGTTATGACCTACGGATGGTACAGGCTCACAATTGGCATGCGCGAGCTGAAGTACGTCAACCTCACCAAGGAGAACACGGATCTGGTGCTGACTCTTCCTCCACAGTGAGCTACGTCGCGAGAAGGTGTGGTCTCGCATCTACCTCACCCCTGTCCTCCAGGCCGAAGAGGACCGCGACCAGGTCCGCCGATACTGGGCCGATCAGGCGCGTGAGAAGGAGCTCTTGGGCGAGAACAGCAAGGTTTACAGCACAGACAGGCACGTACCATCCTACACCGCCAGATCCAGGGACATCAAGCTTCTGGCAGGGCACACACGTCGGGAACCCATGCTAACCAGGGAACAGGTTCGTCCGGCCGACGTACGCAGTGGCACCGAGCACGACTGCCAACGGCAAGGAGTAGCGGAATGGGTAGAGAACTGTACATATGCACACTGTCTTTTCTTAGAGTTGAGGGAATACCAAACCATTACTTCACAGCGTGTGCATCCTCTTACCAGAACAGCATTTACACACTCAGGCATCGTTCAAGGCGCCTGCACACCGACCTCACGCTCCGTCCATTCCCAGAGCTCCTTCATGAGCTTCTCATCGAAACAGCTCTTGGTACCAGCGGACATCTTTCCGACAGGTTCGAAGAACGCCGCCTTGCCCTCGTCCAGGCTCTCCTGCACATCGTTCGCCGTGGCCGCCCAGACGGTGTTCACCGCGCCCTCCTCCTGGGTCAGGAAGTGAAGGTTGGTAACCCTGACAAGCAGCCATTTCGCCCAGCTGAGCTCCGTGACAAGCTCCGTGTTCACAACGCCGGGATGGATCGCCAGCGAAGTGATGCTCGGGTACCGCTTGCCCAGCTGACGCGCGAACAGGATGTTGGCGAGTTTTGACTGACCGTAGCGTCCCCACGAGCCCAGAGCCATGCCCTCTTGCCCCGTTTTGATCGTCTCAAAGTCAACGCCCTGCTTTGGATGGCCGCGGTAGCCTAGACTCGTCAGGGCAACGAAACGGACGTCTGCGCCGGGTATCTCTGCAGTCTTGAGCATCAGGGGTAGGACTCGCAAGGTGAGGGCCGCGTTGCCGATGTGATTGGTAGCAAACTGGATCTCGTAGCCATCGTCGCTGACACCGGCAGGGACAGCCATAATGCCCGCGTTAGCAATGACGACATCGAGCCTGTCCGTCTGCTGGATGATCTTGTCCGCGGCCGTCTGGACGCTGGCGAGGGAGTCGAGGGAGCATGGCACGAACGTGGCAACGGTTGGGTCGGGAAGCGAAGCAATGAGACGTTCTGCGGCCTGCGTGTTGCGGCCCGTGAAGAAGATCTTTTGAGGGTTGTGCTTGGCAAGGTGCTCGACGGCTGCTTTGCCAACTCCCCCGGTTCCTTGACATTGTCAGAGCATATTCAATTAAAGTTGGCGTTCAGGCATCCATACCCCCAGTGATCAGGATGACCTTGCCTCCTAGGGACGGGACATGGCGAGTCGTGTCGAAACCCTTGAATGTAGTCATTATGGTAGAAAGATTGGGATCAATTCTGGAGACAGACCAGTGTGATGATGGACTGGGTGCTGAAGGCATCTGATTGTCTTCCATTCTAGCCTCCGGGCTCTGAGGACGCCGACCTACTTATACTCGCATCAGCAGTCTTTGCCTCGGACGAAGATAGACAAGTCCACTTGGTCTTCGTCCACGTCCGCAAACCCCTCTTATAAGAAACGGTCGTGCCCCAGACGAGATAGAAGTCACAGAGGCTGGTCGGCCGTTCAGGGTCGTCCGGAGAGCTCCTTTTTTTACACCGTCGTCCGGGCCTTTGCGGAGAGCCGGACCAAGAGGTTTACAGCATCTATCAATATGTGTGTGAAAAGTGGTATGTGGTCGTTAGTGGCTGTTAGCAGATGAGCCCAACCGTTCGGCGGCTTCATCCGGGTCTCGTCCGAACCACCGGGGGCGTTCGCCCGAGCTGAGCTGCATTGGCACAAATCATCCGGCCCAGCAGCTTCTGAGGCGGACTTGATCAACATGTTAAGCCAAACCTTCCATCATGGCGGAGTTTCTTTTTCACAGACGAGTACACAACTGCACGAAACAGCAAGCAAGCATTCAGGGTATTGACAATGCCGCCTAGACTGCCGCAAAAGAAAAGAGAAAAAGAAAAAACCACCAGGCCATATCCGTCCCGCAAACCCACTGATGTACAATACAGACTGAACAGTCAGTCCAGAAAACGCCGTACGAGCATATCTGTATGTGCCCAAAGCAGCAAATGTTGAAAACAATCCTCACGCCAAGCTCCAATGTGGAAGCGCTTCTTCGTCTCGGGTCCGCGTCTCTGCCTCTCCGCCTGCACCTCTTTCATCCTTTATCGCTCGCGGAACCATTCAAGACGCCGCAGCCTAATTATCGCCCCCAGCTTCCTCAAACGCAGCCTCCATATCCCTCTCGAGCTCATCCTCGTCGAAATCAATCTCCTCCTCACCCCGGTCCAAGTTGACGACGTCGCCTCCATTCGTTCCAGGGGTGGGCAACGTGGTGCTCTCGTCGCCGGCGTCAGGCCCCGTCCCGTTTTCAACAATGACGGCCTCGGACCGTAACCCAGACGGCCGACTTCTTGCGATGCGCTGCTTCTTGGCCATGACGCTCTCCCGATCCGACTCGCCATCTGTGTCTTCGCCACTTGGCTTCTTCCGCTTCGTACGGCTTGGCACAGTGGTCGAGGCGCCGTTGTTTGTGCCTGCCTCGGATTCCTGGGATGACTTGAGATCGGCGTCGCTGGCTCGACTGCTCCCGTCATCGTCTGTTTCACTACCCTCGTCGTCATCGTCGTCGGTGGTGGTGTTCATGTCACCAAAATCCTCATCGGAGTCGAGATCGAGTAGTTTCCGGAACTCTTCGTCGTCCATATCATCATCGTCACCGAGGTCCAGCTGGCCCGTTGGGTCATCTTCGTCCGGTGTAGCATCTCTGGATACACTACCAGAACCAGCCTCGCCCTGCTTGCGCCTGCGCTCGGCTTCTTCCCTTCTCAGGGATTCCACAGACACGTAGTAGGCGCTTTCGTCGAGTCTCCGCCATTGACTCAGACAATCCACCAACCAGCTTTGGCTGACGATGCGTATCGATCGTAGTCTAACCGCTTGTCGAACCTTTTCCGACCGCTCATGGGTGGGCGACACGACAAGGTGGGTGATTCTTTTGGACACCTCATCCACGACCTGCGCGCCAAAGGCCTGGGCCTGTTGACCGATTTCGGAATACTCCACACGGCCTCCCTTAACCAGCCCGGATGTAGCAATCACCAAGCCCTCGAGAACGCTCTGCTTTAAGTTCTCCAGTATGTCTCCAACGTCCGGCACGAGTGAGAGATCGACACCCGTGTCATTTGATGGGCGGCGGACCTTGGTTTCGCCAGGCTTGTGTTGTGGTGCTTGTCCGGATTTGCGCTGTCTCCGTCGCTTGTCGTAAAGGGCGTAAAAGGCCTTGTGGACGTCTGTCAAGTGATCCTGGAGCGCAATAAGCTCCTCGTCATCATCCGTCAGGAGTATGTGCCTCTTCGGCTCCTCCCCTTGTGCTTCGTCTTCCTTCTCTAGCTCCTCCTGCATGTGTAGGAGCGGGCGATCCTCTACTTGTTGCTGTAGATCTTTTTCCTGCTCTTCCGCCTGCTCCTTAAGCTTCTCCTCGTCGTCCTTGAGTCGCATCGCGAGGACTGCCTTATCTGCATCAGGGGCAGTGGGCGGCTGTGCTTCGGTGGTTGCTGGGCCTGGGTTGGCTGCTGATCCATTCGCTCCCGGCAGAGCCACAGGCAAGGCTTCCTTGGTCGCAGGAGGCAGGAAGTTCGAGTTGATATCACCAATGCCTTTGAAGAATGCATACGGTACCACTTTGATCAAGTTCGGCCTGTTGTGCGGCCACACATCGGAGCGATCGTCGATGATGACGACCATGTTTGTGCTCACGGGAAAGATCCGTTGCAGAGATTTGGCGTGCATGCTGCCACTCTCCGTTCGCGTGATGATGCGCTGCCCAAAAAGCGTGTGGTCGGGGTCAATCAGTGCCACAATGTTCTCAGCATACGACCTGGTGCCCATTGTGTACACGTGCAGCTCGTACATCTCACTCACCTCTGCAAGGAAGTCGCTCAATCCTGGTCGCATTTTGACGTGGTATACAAGGTCGTGGGTTTCTGTGAGTGTGAATGCTTTGGTCTTGCAGACGGCTTCGTAATTGGGGTTAGAAGGGTCGGCCTTCCACTCCGCCACTGTGCGATCCACGCAGGCGTGAATGACCGTCTGGTCGAGATCAACCACCAGGCTGAGCTTGCGTTGCGATAGCAGCCGTTTCTGTGCAGAATATTCATTGCTCATCGCAATCTCGTTGCTGACGACAAGTCCAACATTGTCATGCACCATGTTCACGTTGGCGCGGTCTGTATCCCGTTCCTCGGCCGTCGCGAAGTTAACCTCGGTCATGTCCTTTCCGCACTTGGCGCACATGTTCCCCAATTGCACGTCGTGGGGGCACGCCTCCTCAATGGCCATGTATGGCTGAGGGGCCTTGACAACCTCGCCCTGCTCAATCTTCCATTCTCGAAGGGTGCCCTCGGCGGGTGACTCAAAGTCGGCATACGAGGTCTCTTCCTTGAACCTGCCTTCCTCAATCTCCCGCTGCCAGCTGAACTTGTATTCGAACACGACCTGTCTGGCCTCGATCGCATCGCCGGGTTTCTTCAGCAGTCGGGTGATAGTGACAGGGTAGTGGAGGCGCGTGCCCATATGGACGACCCGAACGTCCCCCATCTTGGGCGCTGTCGGGTGGCAATCTAGCCGGAAGTTAGTCAGTCAAGCACAGCAATTGAGACGCGAGTGCCCTACCAGCAAGCTTCCCCGTTCGCGATCCGTCTCGGTGGGCGAGCTGGACTCTGGCACATGGCCCTAGCAAGCGCAATTGTCGTGCTGCGGGTTTCCAAACAGGGGCGAGGAACTATCGAGTTTGTCTCATCTACTCGAGTAAATCCTCGACTCTGACTCTGAAGCTGAGCGTGGTGGTAAGGAGCGTGATGATGTACGCAGCAAGCTTGAGGCTCAGCAGTAGGCTCAGGCGCGGGCGCGGGCAAACGCCAGGTCACGTGCCCCGGGAAGTGGGTCCAGTCGTGTCGTGATGTTTGCGACGGACAAGGTCCAGTGGTCGTAGACGATTGCTTCGTCTCTTGTAGAGGAAGGTGGTACAGAACAAAGGTGTAGCGAAGAAGTATCAGATAGTCTGCAGATGCCGTTCCTGTCTTCAATTCGGCGTCTCAGGCGGGCTGATCCGCAGGGTATGCGGTCTTTTTGCGGAATTGATTCGAGAGGACTGACGCCAGCAATGCCGCTCCGTCATAAGCGTCGCGGCGCACTTGTAGGTGGGCAACCCCCGCCCTTTTGTACCCATCGCCGCGCCGTCGTCACCCCTGCGTCGGGACCGGTACTTGCGGCGTTGCAGCGTATCCACCAGAGCTTCGGGTACCGGGCACTGGCCACAAGCTTCACAGGATGTCTACTACAAATGCTCATTACTGCAACTGACTAGTCTAATGCACTTGATAGAGACCAGTCGCCCTTTGAGGGTATCAGCGTCTGCTACTGTCGTGCATCGACCACGAAAGCATGGTCCTTTATGTGGCAGGCGAACTGGAAAACGTGTGCAGCCACAACAGCCCAAGAATATCTTGCTTGGGCATGCGCAGGGCAGGTGGGCTTTGTCGCGAAGTACGTACGTAACAGTTGAGATTATTGCTTTGTCTACGCATGTGTATTTGCTGCAGTTGTGAATAGACCGGGGCTCCGCGCGTCCGAGTCGAGACTCGAGTGGGCCGAATGTGATTGAACATTGCCTACCCTATGCTTAAGGTCGTGATTTAATCTCATGAGCTCGTTGATGGACCACGACGGACGAGTCATCAAATTTTGTCATGATAAGAGTCATCAATTAATTCTCACATGTCCATCATTCATAATCAATACAAAGTGGTATCCCAAAGACCGGCCATGCCCCAATGCACAATCGCTGCCAAGACCATACGCACGTTTTAACCCGCAGCCTGCACCACCTTGAATCCCTCAGACACGACCTTAGCAATATCCTCGTTCTTGTGCGGGAGAAGCCCAAGGGCAAAGGCGACGTCGTTCCACTGGCGCTCCGTCTCGCAGCGTGCAAGTCGAGCAGCCAGCTTCTCCGACAGCTGTTTCGCGTGCTTGTCCTGCCTCAAGTTAGTTGTGTGTCTGTCAAGGTTCGCTTCCGCTGGGGCTGGACTGACCTTGTTGACGAACCCAAGAAGAAAGCGTACAATCTTCTTGAAGCTCTCCTCCTCCATCCTACCCCCACTGAGCAGACTAAACATGTCCACAAAGTGATTATATACGGCATTGTCTTTCGTGCTGAGCTCGGTGAAGAACATGCGCGCCAGATCTGCAATGCGGCGATCCTCATCCTCCAGACACTTGGCCATCTCGCCGAGCTGCCCCTTGACCTTGACTTGTCCCGCCAGGATCAAGAATGTCAAGGTCATGAGACACGTCCTCTTCACAGAAACATCATCGTCGGCCAGACGGCGGTACAGGAAGTCAGTATTCTCATCAATGAGATGGTTGAAGCTGACAGCCATATCACCAAGCGCAATGACAGCATTCGAACGAACAATGGCGTCGGGAGAGCGCTCCATGATGGTGATAAGCAGGGGCAAGTTAGTTTCGCAGTACTCGGCGGAGACACACATGAGCTTGGCCAAACACAACGTCGCAGCAGCCTGCAGTCCTTTGTCGGCATATGTCGTGTTGTTGGCGCATATCTCCGAGACGAGAGGGCCGAAGAGACTCAGCAACGAGCTTGGCCCGTAGAGCAGCTCACGCTCGCGAATGTGTGTCATCGCTTCAGTGAAGTCGTCCTCGGATGTGCCACCGATTAGATCCAGCTCGTTGGCCTCTTCCTTGTCCTTCTCATCTTTGCTCCCTGCAAGCTTCTCTTTCTCCTGCTTCCGACGCTTGAAGTCGAGCTCGCAAAGCTCGAGGTGGACAATTTGCTTGATGGCAACGTGTCCGACAATGAACAACAATTGTGACAAAGTGATCGCATTGTCGCGATTCTTTGGCCGGTCGAGCTGTGCCCCTAGCTGGGTAGCAGTCGGGTCTGAAAGATGAGGGTCCAGAGTTTGGGTCATTTGCTGGGTCAACTGAACAGTTTCGTCCCTCGAAGCCGGTCTCGATTGCGACTGGCCGAATACTGTCCTCGTCTTCCGGCGGATTACCTCAGAACAGAGCCCGTCGGGGTGCTTCGCCACAGCATATATCGCGCTGATGGCCTGCTCCGCCAGGCCGTACCACTCCTTACTATCAGATTGTACTTCTGTAATGGCAGCCAGCCTTTGACAGACAGCATGATCATTTGGCAATCGCGCGAACTTAACGGGCGAATCCTTGGCTGAACGACCTGTTGGGTTGATTCTTCGAAGGGCAATGCACGTGTACTTGGCCAGTTGCAGGTCGTTGCGGCCATGCATCGCTAGGCCAGTGCGCAGCATGGTCTCAATCTCGCCGACGACGATCTCTGGGTTAGCCGTGGCAAGCATGCCCAGGATGATAATGGCGCCTCGGCGCTGAGTGCGCGAGATTTCCCTCTTCTGCACGCCGTAGACCTGCCAGAGCTTGCCGATGACGACTTCGGAGATCATCTTCTCCTTCATCATGGTAGCAAGCAACTGCTCTAGAGAGGTCAGCTCCGCAGGCGTCGCGCCGAAAGTCAGGCTGATCATGTTACGGGCGATGAAGTTCGCAGCATCATTGGCGCTGAATTCCTCGGGCGCTTCGAAGAATAGTCGCCTATAGCAGTCGATGAGATGTGTTTGCACCCCCTTGCCTTCGTCGCTGTTGCCCTTTGTCCAGATCAAGCGCAGCATGCGGCGAATGCCCAGTTTATTCTGCTCGATGTTGTAGGCATCACCGATTTCGAAGTAGTCGATGGCTTCAATGACCTCGCTCTTGTTCTTGGACCCAAGCAGTTGGCAAATGGTGCCAGTCGCTTCGTGGAGGACCTCGATGAATTTGAGCGCCTCCGCATAATATCGCCGGGTCAAGGTCAGCTTTTCTATAGCCTCGCTGGTTGCAGCTTCTTCTTGGGCCTTCCTGACGATGGCAATTTTCTCCTCGTCCGTCATAGTCTTTGGTTTCTGTGGCGACTCGATCTGGGTAGCCTCATCGAGGAGCTGTGTATCCACGGCGGATTGATTGCCATTCTCGCCGGAAAGCCCAGGTACGTCTGGGGGAGGTTTCAGCGCGTTAATCTCTTCCTGGACCTTTTCGTACCGATCTCGCCATTCCTTTTGGTTGAGGCGAGCACCATGCATGACCGTGAACGGATGCGTCTTGATCAGAGTTCCAAGTAGCTTGATTGCGTTTCGTCGCACATTACTGCTCTTGTCGGAGAGACTGCGGCAAGCCAGTTCAGCCGCCTTCTGACGTCGTTTAGGGAACTTTTGCTCCAGTTCACACATCCGCATATAGACCTGGAGTACTCTGACACGAGAGTACGGATTCACATCGAGAAAGCGCTCCTCAAGCACATCGAAGAAAGCATTGAGCTGGGTCTTGTGATTCTCGTTGCGCTCATCCTGCTTCGTCAGGTAGGCAATCATGTTGCCACAGACCTCGATCAAGGCGCATCGCAAGGTATACGACTCGCTGTCGAGCTGCTTTGCTAGCATCGTCACTTGCTTGATCACCAGCCGTGGTGTCAGCTCAGAAAGCTTGGTGATGAACGTTGAGACAGATTTCGGCCCGCGTGTATCATTCGAGTTGAACTCACGATTGCTGATTTCTCGGAGGACTTCGTCAGCGAGTTGAGGGTAGTCGTAGGTTTCCGCCAGAATGTGCAGAAACTCGGCCATGGGCTCTGACAAATGCTCAAAGTAGGTCAGATTTTGAATAACGTTGATTTGGGCAGCGTAGCCATGCCCATGGTGCTTGACAGCCACGCAGAGCACCTTGAAGCAATGCATCCGGATGTTCGTGTTTTTCGTCCGCTGCTCGCTCTCCAAGATCATATACACGGGTCTTGTCAACAAGCCGATGAACGTGTCCCGCTCACTCGTCGTGAGAAAGATCTTGGAAAGCTTCAGCTTCATGACCTTGCACATTATGTCGAGGGCTGCTTGAAGTTGCGCCGTCGAGTCCCATGAGTCATCTTTGGTCGTGCCTTTCTTAGCTTTCCCCCGTCCTCGGGCTACAGGGGCGTTTGATGACTTCTCTGCCGCCTTCGTTTCAACAGCAGCGATCGTCCATTGCAACAAGAAACCGTATATCTCCAAGAGCTGTTTGTGATGCGGCAGGGCGCTTTCTTCGTCAGGGGAATCTAGGTCGCCATGCACTGCATCGGATTCGGCGCTCAAGCCACTCATGACCAGATCGAAGATCTTACTGAGCGCGTGCGTCGGAAGGAAGGTCGTATACCTGGTAGATTCATCTTTGTGAGCTTGGTTCTCCTGTGGTATCTCGGGTTTCGCTGTGACTGGTTGTACTTCCGCGATTGGACAGTAGGGAAATGCAGGGCTTAGGACATCAATGGAAGTGGGTGCTAACTTGAGTAGAAATTGTAAAGAGTCCATGTTGGACGCGCGCGTGATGGCATCTGGGTTATCCGCAATGGCGTCGACAATGGGGTTGAGGATGGGATTGAGAAATCCCGTATTTGATAGAGCCTCGGGATCATTTTCGCAGTCGAATAGGGCACTCTCAGCTTCTGGTGTAGGAATTGTCGTCGGATCAGACATGTAGTCCTTGAGAGCATCGTTGATATCGAAGCTGATGGTCGCCATGATGGCGGTGGGCGCAGCCGCAGGCGGTGCGCAAATATCCTGTGAACAACCGAATGAGAGGAAGGAAACAAGGCGCGCAAGGAGCGCGGAGCCGAACTATCGAGTCGCAAAGTCTTGATGGGCGCGAAAGAAGCCGCAGGAGGCGGGCATGGTCTGGTGGGTGAAGTGCCGCATTGATCAACCCCAGCAACCGTGTTTATGTTTTGTTGCTCAACGCGCCTCTCAAAAAGCCCCCGCCATCGGTACTCCACCACTCAAAAGTCGCGTCAACCCACCCTTGATTGTTTGCCGGCTAGCGACTTTTTGAATTGACGAATGTGGCCATAGAACAGCAACCAGCAGGAGAAGCTCGTTGGCGTCAGTTGTTGAGGTCTTCTCAGCCTTCTTGTGTTCTCCCTGTGCGACGTCAAGGATCAGCCCAGCCAGGTCGCGGCTGCTATGGCTACTACTACCACGACACCCAAGGCCTTCGCCATCCACGAGGACGATCCTTTTGCCACAGACACGATTGATGAAGATACCCAGTCGGCAGCCGAAGACGGAGCTGGCAATGGGAATGGGGACGGCAACGAGCAAGTCGACGACGATGCGGAGGAGGACGAAGAAGACGAAGAGAGCTCTGACGACGAAAACATCGACGGAGGAGTTGCCGCTGATATTGAGCGGCTGGAGCATGACTTCCCTAGCTTCGCCCGGAAATACCGCCTGATCAAGCGCATAGGGGAAGGGACATTTTCCACTGTCTACAAGGCCGAGGACAAGCTGTACAACTACTACAACAACGATTGGAAAGAACAAATTGGCGGAGCACAATGGACGCCCCCACCAGTGAAGCGTCAACGAAACCAGCAACCCAAGAAACAATCACGCTATGTTGCGATCAAGAAGATCTATGTGACCTCGTCACCGTCTCGCATCTTCAACGAGCTCGATCTCCTCAAAGATCTTCGGGACTGTCCGTCGGTGTGCCCACTGATCACGGCATTCCGATCAACGGACCAAGTTATTGCGGTCCTCCCGTACTTTCGACATTCCGACTTCAGGACATATTTCAGAGACATGACCATTCCTGACATTGCAATCTACCTTCGGTCGCTGTTCACGGCGCTGAAAAGCTGCCACAAGCACCACATCCTGCACCGAGACATTAAGCCAACCAACTTTCTCTACGACCCAGCCACGCAAACAGGTGTACTGGTAGACTTTGGGCTGGCTGAGAGGGAAGGCTCTGAAAGCAGGGCCTGCCTGTGCCATGAAGCCAAGGAACAGCGGAGGGCACGACAGTACGCCTCAGCTTATGCGCAGACCAATGGTCAGCCGGCTGCGGGCTATCCAAAGAATGACACCCGACCATCTAGGCGGGCGAATCGTGCTGGTACGCGTGGCTTCCGTGCGCCAGAGGTGCTCTTCAAGTGCACAGAGCAAACCACAGCGATCGACATTTGGTCAGCCGGTGTCATCCTGTTGACCATCTTGTCGAAACGATTCCCATTCTTTAACTCGGCCGACGACGTGGAGGCCATGATTGAGATTGCCACCATATTCGGCGTAAAGAAGATGAGGGCCGCTGGTCTGCTGCACGGCTGCGTCTTCGAGTCCAGCATCCCCACGGTGGGCTCGCAGGGCTTCACGCTCGAGAAGATCATCCTGTGGAGCACATGTCGAACAGACGACAAACCACTGACAAGCGAAGAGAAACTGGCCGTCAACTTCCTGGAGCGATGCATGGATATGGACCCTAGCAGGCGCATCACTGCCGAGAAGGCGTTGCAACACGACTTCCTACAGCTTGGGATGCCCAACCCAGAGCCAGGTGAGGATGACATGGAAATATTGGGACCATAGGACGCGAACTAGGCCAAGCAACGATACCCTGCGGATGTAGCACACTGATTGAACTTGCATTGGGCGGCGTTGACAGCAAATGGACATTTTCTATTCACATCCTCCATCTATGATCTTATGTCTGTGAAGCGCAGCCGGCATTTGTCTCCGGCAGTCACTGTCGACAAGATCCACGGTAGGCAGTCATTCCGGCCTTTCGAAACCAAGCCGGTCCCGCATCGCAGTCTTGGGTGCGCGCAAGTGTGGTGTTTTTTGAAAGTTGTTTTTGTTTTCGTTCATTCATTTCATTTCTGAAGAACCTTGAAAAAGGGGGAAGTTGTTGATATAAATCATTCCCACCCGAACTCCGCAAAATCGCCCACGATGTATGAGTGTCCCTTTTCCTGTCATTGCCAAATGCGTCCTCTCTCTTTTCATTTTTAAAGAGAGAAAGTACCTTACGCCACCAGCTCAACAACACCGCCAGCATCGGAAATCTTCTTCTCGGCCAGCTTACTCACCCAGCGTGCGCGGACAACCAGGGGAATCTCGGGGAGGCGGCCCTTGCCGAGGACCTTGGAGTAGCCGAGGGGAAGGAGGTCGAGGACGGGGACGGTGTCCTTCTTCTCGCCGGCAATGTAGGACTCGCGGGTCTCGGTGGGGACGAGGGACCAGAGCTGTTCATATTGTTAGTGACCCAATGTCGGCGGCGCGCATGTGTCTCAGTCGATCGTACCTTGTCCAGGTTGATGACGGGCTTCCAGAAGTGGTTCTTCTGCTTGTGGAAGTACCTCATACCAACCTTACCGAAGTAACCAGGGTGGTACTGTTGTCGTTGTTAGCCCAGACTCGTCCCTCAATCGCAAAGTCGCTTCGTTTCGGGTCGTCGAACCTTGTCCATGTTGGTACGGTGGTGGTGCTGACCACCGGCCAGACCGCGACCTCCGGGATGCTTGCGGTGCTTGCCGACACGACCCTTTCCGGCAGAGACGTGGCCGCGGCTACAATCGAGTTAGCCATGGTCCTTGTTCAACGACAACGAATCCCTTCCCAATCCCACGTTCGGAGGGAGGGCAATTCGATTTATCCAGGTCGGTCAACGTACTGCTTGCGGGTCTTCGAGGTACGGGTAGGCATGGCGACGGTGTTGGCTGATTGTCGCTTTGCTGTGGTTGTGCGTCGAAATGGACGGGGAAGTGGATGGTGATGTTTTTGCGGCGGGCTAGCTGCCACTGGACGAAGCTCGGCAAAATTCAAAGGGTTGGCCTGCCCTAAGAAAATGTGTGTTGGTGGTGGAGCACCTGCACCGAGACAAGCGGCAAGAATCACAGTCTGGCCACGTGACCTGTCACTGGCTGCCGTGACGCGCGGTGAATTGGGGCCACCGTAATGTGGGTCTGACTCCTGACCTTGCATTCAGCGCATTGTGCCATCCTATAATACACGGTCCGCTCGAGCATGACTTTGCTATTCCACAATGGGCAGCGATACCATGGAGGACATATCTGGATCCTTACAGAAGCTTGATTTTCATCATCCCTACACCCCATACCATGTTCAAGAGCAATTCATGCGGACTGTGTACAATGTTCTGGAAGCAGGCAATGGCCAAGTCGGCATTCTTGAAAGCCCTACCGGCACAGTATGCACGACGTCGAGGCTCTTCTGTGAAAGTCACTCACGTTCTCCTAGGGGAAGTCATTGTCTCTCATCTGCGCAACACTAACCTGGCTTCGCGCCTACAAGTCCTCCCGCAACGAAGTTGCTCTTTCTGAAGCCACGTCCAACATCCAAGACGAGCCCGAATGGATCATTGACCAGATGCTTGCGCAGAAGCGCGACGAACTGGTGCGTAAATGGGAAGACCGTGAAAAGCGGCTTGAGCAGCTTCGTATCAAGGAGAAGGCTGTTGAGACCCGCGTTCACAAGCGTAGGCGACTTGAAGAGCGGCCCACCGGGCGCGAATCTGATGACGAAGACGCCGCATTCCTCTTGCAAGACACCGAAACTCCTGGCAGTCGCCATACCGATGCACTCTCGGGTTTGAGTAAAGAGTCGCGTGAAATCCTGGGCAGGTTCGGTATTGGCGGTTCCACAAGTGCAGAAACGCCCGTGGCAGAGCAACTGATGGAAGAAGACATCAAGGTGTGCTTGCATTATCGCTCTGTTGAAGGCTGCGTAGTGACCTAAGTAGATATACTATACGTCTCGTACGCACTCACAACTGTCGCAATTCATCACGGAGCTTCGCCGTCCGACTTTTCCACCTTCCCTGCCCAAGTCGATAACCAAGGGGAGAGACTCTGAGACGGAGGCTGTGAAACTCCTGCCCTTTTCGTCACGTCAGCGATTATGTATCAATCCATCAGTCGCGAGGCTTGGATCGGTACAAGCAATCAACGACAGGTGCGCGGAATTGCAGCAACAAAAGTCCAGCCAAAAGTGCCCTTTTGTGCCGAAGGATGAGCTGCTATCCCAGACGCATGAGTTCCGAGACTCAGCACTGGCTTCTATGCCTGATATCGAGGACTTACATCAGCTTGGCAAGTCTCTCGGTGTTTGCCCGTACTATGCCTCAAGAACAGCGTTGCCGGGTGCTGAAATTATTACGCTACCATACCCTCTACTCCTCCAGAAAAGTGCCCGAGATGCGCTCGGCATCAAGCTGGATGGGAATGTGGTCGTCATTGACGAGGCGCATAATATCATGGACGCAATAGCCAATGTTCATGCCGCCGATATACGCTTGAGCGACATGAAACGGGCAAAGGGCATGCTGGGCGTCTACGTCAGGCGTTTCGGCAAGAAACTCGGCGGAGTCAACCGCGTCAACGTCGGACGCGTGGGCAGGATCATTGAGGGCTTGTCCGAATGGATGCAACAGGCCACGCAACTCAAGCAAGACAATGGTATCGTGGATGCCAACGACTTGACCCGTCACAAAGGTATCGATCAGATCAACATGTTTCAGTTGGTCAAGTACATCCATGAATCCAAATTAGCCTTCAAGATTGAGAGCTACGTCGCGCACGTGGAGAGCGAAATTGATCCAAAAGGCATCATAAGGTCCAGCACGCCAGTGCTCCATAGCCTGGTATCGTTCTTGGTAGCGTTGACCAACCTGAACTCAGAGGGTCGGATATTCTTTGAACGGACGGCAGAAGATGTCAAATTGTCATACTTGCTCCTTTCGCCGACACACGCGTTCTCTTCCATCGCCGACAATGCTCGCGCGGTCATTCTGGCAGGCGGGACAATGTCCCCCTTTGACGACTACGAGAACCACCTATTTCCATCGTTGGCGAAGGAGAAAGTCACAACCCTGAGTTGCGACCACGTCATCCCACCCGAAAACCTGTGCGTTCGAATACTCGCTCAATCTCGACCTGGTAAACCAGAATTCGAGTTCAGCTTCCAGAAGCGTAGCGATCACGACATGATCACACAGCTTGGTCTTGCTGTCGTCAACGCCTGCTCCATCATTCCTGATGGTGTGGTGATCTTCTTCCCCAGCTATGGATATTTGGATGAGGTTGTCAGCGTGTGGCAGCAGAATGACAACGGACAATCTATATGGTCTCGCCTCGAGTCCCGCAAAGCCCTGTTTCGGGAGGCCAAAGGGACCTCAAGCGACGAGATGCTCACTGCGTACACTGATGCAATCATTGGCACCAGCAACACGGGCAGGGGAGCTGTGCTGCTCAGTGTCGTTGGGGGTAAGATGTCCGAAGGCATCAATTTCTCGGATCGCCTTGGACGTTGTGTCATGGTTATTGGCCTGCCCTATCCGAATATCGCCTCCCCGGACTGGAAGGCAAAACTCGAGTACATTGAGTCAACGACTTACAAGCAGCTCATAGGCAAAGCCATACTCCCGAGTGAGGCGCGCACACTAGCCAAGGCGTCGAGTCGCGACTTCTACGAAAACGCCTGTATGCGCGCTGTCAACCAGAGCATTGGTCGCGCAATCCGCCATCAGGGTGACTATGCTGCCATCATTCTTGTTGACAAGCGCTTTGGTAGCGAGAGAATCCATGGCAAATTGCCAGGCTGGATCCGCAACGGCATGGACAAGTCGAATAAGGACAAGAATCTCGGTGAGCTGATGAGTTCTGTGGGCACATTCTTTCGCAACCGGAAGTGAGCCGGCGGATCTGTGCCGGAGGTCTTCTCGAACCGCGGGTCAGTGGCCGGCCGTGAGACGGCTGTCGCTGAGTGAACCGGCCTCAAGTCTCCGCTAGTGAAGAATCGCAGTTCGCTCTCGCAGTATGGTTGAACCTGGCTGGGCAACCAAAGAAGACTATTTTCTGGTTCACGAGCCTTGTGCGCAGTGAAAAGTAATCGAAGGCCTAACAACGCCCCCGAAGCTCTGAGCTTGTTATATCCCGGTCAGCTAACAACTTAAATCCACATATCCTCGTCCGACATTGTGTGGAAGCCACCGGCAGCGGCTTCTGCCGTAAGAAGCGCTGATTCGTTCGTTACCCACACCGGGAGAAGATTTTCTGGAACCTCTTCTAGACCCCGAATTACGGACATGGAGGGGTGGGCAGCTGCGGAATTAAATGATAATCGCCAATATTTTTTTTTCCGACTCGAAGGATCGAGTCCATTTTCTTATCACATTGGACTGACGACTAGCTTTGCCCTCGGTCGGCCTGTTCAAGTCACCATGACTGACGTGGAGCAAGGAAAGATGCTCACGGGCAGGCAATCGCACTCTCGGGTGGCTGAGGAGGGCATTACCCACTTGCGTAAGCCGACATCGCGCACGTCAGATATCTTCGAGAGGATCGAAAAGATCTTGATGAAGGGGCGTGTAGAGGCCAAGGGTATCCATCCTGTCCCAGTGGAAGATCGCACGTCGACGAGATACTGGAATATCTTCACCGTCTGGTGCTCCATGAACACCAACATCCTTGGGTGAGTCAGCTGCGCGATAACGGGGAAACCAAGTGACTGACGGAGCAGTGTTTTGTTTGGACTCTTGGGTCCTCAGGTGTACGGCCTCAGTCTTCGAGACTCTGCCTTGGTCATTCTCTTCTTCTGCATACTTTCAACGTGCGCGCCAGCGTATCTAGCAACTCTCGGGCCCAAGACTGGCATGAGACAGATGATCCAAGCACGGTACAGCTTTGGGTATGTGCACCCGGGTCGATTACTCCAGTACGCTCGCTCACAATTGTAGACGCTACCTCGTCTCGATACCAGTGCTGCTCAACCTGGCGACGCTGACTGGTTTCATTATCATTATCTGTGTCATTGGCGGCCAGTGTCTATCCGCCATCTCGGACGGCTACCTGACGCCAAACGCCGGCATCGTCATTATCTCGCTCCTGGGACTTCTCATCTCATTCTGCGGATTCCGAGTACTGCATTATTACGAGACCTACGCCTTCATCCCAGCCGTGATTACAATCGCCATCGCGGCTGGCTGTGGAGGAAGCGATCTCAAGAAGCAGGCAGAACCCCCGAGCCCAGGTGCTGGGCAATACGTCACGTACGGCATGGTTGTCGCCAGTTACATGATTCCCTGGGCCGCGATTGCGAGCGACCTCACGACGTACTTTGACCCTCAGGTGCCCTCGTGGCGGGTGTTCGCTTACACTTGGTCTGGTCTCGCCCTGCCCACAATCCTCCTTATGACGTTGGGCTCCGCCATCGCCGGTGCCCTGCCCAATGTGCCCGAGTGGCAGACAGCCTACGACGAGAATCTTGTCGGCGGCATCTTGGCTGCCATGCTGAAACCGACTGGTGGCTTTGGCAAATTCGTCGTTGCCGTGTTGGCGCTGACGCTCCTCGGCAACACCGCAGGCACAATGTACGCCATCACGCTCAACTTTCAAACCCTGGTCCCTTGGGCCGTCAGGATCCCTCGATATGTGTTCGCCGTCGTCGTCACCGCAATCATTATCCCAGTCGCCGTGCGCGTGGTCTCGGCCAACCTCCTGCTGAGCCTCGAGAACTTCATTGCGCTTATCGGTTACTGGTCAGCAGCGTATACGGGCATCGCCGTCGTGGAACATGTCGTATTCCGCAGAAAGTATTTCAGCAAGTCGGGCAAGGTCCCCTATCCTGAGGCGTACGACCATGCCGTCTGGAGCCAGGCGAGCAAGCTACCCACGGGCCTGGCAGCCATTGGAGCCGCCCTCCTAAGCTGTGGGCTGCTTGTGCCGTGCATGTCTCAAGTCTGGTTCACGGGACCCGTCGCGAAGACGACGGGCGACCTTGGATTCGAGGTGGCTTTTGTGCTCAGCGCAATCCTTTACGTGCCATTGAGGTCTATCGAGAGGCGCTGGATCGGGCGATAGGCGGTCGAGCTGTCAGAGATGTCGTGAGCCTCATTCATGTATTGGCTCAAAGTAGAAACGAACAAGACGTACATAGATGACGCTAGAAGCAGCAACATTAGATCATTGAAGCCTCGAGGTTTGTTGCGTCCCGTTTGCAGTCGAGCCGTCCACAATTCCTGATCAATGGTGCAGCGGGACAGCGGCTTGACTCATTGCGTCTTAGCGTGGCGCAGGATCTAGCGCCAATTTGCACAAAGTTGTGCACCCTTGCCAGCCCCTCCACACCTCCCGAGCCGTGTGCTTCCCCGTATACAAATAGACCACGGCACGTCACTTGGGATTCCTTCTTCTCTCCCTTTCCTCTCCATCCCCAATCCGTCGCCGGATGAGCGTAACCCTCTCATCCGTGCCCCAAGTTCAGCACCCTGCACACCCCCTCCCCTGAATCACCCAAAACACCAAACAGCCTCTCTGACCAGGAGAGGCGCTCAGATCTGCACCCATGGGTTCAGCAGCATCCGCATCAGCTTCCGCCGCCCCTCAGGCCTGCATCGGCTTCTGGAGGCCGCAGCAACCCAAGGAGCCCGTCCCTCCCGAGTAACGACCGTTGCTCGCATTTGTCTTTTCAGCGTTCTCAACAGCATCGTAATTTTCAGCAGCATGAATTTATCGGCGGAGGAGGGGGAGTACCAGCAGACCATCAATTCACGCAACAAACAGGATTGTTTGACAATTCAATCGACTTCTTGAACGATCAGACCTTTTTTGGCGTGTCGGCGGGGCCGACATCTGCAACCATAGGTGATCTCACCTCAACCTCCACAGGGGACATTGACTGGGCCGCTCTTGGGCTGGACTGTTTTGGCACGCAGCTTGTCGTACAGGAGCAGCAGCAGCAACTACCGGACGACTTTGGACTTGTGCTGGGGTCCCACGATACCTTGGCGTCCAACTTGGAGCAGGACCCTTTGGACCTGCTCTTTGCAGATACCGAAATGACGGGGGTTCTGAATCAGCATTCAGAGTCGGGAGGTATGCTAGCTCCCTCACAAATATTTCTAGGCCGGAAGGGCAAGCGTGCTAACTCTCTAGCAGACCATCTCTTCAACCGACTTCTTAATCACAGTCCCCAGGAATTTCCTCCTTCATCAGGCGCCAATAATACGCAGGCTACCACACCAGCCATCCCATCCACTCAGGTTGCTACCACCAACACGACCACCTCCACGTCTCCTTCTCACTCATCCACCTCGGAGTCCAACACCAAGCCCACACTAGATCAAGACCCCACTGCCAAACGTCAGCGTAACACTATGGCTGCTCGTCGTTACCGTCAACGCCGTCTGGATCGGTTAGCCGAGCTAGAGAAGAAGTTGGAGGAGATGACGAGTGAGCGCGACGATCTACGCGTCAAGTTAGCTAGGCGGGAAGCAGAGTGTGGTGCTCTTCGAGAGGTGCTCGGTTCGAAAAAATGATGATGATGGGTTTCCTATGTTTCATGGCCAGGGGTTAGCTTAGTGACTTTCAACGGTGTTCATGTTGACAAGCTGGTGTTGCGGTGCAAGTGTCAGACGATGTCGATTCTTCCTGTGATTTCACGTGATGCTTTCATTGTGATCATCAAATCCCGTTTCACTCATCATTCGCACGCTTCGTGGTGTGCTGGTGGTCCTTCAAGGGGTATCGACTTACTCTGCTCTCACGTGAACAGACGTCTTTGCTGGATCATGGCAAGATCTCGGTGTTAGTCGCCGGCAGCACTCCTGTCGAAGCGCTTCACAGGCCGCATCAAGTTGATTCTCTGATACTCGTTGCTGTGAAGAATATTTCTCATTCAATCATGCTAAAGGTAACCTTATATGCTCCATCTTGCTGTTCCTTGATGAACCGTCTGTTCGTTTCGCAGCTCACGATGACCCTTGCACAGAGTATCAAGGCCAACTCTTTTGGGAGAAATCGGGTATCATCATGAGTCTTGCTGACAATACCGCCAGCTCGATGCAATGATAAACGCGGGTCTCCCTCTTCCTGGAGCCCTGAATCTTCAATTCCGGTACCCACGAGGTTGATTCTTGCATAACTCCCGCAGGGGACGTTGTGCATGCCCCGCCGCGAAGTAGGTGAGGCGGCTAACTGTGGGCCGAAGGCCGCGCTAGGCAGGGGGATTTGTGGACAATAATACGCACGGGATCTGCGGCAAACTGGCTATGCCTAGATGCGGCCAGGTTTTAGTGTCTGCTATGTGAGCGAGAATGACTCATTTTTCATCATTTCGAGTCGCAGTGACATCAAGGGTTCCGGATCCCAGGGTCGTATTGTACTTCCTACAGGCACTAGGGGCACGTTCTCCATTGTCGTTCTCAATCTAATCCTAAGGGCATGTTAAAGACGACTTTTTCTAAATGGATGTATCGTGAGTACTATACCTTATGCTGTGCGTATTTGGTTGTAAGTGGGTGAGTTGTACGGATACCAGATGTGAGTTTGGTTTCTTAAAAATGGCCTGCTTGTACGGAGTATCCGTGTGCCACTTTGACTGTGACACAACATTGCACCAACCACCCCATATATCGACTCCTTCTCGGGGAGGCATGTGCATCAAATATAGAGTCTAGAGAATGTCAACGTACGTGAATATCCACAATTATTCGTGCAAGCTTACAGCAAAAACATGAATGATTCGTACTTGAAGGGCGACACTGGAGCACAGGGTAGGTTGGTCGGACCAATTTGCGTCCGGGCAGTCACACCCAAAAGGCGAAGAAAGCATTTTCACTTCACATAACATGAATGCAGTGGCCGCACCTTCGTATCGTTGCGCTCAATATTTGAAATCACCTACACCCGAGCCCATTGCGATTCTGCTTGCAGACTGGGGCAATCTATAAGAGCTTCTGGATTTCCGCCGTGCGGATGAGCCGAACCAGGTCAGTCAATCGCGATGACAGAGGGCGGTCTCCAAATCTTTGTTATTATTTCTAGGAATTACCCATGGGCGGTTTCGAAAAGAAGAGAACGCTGCTTCGCTGAGAGCACCGGATCAATTGTTCATATGAACGAGGGTCGTATGGCTCGATCAGCTGCAGATTTGCCAAGATTTATTCGGTTGGTGATTCTGCAACTAATTACCGTACTGCGGGAGAGGATCGCGAGACGACGAGATTCATCCGAGTCAATCTAGAAGTTGAGTCGTCCTTGAAGATGAACCGAGAAAAGTCGAGGACGCAATAGAAACGTGGAGGGGGCAGAGGATCCTTCCAGCATGATACTATGCGTATTTGCTGCATCGTGACGGATGGTGGATGTTTGAGTGCATGACCGCACGTAAACCATGGCTGACGGCTGACGGCAAGGTGGTCTGAGATCGGATTTGCAGCTCCATAGGACGGGGGCCCATTGGGATCGTGCATGCGTCGCAAGCGCGAGCTTCGCGGCGGATGATGGATCAACGAGTCAACGACGCAGCTTATTAGCCTTCTGGAGTCGGTCTGGACCCTGGTGCACGGCTGATCCATGCCATAATCAACTCGTCCAGACATGGCCCGCCACGAGCTGCGACACTGCCCAACAGCTGAAGAACGGTCAGCTGAGATGACCGATCATAGTGTTCGCAATGCCACAGTCTGACTGCGGTGGCGGCCAAGCATTCAAGGCACCTGGCAGTGTGGTACATCCATCACGAGCGAATGCGAATGAACATGCAACTTGAGAGGCTACGAACGCGAATCGAGCTCGGGAGTAGATCTCAGCACCAATGGCGGCCCGTGGCATAGTGTTGGTCTGTGGATCGAGCCGTACCTTGCACCCATCTTCGACCTTTTTGGATGCAAAAATTGATCTGATGATCCTAGTTCGTGACGCTAGGAGAGGCTAAGTCCATCTTCGACCTTTTTGGATGCAAAAATTGATCTGATGATCCTAGTTCGTGACGCTAGGAGAGGCTAAGTTTGCAGACACACGACCCTTCGCGCGACAAGGTATGCTACTCGTGAACCGAGACCTCGATGCTAAAGACTGCACTGGCTTGCGCAGGGCTGAGTGTCCTGCCCGAGACTATGGTAAGAAGGTGGATTGCTTCAGTTGTAGACAGTCTTAGAACCTTGGAACAGGCAAAGCCACGCTACCGCGACGCCTGCACCTATTGATAGTCACAACCCCAATTCATCAGGTATATCTTAGCCTGGCTAGCGATCTCACACGTCGTGTGGGCGTCCACTCCGACCGGAGCACAAATTCCCAAAGACAGTCTGAGTCGTTGACGTTGAGGATCACCATCGGACAAAGCGCCATGACCACATGCGCGCGTCTACTGTAGAGGAGGTACATAAGGTGGCGAGGCTGCAGCACAAACGTTTTTAGGCTCTCAGCTATCTGTTTTTCGTCCAGTCGCTTGATTTACAATACGAGTACGTTCTGTCCTCGCAAAACAAATCCAGTGCCACTCGACAAATCGAATCAACGTTGGATGAATGGGAAGGCTGGCTCAGGCATCCGACACGCACAAGGCTAGTTGTCCTTCATGAGATGCCACATAATTTGTAGGCCGTTTCTTCTCTGAAATATCGGACCTGCAGACTTATCACGTCACAGGGCCAGTGCTGTCGACCAGATGACCTCCATTCACGCTCACGTTCACGCTCACACGGGCAGCAGTAGCCTTGCATGCATGCCGCCGCAGGAGTACGCATTTCCCCAAACATTTCTTTTTGCTCCCACCATCCCCCTGATGCTCCCCTGCTCTGTGAAACCTTGGCTACCTTGCCTTGGAGATACTTTGCAGGGTACGTGCGTGCGATACGTCGATTCCAGTCTTACTACCATCGCTTGATTCATGGATGGGTCGACAGGACCCCAACTACCCGACTTGCTGACCCCAGTTCCAGTGCACTATCTCGTCCTAACAAAACTGGTGTGCGACCCCGCCCGCGGCTGTTAAGGCACGTCATACCTCTTCCATGGCCCACCGGCATTGCGAAATCGCGCCCACCACATCCTCCAGCCTCGACGATTCCGCCGCTCTCAGACCCCTCCGTTGCCTCTTCTCCGTTATCGTCCACAATATCTCGACAACTTTCGGCTGACGACGCTGCCGCGTCCAACCTCACCAGCCATTCTCATTGCCCTCTACCTTCACCCTCACACTCACCCTTCTCGCACTTGCGGGAGCGCGGCTTGGCCAGAATGAACCGACATTTGCGTACGGGGAGCCTCAATATTCCCAGCGGCCAGCGCAACCCCAGCAGCGCACAGACTCCCCGCTTCGATGGCCCGCGCAGTCCTCCAAGTATGTAAAATATTCTCGATCCAGAATGCGAGGAAATGGCCATGTGGATGGTATTCGGCGTTCAGTTTGTTCGTCCTGAAGACTAATCGCAATCTCTAGATACCGCGCACGTGCCGTGCAAGTTCTTTCGGCAAGGGACATGTCAGGCTGGCAATGCCTGTCCATTCAGCCACGACGTGAGCCAGGCGTCCGAGACGGTTTGCAAATATTTCGCTAAGGTACAGAGCTTCATCATGACGGACTTGCGACGGTATACTGACCAGCCAGGGCAACTGCAAATTCGGCCCAAAGTGCGCCAATATCCACGTCCTCCCGGATGGCCGGCGCATCAACTACGGCAGAAATGGCGTCACTATTGGGTCTGGTCCTGGGGGGCTCGCGGGACGACCAGGCAAAGACCCAAGCTCGCCTCCCTCGAACGTTGCCGGCATGGCCCCTCACATGCCAAACGGGCAAACATCGTCGAGCGCTTTGACGAATTCGCTCTATCGCGCCGAACAGCCTGGATATGTCCCCGCATATCCATATGACGATCGACAAGACCCCGCGGCGCCTCAAGGCCAGCATCATAACATCGATAATGGGATCCCAATCATTGATGGGCCCTACACGCACACTGGGTCACAGTATGGTTCCCCACGGGACGAGGAAGCACGATTTGGCCTCGGCATGTCTCCTATCAATGCAAATGGCCTCTCCGTGCTCGATGCTCCGCTCCCTGCCTCGTTCGATTCAAACGGCATATCCAATGCCGCTCGCTTTCCTGCCGCGCCATGGCCGTCGTCAGTGCCATCGAAATTCGGACTCGAATCGCCGACCCTTTCAGCTAGCAGCACTGCCAAGGACGGTCGGACATCCGACACGCTCAAGATGCTGCATACGTCTGCCTTTGGCGATTTGCAGATCACACCCACGAACGGGAGTCCGCAGCAAAGTAATGGATATGGCGACGAGTACTTTGGGAAACGCGCAATGCATTCGTCACGCTTCGCGAGGCCCAAGATGCTGAGCGCTAGTGTCCCCAAGACCACTTCGGCAGTTGATCGTGACTGGGAAAATGACTTTGCCCTGGACGATGATAGTGACAACTTGCCGGAGAACTACGTACCGGAGAACTTGCAGGATCTGCTGACTCCGGCGGAGAAGGCGCGGCGAGGTTCTATACGGGCCGATGATGCAAATGTGGACGCTATTAGATACGGCAGCCCGATCGGCACCAGCCCTGGGCGTTGGGGATCGTCTGTAGTAAGGAAGGACGATGACGAGATTTCGAGGTCGCGCAGTGTGGCTTCGGCATTTGGCCATGTCGGCAGTCCACTCCGCAACTCGACGCTTGCTCAGGAGATGGGGTCCCTGGGTCGTGGATCAAACATGCGCCCCGGCAGCGAGCCCATGTCGATGCTTTCCCAACAGCTACAACGGAGTCGTCTGGAAGACACTGCACCGGGTGGTGCTAGCCCTCTGCTGCATCCGTCCACCGCGCGCGCACCTGGGAAGGACAGGCACATGGAGCGCCACGTCTCAAGCGGAAGCATCAGCTCATCCGTCACGGGACGGTTCACCACCCCAATCGACGAGGAGGATCCGGACTTTGTCTTCAATATGGACGAAGTAGAGGAGCCGGAGAGGGCTCGCGCCCGCAAGAGGATCTCTGGCGGTCTGGGCATGGGCGTCTGGGGCTCTGGCAGTTATGCTGGTGCGCTCGCAGGGAAGCAGTCTAGTTCAAAGGACAATCCTGCCGCTGGGCGGTAGCCACAGTGAAGGTGCACGAATGACTTCACGATCATGGAATGATTCTGTGTCAACGAAACACGGGCAACACAAAATGCTCTGTGTTCGGATATAATGGTTATGGGGACGGAGAACAATGACTGAAATTGGCTCATCGAACTGGAGTTTTGCTTGCGATTGCAATTGCACTTGGACATGGTGGAGTTTAGTTGTTTTTTTACAACATTTGCGAATTCACGGTACCGGCGCTCAGGGGGGTGTCGGCTGGCGCCGAGCTTCAGGTGGCATAGCGCTTCATTTCTACTATATGGAGGGCAGGCATTGTTGGTGGATATGCATAGCACGTCTCATCCATCGCCCATCAGGGCACCACCTGCGCCAGGCGACGATTTGTCTTGGATAAGTGAGTAGGACGTAGACAGTGCAACAGGCTTGGTACATGTACACCCCGGCCTCTTGAATATCAAATCGCATACATTACGAACCACTCAGCGTCGTCAGACAAATAAGAGGTATTTCTATACACTGTTACACGGGAGCATATTGAATGCCCCTGGCGACATGATCCCATGCCATGCCCACGCTGCGCCGCGAACTGGTCAAGGTAGCCCAGGTTGTACATGGATCCCCTCGCCTGCGCGCCTCCTCATTGCCTCTTCCCGCCGACCCGCTACATCTGGTAGCGAGAAACCGTTGGGAAGAGGCAGTGTCTATCGTCCACTTCGATGCATCCCAATTAAGAGGCATCGGGCTGGTTGAGAATGTAGTTGACGGCGCCCTCGACTAAGACGCGGTTAGCTTTCGATATGTCCCTTATATGAACCCCCCGGAGCGAACGGTCATGGAGGGTCCGGGTGCATGAAGAACGTACTCGAGTGAATGCCGTCAGCATCTTTGTCGGGGATCTCAATGCTGAACTCCTCCTCGATAGCCATGACAACCTCCACAGTGTCCAAAGAGTCGAGGCCGAGATCGTTGGCAAAGTGCGCGGCCGGGGTGATCTATCATTCGTTAGATCCCAGGGACCATTTTCCTTTGTTTCCACCTCTATCGTCTGTCGACAATACTCACGTTCTTTGTGTCGTTCACCTGCGTCATCGTTAATACCCGTGCCTTGTGGTGGAATTGAAGAGCCGCCAATGGGCAAAATCACTAACCTTGTCAAAACCCTGGAGAAGAGACATGATGCGCCCCTCAACAGCCTCCTTCTCGAGAGCGCCGCCTGCGCTGTACATCCTCACGGCCTGGAAGGGGACTGCGCGGACAACGTTGACGCGAACGGGGCGGGCGGCGACGGCGAGGGTCGAGGGACGGGCGGCCATACGCGCGGCACTGAGGAGAGCGGTGCGGAACATGATGGGCGGTTGGGAGCGAGACGTTTAGTGGTGGTGGTGGATGTCTGGTCGTGACGTTTCAAGGGGAGTGGTGATGTGATGATTAAATTTCTCGCGGATTCGGATTCGTTGGAGCTCCGGCTGCAGTTGGGCGGTCGGAGAGAGCTCGGCGCCGGCTTATTCGAGGTCACGTGAAGGATCGCGGGAGAATACCAGCGAACAATTGGTTTACCTGATTGGCGAGGGTGACTTACCCTAGATGCCGTATGACACTCAACACCGGTGGTCTCAAGTTCATTTCCCACGTCATGACTGGACGAGAATATCTTCAGTCATTCATTACTCTTTCACATCTATCTACATCCGAGCTTGTAGTCGCAGCAGGTGAAATATCTCGATATGCGACTAGCAACGATGTCGAGCTTTCTGCGCTGCATTTGGGAAATACAGAACAGGCCGACTTTATATCTTCAGCCCCCAAGATTACTGGGTTCTTGACGCTGGCTTCATGTTCTCCGCGTGCATAGCACGCAATTCCTCTCTCCATAACCAACCTAGTAGGATCGCGTTGCCCCAGTCGAACACAAGAGTCAGCCCGACTCCAGCCAGAAGCAAGGCAACAAAAGAAACCCGAGTCATTCTACGCGCCCTCATATCCCCAATGGCTGCCAAAAGCCAGATACTCATCGCAGCAAAAGAGCCGATCTGGTCATACTGGAACAATGCCCTGAGTGGTACCGCAGGATCCTCGGGTAGATGAAACAAAGACTGTGGCACGAAAGTCTCAAATAGCCCGACATCAGCGTGTCTGATGGTGTACCACCACAAGGAGGTATTGCCGAGCGCAACAACCCCAATCACGGCTCTGAGCAAATACTTCGTCCGCAGCTTGGTTATTGGCTTTAAAACTCGGCCGCTGATGGAGAAAACGACAGCCCCCCAGATGGGATAAAGCTGCCACACCCAGCTCCACCAGTACCGTGCTTCATAGTTTGGGTGAAAGTACATACCAAGTGAAGCAGGGTAATACGCCAACATCAGCGTCGGGAGTACGGCTGCTGCATCTGATGCCGAAATGGCAGCCCTCGCAGGTGAGGACGTGACGAGATGCGCATAGAGCGAGAAGGCGAAGAACCACAGAGGAGCAAGCAGTGCGTTGACGATGAACTGCCCACTCAGAGCCAGGACAGTTGGACTGTCGACATCAGCAAACGCAACGCACAGAGACCCATTTGGGCAGAGAGACTCACTATCGGAAAATGGTGCCTTTGTGCACCTCTCGGCAACCTTCGAGTAGGATAATGGCGTACAGCCCGGCGTACTCGTTGACAAAGGCCATTCCTTGCCAGTATGATGCTGGATCGGCTGGATGCATCTGCGACTGGGCAAAGGCGAGCGTTATATCGGTCAGCGTAGCATCAAGGGCCTTGATTCCATAGAACGACGTGTAGATTGGCACTGAGACGCCATTGTGGGTGAAAGCACCTTTTTCGCGGAAGATCTCAATGGTTTCGCCTATGGGAATTATAAAAGTCGCCAAAGCGCATATAATCATAGGAAGAAGCAGTAGGATTGGGGAGCCACGCAGGGCTCTTGCTGAAAGCGTGTCGGCCATGGTTGACAAGTCTGCTCGAGGATCTGGTTTCGTGTGAGTGGCGATGCTTTTTATAAGTTAGTAGGAAGTACTATTTGAGTCAGAAAGATACATGCAGAATTTAATATACCAGGGTGCTAATCACTCTACAATTTTAATTCATGTCACTAAAACGGGGCATCGTCAACAGAGGCCACTATATGGCAGGCTCGGGGCCGCTGCAAGTGTCGTATAGCTTCAATTCCCTGCGAATGTCGAAACTGCACGTTTCGTCTAGCGATAAGCACCGTGCTGGTCAGCAACGCGAAGCAAGACCCAGTCCTCCGTGAAATATAGTTTTTATGTACTTGTCAGTTCGGCCTTGTGAGCCAGCGAGCCGACGTCAGCGCTACCGACGGATCTAAATCATTACAGCTGTCGTAAAAGAGCCCAGACTTCCTCATGAGCGGCATGCATGCGCGTACGCGAGCAGGCCCCGATTATGTCCTCTTTCAGCTGGTGCGGTGGGTATAGCAATGGCCAACGCTGGGGGCGTGGCGTATCCAAAGGTCAGATGAGTGTTGGCGCAGAATGGCAAGACTGATGCAAGCTCCATGTCCGACTACCCGTTCTCCACGGACGTTGGCATCGACCTGAACAAGAACTTTCATTTCGTATGGGACCATAGGACAGAGTTCAATCCTGGTGAGGATGTCTTCTCCGTGGCGTCTGATGGTCCCAGTTTCGAGATCTACCACGGGTCGGCGGCGGCGGCTTCAGAGCCCCAGATTAAGGCTGTATATTGGGTACTGAATACGTACAACTCGTCCCTCAGCTTCTTGGTGCAGAGCGTGATTGTCGATGCTTTCGTTTAGCCGGGTTTTGGAATAGGAAACGTTGGCCTATCAGAGCAGCTGCCCGTGCGCTTTGCTTGGGCCGACACTTGCGGAGGTTGTTTGAGTCAGTATAAAAAGCCCCGAGGCAAGTCCAAGTCGTAAGCAGCCAACCCCAAACAGAGCATCGAACAAACACACATAACGGCATGGTGACTTGCAAGCGATGCCCTGGGCTGAGATCCACGATACAAGGCATGAAAGCCCCTGTTCAAGGCCGAGTGTCTGTTCGAGGGTTTCCACCATTTGCATATTCCGGTCGTCACCCGTCGTCCGTCCGGCATCCGCTCGAAGACCTGTCAGTGGATGATACGAAGCCGAATGATACCTTCAGGAACACAACTTTGAGTCTCAGGAGGCTGTCTGAAATCTTCCATGGCGATCCTGTGTCGCCCACCTCTACGCGTCTGCATGGTGTGACGGGACACATTCCAAAGCCCAAACATCTGGGTATATCTCCGAGGTCTGTGGCATTCTGGCCTGCCTAGTATATGTACACCAGATCCCAGTCTTTTGGACAAAAGAAACCCGCACAAGGTATAGTCAGACATCCAATTCGCTTCCTCCCCCTGCTTTCCTCCTGTTGGTTTATCGGTACGGCGCATCGGCGCGGATGACAGCGGCCAACTCGGGCTCCCACTTGTCTCCGTTACTCAACAGCTTCTCCTTGTTGTACAAAAGCTCCTCCCTCGTCTCGGTGGCGTATTCGGCGTTTGGTGACTCGACAATGGCGTCAACGGGGCAGGATTCCTGGCAGAAGCCGCAGTAGATGCACTTGGTCATGTCAATGTCGTAGCGGGTTGTGCGGCGGGATCCGTCAGCGCGCTCTTCGGCTTCGATTGTGATGGCTTGGGCCGGGCAAACCTGAGTAGGTTAGCAGGATGAATAGTGAGTTGCGAGTGCCGAGACATACAGCTTCGCAGAGCTTGCAGGCGATGCAGCGCTCCTCGCCAGAGGGGTATCGGCGCAGGGCGTGTTCACCGCGGAAACGGGGTGAGATCGGACCCTTCTCGAAGGGGTAGTATATGGTATATCTGCCTTGACTCAGCACAATCCTCCATGGGTCTCACGAAGCCATGCCCGACGCATTGGCACGACTGCCTCGTCCCCAATCTGTCGGAAATGCTCCGGAGAAAAGGTTCACCTACGGTGGTCGGAAGAACTGCTCCATGAGCACGTACATGCCCCTCGCCATCTCGGTCATGAGAAAGTACTTTCCCAGTCTGTCCAGCGTGGTATCCTTCTCCCACGCCCATTCGACCTTTGTACCCGTGCGGAAGTTGGCGGGAGGAGGACCGCTGGGCGTGGCGTAGCCGCGGGCGGCCGTCTGCGCGAGGATGCTGCTGCCGGCGACGACACGCGAGGTCGCGCGCGGGAGGGTCGAGCGGACGAGCATCGTGGCGGGCGCCATGGTGATGCAGGCGGTGGAGGGGAGATTGGGTGTTGAGTGGCGGGCGGTGGTCGTGACAGAGCAGTGTGAGAGATGTTGACGTTATGCCGTGGGAGATTTCGAGCTGTCGGCTGCGGGATTACAATGTACGGCATTTGATTGGCGGAGGGACGTCACGTGCAGCATCACGTGTGTCCTCGATGACACTCACTTATACCTAATGATATAGTATGAGGACCACTTGCCACTGACGATATTGTGAGATCATGAAAATGAGAATTCCATACGTTGCGAATTATGATAGATGTGGCTATCCTAAAGTTTGCTACTCAACCGCTGAAAGCAAGGCTTCAAAGTATGCATCAAAATCAACGCTATGCTTCGCTGCCCCCGAACTCCGGCCCGCTCAATGGTAAATCGTGAGAACAGGGTACGCATAACCAAAATGCAATCAAAAACTCTTCTCCCACGTCCTCCACCAAACACCCATATTAGCAGCCACGAGAAGATCCAACATCTTCAGACCTTCGTGGTTGATAATCAGCTTGCCCAACTTGGCCCTTCTTCCACGTTGGCCGCCACCGGCACGTTCCTTGCCGAGATTCATCTCAAAAGGTGAAAGGCTTCCATCGTCCCCGTCCTCAACAGAAATATCGTCCCTCCTCCAGAACTTGGCGAGGGAGCCCATCTTTTGCTGCGTAGTCTGTTCCTCAAACCCGGGCATCTCGTAGGCAGGGAGGTTGAAGCGTAGCTCGCTGACCACGGCTGAGTCGTGTGCAAAGGGCGAAGCCAAGTCCTCGGTCACAAGGGAATTCACGTTGCCGTGTCCATCGTTGAGCAGGTGACGACATCGCACCGAACCTCCCGTAACGCTTGTGTAGAACTCGCAGCGAGTGTCCCAAGGACTCACGAAAACGTACCCCCGTGGTTTCATTCCGGGACCTGGCTGTCCGAGAGACGTCTCCGGCTCGGGCGGAGCCGGTTTGCTGCCGCTACGAGAGCGTTTCTGAAAGACATCCTTGACATTACTTGCGAACGACTTGGAGTACGACATGACGAGCTGTCGAGAAAAGGTGGCTGTCTCCGGCGGAGGCTGGTCGATGCCATTCGGCTGGCGGGGAATCTCGACGGACTTGCGAGCCGGCATACCCTTGAACTTGCTGTAACCCGGGTTCTGGATGTGGACATCTATAGGCGGGCGAGGTAGTTCCTCAGGCAAGGGCCCGGTGATGGGATTTGGTAGCTGGCACGAAAAGATGTGACCAACGTTCCACTGATGGCCGGACGATGGATCTCGGCGAATGATATTGAGACTGAAAGAGTCGTCAAGCTTCTTGGGGGAAGGTGAGCGAGAGTTCGTTGGCCGGTGGAGTTGTTGACTTTCGGCGCGACGATGGACACTTTCATGGACCGCTTGACCTGGTTGATTCACGGACGCAGCGCGGGGTCGACGCGGTAATGGAGGTGCCTGCGGCTCACCCCTGAGGGCTGGATGTTCCGAGTACGGTGGTGGTGGCAAAGCATGGTAGGGCTTCTCTGCACTCCTTGGCTGGGCAAGCGGGCGGTCGGCCATGCCGCCATTGCTCTGCTGCGAGTACGGCCTCTCATGCGGCGGCTTTGCGTAGTCAGGGACGCCATCGCGCTCATGCCAGCTTTGCTGCGAGTAAGGCCTCTCCACCGATGTGAAAGGCTCCGCTGGCTGCTGCAGCGTCGGTAAGGTCCTGACAGGTGTGACTGGCGACGAAGCAACCGGTTTCCGTGCAGGCATGTCGGTGGCTGAGGGCGGAGATACCCCATTCACAGCGGTAGTTGAAGGGACCGTCACAGGCACTTTGAGTGCGGGGGGCTGGCCCTTGACGTACCACTCTGGCAGCTCTGAGGAGCCAGGCGAGGGAGGTTGTTCACTCGGCAGAGGGACGTTCAAGAGAGGTGCTGGTGGCTCATCGGGCGTGGGCGGCCTGGCACCCCCAATCGGCTTCCGGGGAATAGCTCGACGCGTACCAGCACTTTCATCGCTTGAGCGCGCGTTGTCATAATGGTGACGAGGAGGGGTTGGACCTCGCGACTGCGGGCTGGAGTTTTCGAATTGGATGTAGTACAGAGAACTGGTGACATCTGCCGCTGTCACATTCTCCACCTGCGGCTTGGTGGTTGTCAAAATGACATCTAGGGCGTGTGAGCACTCGCATGAAGATGACAGGATTGGAGCTGGGAAGCTTACCTCGAGTGCCTGGTACGCGTGAGATGTAAAGCGTCAAAGGCTCTTGCAGTTGTTCCTGAGGCTTGACCGGGTACTGAGGAGGGTTTGCAGCGAGGTGATTCAGAGAGGCAAGGGAGCGGGCCTCCATGGCTGAGAACCAGAATGAGCTAGATCAAGATGTGGATTGTAGATGTGCCGAATTCTTGATATTGTCGAGGGCAGGATTGAGTGTTTATTATGAGCGTCAGTAGAGATGCGCCAACGTCACCCGTGAGGCTGGCGCGGGACGCAGGGACGAAGTGACAGGCAGGGTTGTTGAGTCGTCGAGGTCAATCTGAAATTCTCAATGTGTTATGCTCCTATTGGTGCCCAAAGCCAAGCTTTTCAAGTGAGTAACCCGCAAGGGTACGGTGTCGATTGCAGCTGCTGCCAAGGTCAAGAATATGATTGCCTACGGAGGACGCGAGTCAAGCAATGCAGAACTGAGAAGAGATTCCACGTTTTCCGAGTGAGCGTGGAGACCTAGAGCTGGTCGAGCAGACGAAGGCGAGACGACAACGTCAGCGCCCGCGTTGGTGGGTCGTCCTTGTATTACTCTTATGCAACGCGGCTGTGCCAGCTACCTTATGCTGATTACGCGCTCCAGTCTTCGTCAGACTTCCTTAAGAGATCCTCCGGATGTAAGCTTGAGCCTCTCTCCTCGGAGGTCTAATACAGTGTGTTCTCTCCCCTTCAGAAACGACACGCAGGGATGACAGCAAGTGAAAAAGACGGGCAGTACGGATACAGGTGAAGGAAGATATTTCCAAACCACACGGTCATGACTTGATAAACTAGCCACCAGCCACAGTCCAGGCTGCCAAGAATAGACGCATACCTTATGCACTGTGCAAGTACCGAGTCGCAATGCCTGTATTGGTGGCGCTGTCAAAATTTTGCACGCGCAGTCCCTGAACCGCATGATTCAGCTACAAGTACGTAGTTAAATCAGTAAGACAGCGTCTCTGGGGAAATAGAGTACACCGCCCCGGTCATTACTACGTAATATGCAACGGCTGTGTCGACCCCGGCGGACATGGTCATGGTCGACAACCGCACGGGTATCGCCGAAGGGTCCGCACTCTAGTAGCACAGTCTCGCACGGTCATGGCAGCTATTCCCCTGGAAAAGTCCCCTGGAGTCTGTCTCATTTCGCGTCGTCACCCCAGTCATCAGCGGAAGCTTGATAAGGCTGTGACCTCGTCCGCATCACCTAGGCTGCGCCCCAGCGCAATTGAACGACGAGCTCACACAACAAATCTATTTGTACTCGGGACTTTTCGAGCTTGAATCATCCAATGTGTATTTTCGACATTGTCCCCGCGAGCTAGTAGCTAATGCAGGCGATATGCAGACCTCGGTGCGCCAATAGCTGACCAAGGGCGACAAGGTCCATGTCGGCCCTCATTGTCTTCAACTCAGCCACTCCTCTGTGCTGGCGCTTCGCACGGCGCCGTGGCAGTGGCATATGCTGTCCCTCCACATCCTCCGGGGCACCTCTTGTCTGCGCATGGCATCTCAACCGTGACCGTGGGCACTGCCTCTGGACAGCCGCAGCCCTGAGTGATGGTTGAGTACGCCAGGCACAAGGGAGCGACGCAGGTGGAACAGGCTGAGATGGAGGTGACAGTCGGGCATGGAACATTGTTCGCAGTGGCACTGAAAGATGAGTTGATGGGACTGACACGTATCAGGCGGAGGTCGATTAGGCTTACCAGGCAAGGGCCCCCAAAAGTACGGACATGTCGAGTAGCCTCATGTTGGTCGTTGACAGTCGATGTCGATTCGCAATGTTCTTCCAAGTGCTGTAGCTCGGGAGAGCACAGACACTAAAGAGGCTTGCAGAGTGGCAGAGGTATATATGCCATGTCCGGCTTGAGACATGTCCCGCCCTCTGAGCATCATCCCTTGTTGCCATACTGGCACATGCCATTCCAACAAGTCCATGGTGCACATTCCCCGGCACACACTTTCAGCTGCTTGCTTGCTTCCTGCTTAAAGCAATAAAGTCTTAGTCTTTTGTGAGTATGCTTCTGGGAAAGCGCATTACCTCGTCCTTGAAAAGCTACATACCATCATGTCTGGCTTTCACAATGAATGCAGGCTGTCGCGTGGCTACTGAGAAGACTTTAAAGCCCAATGTGTATTGAAGCTGCCCTACTCACCCGGCAGCGCCGTCGACAACCTGCTTCACAACTTGATCCAAGTCCTCGTCCTCCAAGTCGAGCAACTCCATGGCAAAAGCGTCTTTCTTGGTCCAGTCCGCATCGATCGCCCCCAATGCAAACACGACATCTTCCACAGCATGTCGATCACCGGCATCCACCTTCTTTTGCTGTTCTTCCAAGAATGTTTGACTATCTGCCCGGCTCACCTTCCACTTGGCGCCTGTGGCTTTCTCCAGCGAGACTAGAACCTGGTTTTGCGACGGGTTGAAGGATTGGACGTAGAGCGTCTTGTTCTTCGTCTCTTCCAGCTTATTGAGGACCGCCACTGTGGCCTCGCCCACGCGTCTCAGCGTCGAGGCCGAGGCTGGAATGTCTCCTCCGTCGAGAATAAGCGACTCCTGCTTCTTGATGTCAAAGTGCAAGAAGCCAGCTCGGAGGCCCCAGTCGAAGAAGTGGCCACAGACAAGGGCTGTCCACGAGAAGGTCTTGAATTCCCGCGCGAGCTCTTCACATCGCTCACGGACCTTGACCTTGTCCCTGTAGAGCTGCAGTCTCTTCAGCGCCTCAGGGCTGGCTGCGTCGCACGACCCAAAGTCCGCAGGCATGAATCGCTCCACGCCAGCGCTCGCGGCAGCGTAGGCCAGTCGCAGATGGAGCTGCAGCTGGTTCGGCAGTGGGAATGCAGCGACGACAACCTTGAAGGGTTTCAACGCTTCGGTTACCTCTGGAATCGGGAAATCCTTGTCGACGGGCAGCAAAGACAGGTTCTCGTGCTCCAGGGGGGCCGGGTTGGTAGAGTTGGAGCGATGCAGCACCGTGACTGGGAAACCGGCGTCCAGGAGAGCGGGCAGAAGGACGGACCCTAGGTTGCCATTCGCGCCGACAAGGCAGATCCGGGGGCGATCAGCTGCCATTGTTCAATTTCGGAGGGAAAATGAAATTCTGACAGGTTGAAGAACGTGATGGAAGCGAGGTTGTTGATGCTTACAAGTAGATTGTAGACTAAGAGTGAGGGGTCTTGATATGGGAGCACTGAGAAGGCGGGGCGGTATCGGCCGACAACGTGAGTGAGAGTCGAGACCCCCTGACAAGTCACTGATGGCTGTGTACATGTAGAGGCTAGAGCCCGCGTGATTAGGTTCTTTCTCCAATCCCAAGACAAGTGTGGCTTGGCAGGAGTATACAGCAGTTGTAGTTGTGGAAATAGAATATAAATGACGCCCAAGTTATTCATCCTAAGCTCAGATCCTCGTCCATCGCTGTGACGTGACTCCCCACACCAACCCCAGATCGAGGGTGGATCCAAGTTTGCTTTCCACAATGTCCCCTGAACCAAACAGCATCTCAAACTACCAGCACGAGCTTGTCATATCCATGCTGGTGACAGATATGCGCGTTCCGGCGGCGGAATAAGTCCGTTCTCTGGATCCAATGTCATCCTGGCCGCCGGCACGTCCTCCTCACGGCGGTAGCCCTGAGGATAAGGCAAAAGCACGACATCATGCAACTATGACGCTTGTCAGAAATCGATTCACATAAATGGAATTTTGAGGAGCAGTATTTACCTGACGATGATACTCTCGTTCAGCCTCACTGTCGTCGACCAACCTTGGCTCCGCGCCCTCCCTTTTAGCTACTCGAGCCCGCCTCCATAGCAGTCTGCTGAAGCGGGATGGCACTCGCGAATGGGTGGCCGTTCGAAGTTTCATATATCGACGTGCACACAATCCTATTGCGCTGAAGAGAATCACCAACAAGATAAAACCGCCGCCGAAGAACCAGGGCGCATAGTACATGCATGTAGGTACATGGGCGCGTATATCCAGAGACGGCACCGCGCCTGATGCGCTTTGATCCCGTGGTGATAGCATGGCTTTGCGGATAGTGTGCAGGCTGTCGTGGGTTGTCGAGATCGCAAAGCAGCACAGTGAGACAGAGGCCTTGTGTGTGCAAAGGCCCGACGTCGAATCGTTTCTCTTAAATTGTGTCCAGCGAAACTCGAATAAAACGAGTCGGAATGTAATGCTGCTTCTATAGGATGGGTAATCGACCGAGCATGAAGGGTGTTGGACGACTGGCTTTGGAGACACAATTGTGCGCATCGTTATATAAAGCCACCTGTTCTAGATCTGTAAGCAGCTGGAACAGGGTGAAGTCACGAGGTTTCAAGCTTTCGCTTAGCTGGCTTAAATTTGCCGTTTGAGTTGAGCGTCGTTGAAGCTTCGTGCTGTCATCTTGATGCGTGAGAAGCCCCTTCTCCATCCATACTACAAAGAACAGTTCTGCTCTGGCATCATAGCTTGAAACTGTGACCTTAGCAGATATTTAATAACTGGAGCCCCATACAGCAGAATACACTACGCGAACTTCGACATGCATAGTCCTGAGCTTCGCACCTGGTAGAGTCAAATTGCTTGGTGGAAGAGCAGTATCCTCGTCAAGACATTGCATAGACGCAAAGCAACTCATGCTAGTGTCCAATAGTGAGTGTCTAGAGTAGGCTGAACACACTCAAATTACAATTCGCTCCTCGGACACCTTATCGAGGCCGTGAAGATTGAACGCTAAGGCAGTGTACGGACTAAACTTCCGCGCTGTCTGAGCTGAAGGTGTGACTATCAGCACGAATTGGGCCCGGGCCCTGACAACAAGTGTTCGATGGCGTACAGACGGGCCGTAGTTCTTAGCTAAGTAGAAGGGCGAAGACATCGGACAACATCACCTCTCCTAAACCACACGCAGGTGCGCGCTTGTAAAGACTGTGGGTTTGAACTGGGTGTACCGTGGCCATCAAGAAATGCACTCGCCCACCCACGGTCCACCTCTATTTGCATCAGGGCGCCAATGTCTGGTTGCCGTTCCATCAGGGGGGAGAATCTCTCGCCCGGCGCAAGGGTCTTGAGTGTACAGGCAATGCCCTTGCACCCGATATACCGTTGTGTATTCCCCCACCATTCCACCGTGGCGCCAACTCACTGCACACTGAACAATATGACGATGCCACTGATGGCAATGGCAGCGCTGAAACTGGCCGAAAGGACAAAATTATACTTGCTCCAGAACGCAAGAAAGCGGCTCTTGATGTAGATCCAGCTAAGCCATGCCACCGGCACCGCGGGCCAGGCGTAGCTGAAAGAGTAGGGCACCCAGAAGACGCCGCCGTACCACGATGCCACGGGATGAACCTGACAGACCCAGCGACTGCGGGGCATCAACTTCATGAGATCCCAGAAGATTAGGGGCGTGAGGGCGCCCAGTGGGGGTCCCAGAAGAAGCGGTGCGTATTGGCCCTTACGGGAGAACATCTTGACAGGGCCAATGGTGCCCCATAGGACGGAAGATGTGAAGTATGAGTTCAGGGCCGGACAGGTGAAGCGCATGGGGGCTTCGGCAGCGCACACTCTAGGAATGTCGATTTGGAACGAGGGGACGCCGAGGAGGAAAATGTTGATATCAGCGTGGCGATCATCTGGCCAGAAAAGGTCACACGTGGAGGAAGCTACATTTTTTGCTTAGTTAACGTCGACGGGATGTGAAGTTAGAGGGGACACATACCTTCAAGTAGTGGGCTACCTTCAAGTCATTTACAAAACCCATTGTCCAGGTGCACACCACATGGCTTTCACAGTCAGCCCTATTTCACAGGATAGTCACAGGGACGTTGAGCATACCCGTACGTCTTGAAGTAGTTCATTGCGAGAGCGTTGCCTGGGATGGTCATACCCTTTAGGGGATAAACCAGCAACTGTCCGTGGACAACTCGCAACCGCTGGACAGAGACTTACGCCAATAAACTCGGCTGAAACGTTGAGAAGCACCTCGATACCGGTTATGCTCTTGACGATGCCTACGGGGACCACAAAGACCAGCGCCAGCAGAACACTATGTGGCACAACACCCCAGGTCGTGTACGTTGACCAAGCGCCCACGCCTGCAAAGCCGAGGGCTGTGGCGACCACGAGCGTGCCCATGTACCACCATACCGGCACTTCGCGGTACTTTTGCATGAGCAGCGAGTGGGCATCCATGTACTCCCCATCGTCGGACGCGCCGCCCGACTTGCTACGCCGGAAAATCGCTCAGGCGCTTCTGAACCCCATCATAATCTCACAGCAGTGGAAGAGGGCGACGTGCACCACGGTGCAGGTGTAGATCCCGAAGAATGCCCCGTACACAGTGGCCGTGGCGGCGCTGATGTACGGCGCCGAGTAGTCAATGTACTTTTGTCTGTCAAACAGTCCTTGGTGCAATCGACACCGGGGCATTAAGTAGGTACTGATAATGGGAAGCTGCTGCTTGCGAGTCTCCTATATCGCAAGGAATGTAGCAAACAGCTGCGTCATCGCATTCCAGTCGACTTTGTCGAGTGCGTACTCTGTACGTAGCAGGAACGGCAGCCTCATCGGACGTGCTGAAGCGAGCGCTCCGGCGTGATCTGATGCGGCCATTTTCGACGATCTGTCGGGCACGTTGAGGCCTGAACCAACATGAAGAGATGATATCCCAGTTATGGCGGAAACAAACGGACAGCCCGCCACCGAGCGACGGGTGATCATGGTCGCAAATCGCTGCCGAGTCCATCAAGGCGGCCTCAATTCGCATATTGTGAAACGAGATAAGCCAGGCCCAGCCTTTGACATCCGCTTTGAAGGCCTTGTACTAGGTACTCCGTGCCACGTTTTGAGCTTTTGTCAATATGGACACCCAGCTCGTCTCGAATCTGGCCGTGGTCATGGCTGATACGAATGCAGCACACTGTTGACGTTCTGAATATTCTGCATTGTTGCTTGTTGTTGCTCAGCCGATTCGCTTCTCTGTCCTTCGGACCCAAACTTCCTTATCGTGTAGCTCATCAGATCCTGGTTCCGAGGCCTTGACATCCCTCAGCTCGACCTTCCAGATCGGCAGCTTATAGCCTCCGCGATCTGCGTTTCCCGTGAATAGGTCGAACGACCAGCTATGTTTGGGGCACGTAATGCCTGCGCTGAGGACGACGCCAAAGTCCTCAATGTCAAAGGGGATACCCCGCGATAACGGGAACGATGAATGCGGGCATTTCTTTGGGTATAATCTCAGATACCAGTCTTCATCACAGTACGATACGGTAACTTACGTGGTCTATGGCATGCATCTTGCCCCTATGCTTGAAAATCAACACCTGGTCCTGTAGTGCCTGCCCTTCTTCATCCATGAGTCCAAGCCCGTCCGTTGTGATCAACACCTCGCTTCGTTTGGACAGATCGTCCTTTGGCACATTGAATACTTTGCAGCCCGGTCTGGCCGTGGCGCTGCACTCACGTGGGTGGACGAGATCCTCATCATCTTCGCCGACTTCGGGGAACGAGGAGAGGCGTCCGACCGGAAACCACGTGTCAGCGGGTGCTGCGCTGCGGAAAAGATGAAAGGGATTCATGTCATAAGTATTCCATCGACTGGCTGCTCAACTGTAGCTGGACTTGAGGAATTTGAAGTGAGTGTGGCGTGCGTGAAAGTGATCAAAATCTCAACATTTCGTGTTGACGGTGATTAGCGTGTTTTTCTTCCCCACAGTCTGCCTGGCCTTGACTCTTGATTCCTTGACAGCACAGTTTAGATCGACAGCCCTTTGCACGGCAAATCTCGTGAGCTTCAACATTCTTCAGGTCAAAGAAGTCTCGTGGCAAACAAACAGAGAAAGGATGGACAGAACGAAACATGGCCAGCGTCAATCACATCAAATTCATGGGCAAGGCAGTTGGCGCACTTGCCCCTGTAATTACTGAAAAGCACCAAGCACGTTTAAATTTTCGGATTACATGAAAGAACACTTCCTTTTCTTCTCTCTGTGGTCTAGATGTACCGCATTTCAGGGTCCATTCTGTTCATCAACTCCATGCTCTTCTCGTACATGGTGAAGACGATACCACCACTGAGAACCAATCGGGCGAGGCGAGGGAGCGCGCCACTCCAGAATGTGGTGATGCCTTCATTCTTGAAGATCATTGTGCCACAGCGGAGGGTGTTGCCGTATACTGCTTTGGCTTCGGGGCTCTGCATCCTGGTCTTGATGGTGTCCAGAGGCTGGGTGACAGCAACCGTAATCAAGCCGGCCAGACCACCGATGGTGAACGTCGATATGGTGCCGAGCTTCTCGCCTGGTGCGGTCCATGACTCGGCGAGCTGTCGAAGGGATGTGTAGCTGCCGAAGCGGACCGCACTGTTTGCGCTCTGGCGAAGGGTCGTGGGAACGAAACCCTGGAAGAACCCTGCGAGACCTCGCTCCTTTGCAATAATCGGCACAGCATGTAGGAAGCCGCGCATGCGTGGCTGGGCTCGTTTGCGGTCGTCGATCAAGGTCGTCTTGATACTCTCGGTAGGGGTGACTGCGAGGAGTGATTCTGTGACGCCGGCACCGAAACCGGCGAGGACTGTGCGAGGGCCGGTGAGCTTGCCATTCTCATCAGCCAGCATGCTCTTATACTGGTCGAAAGCGACAAAGCCTGTCTTTCGTTAGATCGAGAAGTTGGGGTATGGAAAGAGAGGGCATGTTCGTACGGATGCCAGCTTTGGCCGAGTTGCCGATGATCAGGGTTGTGCAACCCGCATACCACTGCGAGCCAAACGGCGGCCAGGGAAGCTTCTTGCCAGCCTCCAAGCGTCGGTTCAATTGCGAGCGTGTTTTGGCGACTGCGACACGGTCAGTGGAAATTCAAAACGGCGCTCGATAGGATCGACGTGCACTCGGCTGGGTAGGTGATTGCGATCTCCAGCGCACCGGCGGTAGATCCGGCGATGACGGAGCGCAGAGCGCTGGGCGCCTTCTTTTTGGATGGATCGGCCGGATCCTGCGGTAGCGAGGGCGCCATCTTGAGTCTTCTGGAGATGGTTTTGGAGGTCCAAGCCGGCGATGGTGGGCGGTGGGATTGACGAATAATAACTTGACAACTCCGGTCTCGCGCCAGCGTTGGCTTTGGGCTTCTGCCGTGACCTCATCGCAACCTCGGTAATAAATGCTTCAACCGCCAACTTGAATCCAAGTTCTCCCATTCCCACAACAAATACATTTAATGCGTCGGCCACTGCACATCGGGCCTTTTCAAATAGAGGAGAATACGTTCGTTGCGCTAAAAACTTGAAGCTGTTGTGTACCCGCACTCCGCAGCCCGACTCCCAATCCGCGTTCACTCCAGGCGACCACTACCAAGTTCAAAATCAGCAACAGAACGGTCTATTTCCCCAAGAAAGCTATCAAGTTCGATAACAGAGCTTATCGTTGAAAAGTTTGAACCTTCTCAACTCGATCCATACAGCCATTGGCACTTGGCATAAAACAAGGGGCCGTGCGTCACAAAACTGACCTGTCGTTAAATAAGCTCCGTTCAACGCTCTATCTAGTGGACAATATGGAGGGAAGGTCATGCCAGTAACTGCTGGATAGTCTGAAAAATCTGTTGCCAATATGCAGAAGCATAAAGTGGAAGACGCTGATCGTTCACGTTCTACTCCGTATGTATTCAGCAATTGCTAATGCGGCTTGCAATTGAACTCTGCTACCTTGGGATTAGCACCCCCACGAGGGTGAGACACAGGGTAGGTCATGCACATGGACAAGAGACGGACGTCAGCACCTCCTCCCCTCCATCTTTACTCTTTAACTCCGCATTTCAACTTTTCAAGACACTGAACCCCGATTAGATCTCCACCGCAGCACGAAAACGAGTAAACGAACTGGTTCCCCATGGGGCCAGGACGCCACCCCTGCCAATAGCCGCGCACTCCCGCCCCATCCTCTAGAGAACGACAGGCTGAGAAGATGCATTCGACTTCGCGCATCGATTGTGCGGGGTTCTCCCCAAAAGCAAGATCCAGACCGAGGCTCGAGCCTCGGCGGTTGAGTGATGCATACAGTCAGGGGGGTGCTCGCTACGTGTGAGTGCGGACACCAGCTGCTCGCTTGACCTCATCACCTGCTCGCCTTGAACTCACCGACTCTGATCATCTTGACGGGTTGACAACCATTCGCGACCAGTATCTCGCCCACAATGATTTACAACCAAGGGAACGAGGTCCCAGTCCCCAACGTTGACCTCTTGACGCTGCTCTTCGGTATGTCTGATTCACAATTGCTGCCCCTAAGCACCGCCGTCGGCTAACTGAACAGAATCGGACCAGAGTGCTGCCCAAGAGGACACGCCTATACACGCCGAAGCTGCTCGCCCCGACTATTTCTTCACCAAGGCAGCCTCTCGCACTCTCGCCAAGCAGATCGCCCACTTCTTGCGCAAGGAGTACGGCATAGGCGCCCATGGGGCTGGCAAGGATGTCGTCGTGACCGTGTCGACTGGGCAGTCTGCGCTTGCGACCGTGTTCTATGGTGTTGTTGCAGCCGAGGGCGTATACTCAGCTGCCTCTGGCGCGGGAACACCGTCTGACCTGGCCAGGCAGATTCGTCAAGGCGATTCAAAGCTCCTCGTCTGCAGCAAGGACCTCGTCAAGCTGGCCGAAAAGGCCGCTGAGGATGCAGGTCTCTCCAAGCGCAATGTGCTCGTGCTAGAGAGCTACCCCGAGGTCAAGCTCGGTAGCCTCGACGGTAGCACGAAATGCGACTTTCAGAATGAGCTGGATTGGCGACGGATCACCGATCAGAAGGAGCTGGAGAAGACCACCATCTGCATGCTCTACTCGTCAGGCACCACTGGTCTTCCCAAGGGCGTGCTCGTCACCCACATGAACGTGGTTGCGTCCACCGTTATACCCACCAGTCTCTCGCGGCCATACTACGCCTCCACCGGCACGGGCTACGAGAAGAGAACTCTGGGCCATCTGCCGACCGCGCATGTCGCCGGCGTCATGGGCTACTTTGTCCACCCCGTCTACGAGGCCGGTACGGTGTTCTGGATGCCGGGGTTCAACTTTGAGGACTTTGTCAAGTACGCGGATCAGCTCCGCATCACCATGTTTTTCACCGTGCCACCCATCCTCATGGCCATTGCGAAGCACCCGGCCGTCAAGGACCAGTTCCGCTTCATGAGGGGCGTCATGAGCGGCGCGGCGCCCCTCACCGGTGACTTGCAGGACGCTGCCAGCAAGAAGATGAGCCTCGAGGAGCCCATCACACAGACGTGGGGCATGAGTGAGACCACGGGCTCCGCGACCTACATCCCCCCCGGGCGTACGGTGCGAATGGGCAGCCTGGGCCCTCTGCTGCCGAATGTCCTCATGCGACTCGTGGACGATGATGGCAACGACGTGAAGAGGGGCGAGGCGGGCGAGGCGTTGATCAAGGGGCCCATTGTCTCCCCCAGGTACCACAACAACGACAAGGCTAACAAGGAGTCTTATACAAGCGATGGGTGGTTGCGAACGGGAGACATTCTTCGCGAGGACGACGGCGAGTTCTGGGTCATGGACAGGAAGAAGGTGAGCGCGCAACGAGGGCACCCTCGGTGATGGGGCCATGGCTGACACGATAGAAACAGGAACTCATCAAGTACAAGGGTCTGCAGGTAGCGCCTGCCGAGCTCGAGGGCCTCCTCGCTTCGCATCCTGCTGTTCTCGACGCGGCCGTCATCGGCGTCCAGCAGGACGACACTGAGGTCCCGCGCGCCTACGTCGTCCTGGCGCCTTCCGCCGTCGGCAAAGTCAAGGAGGTCGACCTGGCCCAGTTTGTGGAGGGCAAGGTGGCGCACTACAAGAAGTTGCGGGGAGGCGTCAAGTTTGTGGAATCTGTCCCACGGAGTCCCTCAGGCAAGATCTTGCGCAAGGATGTGAGAGAGATGAGGAAGCGGGAGGAGGGCTCCAAGCTGTAGAGTATATGCGGAGCTCCGATGGGGTTCAAGGTCCTGCCTGGCGGGCGGTAACTGCATGACCTTGATCGCCCCACCCTTTGGGGAACACATCCTTACCCCCAGCCAGCCGGGCCCCTGGTCTCGCAATGCTCGATTGTGTTAGCGCTTACTCGTACATACTGCTCAAGAACGAGCACCTTCTTCGAATACGTTGAATTGAGTCTCAACCTGCACCTCTCAAAGTTCGACGCCTGCATTCTCAACGTGAACCTCATACGCGACGAAAGCCAGCCCTGACCTGGGACTGGACACTCTATTCCTCATCAAAGAACATCAACTTGGCCCATCCATCCGCCAACCACTCATCTCCTCGCAATGGAGGGTACAGCTAAACTCGCGACGATACCCGCAAGCGAGACCAGTGGTCCGCCACAGGTGATATCCGTCGGACTATGGCGTATGGGCACAGCGTCCATGGCCGCCGCCTATGACACCATTGGCCTTCGTCCGCACCATTCACTCGACATGTTCGACACGCCAGAGCAATGGGCGCTCTTTGAGAAGGCGGCCGATGCCACATGGCCTCAGGAAACCGGCAGCAGCGACGAGGCAGCTCTGTTCACACGCGCGCAGTGGGACGACATCTACGGCCAGTACGGGGCGGTCACGGAGATTGGCGCTGCTTTCGCAAAGCAGCTCGTCGAGGCCTACCCAGAGGCCAAAGTCGTCGTGGTGCGGCGCGACTTTGACAAGTGGTGGCCAAGCTTCCGCGACGGCGTCGCGGCGCCCGTCTTTTCGCTCCAGGGAACATTCCTCCTGTACTGCGTGCTGCCTGTCATTGGCAACCGTGGGTTGGCGGCGATGCGCAAAGTCCTAGGTGGTTTCTTTGGCGCGAGCAGTCTGGCTGGCATTGAGAAGAGTGCCAAGGAAACCTATGATGCGTATTTTGAGAGCATGAAGACGTTGGTGCCGCCCGAGAGGCTGCTGGAGTACCGTCTGGGGCAGGGATGGGAGCCGCTGTGCTCGTTCTTGGGCAAGGACATTCCCGACGTCGAGTTTCCGTTCATCAATGAGGCCGATGCCCTGAAAGAAAGGCAGCAGCGGGAAGTCCAAGAAGTGAACGCGAAGGCTTTGGCCAAGATACGGTCGTGGGTGCCGTGGTGAGTGGTGACGTGTCGTAGAATCTTGGGATTGCGTGTCAGTGAATTTAGATCTTTCTGGCGGGACCAGACAGCAGCGAATTTGGGCCTCACCTACCCGAAAACGTCTCATTCCAATTATGAATGTGCGAAAACACCATAAATGATCCCAGACGGTAATGTGGGTGTGTCCCAATCTTTTCCCCTGAGATAAATTGGACACTCACGTGACGGTTGGCGACACGAGTCTCACCTCATCCGATGGGACATTTGTCAATTGAACAACATTCCGAGTTCACCCATCGCTCGTCTTTTGTATACCCATTACATTTCAACTCATCGTGTTGGCACCATCCCCACAATGCCCTCGCCCATTGTCACCGCGACCTGCCAGGCCGCCGGGCTTTCGACTGTCTCGAACCTGCTCGCCCAGATCATCGAGGCCCGCCAAGAGAGTCGCCCGTTCGTCTTTGATTTCACACAGCTCCTTCGCTTCGTGGCACTGACGCTCATCACCGCGCCACCCAATTTCGTCTGGCAGCAGCTGCTCGAGAAGACGTTTCCGGCGTATCTGCCCGCGACACCCGCGCAGCAGCGCAAGGATGACATTGAGATGAAAGCTGGCGTCGGCGAGGGCATCCTTGACGGCGACCCGGGCGCGCAGCGAGGCCAGGAAAGGTCGGAACGGTTCAGCCTGCGAAACACCCTCACAAAGTGGTTTGTGGACTGCATGACCATGGGTGCCATCATGAACACCATTGCTTTCTTGGTCATCATGGGTATTATGAAGGGGCAGGGCGGCGCGCAGATCATGTCGAACATTAAAACGGTTCGTATACGCTGTCTGTGCGTGTTTGCAGCGGAAGCTAATAATGACCCTCCAGGAAACCATTCCCATCATCGTAGCTGGGTACAAGATCTGGCCAATTGCGTCGATCATCAGCTTCTCTTTCATTCCCGTCCACAGACGCATCGTTTTCTTGAGTTTTGTTGGCTTGTTGTGGGGAATCTACATGAGCCTGGTGGCCTCCAAAGTTTGAGTATTGCCTCATTGCAGAATCCTTGACCGTGTGGTGGTGTGTTGCTGGCGACAGGACTGAAGTGCGCAGAATCCAAATAAATGTACAAATAGAGCCAATCCGACCGGAAACCCATCAGGCTATAGTAATCTCGAAATATGTACAACGCCACTTACATCGCAGTCGAAACAAAAAACCCATCCACCCTCGGATACAACCCACAAACCACGTACAACGCACTCTAAAGCCTAACGCCGCTGGTAGGTACGCAACTTGCCGTACGGATCATTGTATGGCTCTGATTCGGAGGTAATCACCCAGTAGGTGCCCTTTGAGTTGTTCCCAATGTCCACTCCCGTGGGACCGTGGACATCTTCCATCTCCTCCCGGGTCTTGCTCTTCGGTTTCCCTTCCTTGAGTCGTTTCTTCTCAAATAAAACGTACGCTGCGTAAAAGGCAATGGTAGTGTTTCTACCCATGACACCCTTCCCGCCGAGGAATGTGCGCAGGTTCTGTGCCGACACCTATTTCCCACAGTCCGCCGGCAAAGCGGAGGTGAGAGCTCGTGCAATGGCGGCTTGCGAGATGCCCTTGCATTGCAGGCCACGGATCCTCTTTCTCGCTTCTTTGGGCATGTCGAACACGGGCTCGGACATGTCCTTCTCCCCGGGCAAGATGACGGCGCTCACATCCAGCAGCTCTTGCTCCTTCGCCTTGGGGGACTTGGCGTCCGTCCCTGTCTTTGCCTTCTTTGCAGACTTGGGCAGCGTTATGGACAAACCCTGCAGTTCACGCTTGCGGAAGAACCGGGCCGCGGCACAATCCGCGTCGCAGCCCTCTCCATTCCATATGCTGGTGCGGTTCACAAAGTTGCTGTAACTGCTGGCTGACGCCAATGGCCAGCTGGAACTCGCCCACTTCCATGGCACCTGCTTCGAGCCAGTTCCTGATCTTCAGCCGGGCCTGTTGGCAAGAGCACCCCTTGGGTTCAAGATACTGGAGACGGTCGTCATCCTCATCGACGTCCAGCGCATTGTCAAGGAAGAGCAGGGCCTTGACATCGGTCTCGTTGTTGGCGTCAAACTTGCGCTTCTCGGGGTTGGCCATGGACTTGGCGGTAGAGGTGACCTTGCTCTCCTTGTTCTCCTGGTCCATCCGGGCAGCTATGGCTGGCAGTTCCTGGGGATTATGGGTGAAGATGGATCCGGGTGGGAGCGCGGCTCCAGAATTGGGATATCGCAAAGGCTCAAGGCCTTGTCGGGCACCGTGACCATGATGAGTCAAGAGGGGGTAACGTAAGATTCGGTATTGATGGATGACTTTGGAGACAAAGTCAAGAAACAGTTCCTTTAGAATTAGGTAGTGATTCATCCTCCGGGTTTCCATATTTAGTGCGAGTTCTAACTTCACAGCATCCTCCATGCTCTCTATGACGGCAAGACTCCCTGGCTTCCATCAGGCACCGGAGCCGAAAGACTGTACAAACTGCCGGACGATATTACAGCCAATGCTACACCACTAGGGCTGGACCCCGTCTTTAGATTCCGACACAAACGATTTACTGCTTGTGATCTCTCGAGCCGTGTCCCCGGTCCTCTGCTAACTTCTGCCTTTCACGTTCCACGCAGGCATCCATGAACTTTATAGGAAGCTCGTGGAGTCGCTTGTCCTTTGGCTTCAAAACCTCGGATGCTTTCTTCAAGTATGCGCCACGAAACGTGGACCATAGTTCGCGGTCTAAATCCTGCTCAGCCAGAGGCAGCGGGTAATACGGGTCATTCTCAAAGAATGCAAAGACCAAGTGATCAACCAGCATCTCGGGATTCTCCCAGCCGGCTTTCTCCTCCCAGCAATTACATAAGTTGAAGTCCAGTACCCACAGACGAATAGTGCGTTGATAGGAATCGAAATTAACTTGGTCGATAGTCTCGCATGTCTCCAAATCAGTAGAATCCTCTGGCCCTTGCGGCATCGTGAAAGGCGGCTTCTCTTTTAGGGTGAGTGGCTCGCTGCCAAGAACGAACTCAATGTCGAAGCCGTCGACGTTTGATTCCCAGTGAATGACTGCTAGAGCTTCAGCGATCGCTTCAGCGTACTTACTGACTGGAGCGCCGACCGTGATCATTTGGTTAAGATGCATGTTGAAGTTTCGCAGCGTAAAATTAGCCGAAGGCTTACTGCCCGATCGTCGTCCAAGGTAAACGCGGGCCAAACAGTCTCGATTCGAATCATTCCGCGCAACAGCCTCGCGCTGATCCACCGGGCAGAACTGCTCGATTAGGGCGGAACGAGCGACCTTGGGTAGGGCGAGAATTCGTTCCGAGAGGAGAGCGCGGCATGGTAAGGGGAAGTCTGCAGCGCACAAGCTATTAGAGACCGGCGGCCAGCAAAGCATCCCACCACAGATAATGAAGGGAACCTCATTGTCGCGTCGATATTGAACATACCCGTGTGATCCGAAGGCGGAAACAAGTAACCGTAGATGTCCCACCAGGTGGCCCCTTTCGGAATCCAGGCGTAGAGATGCGGCACACAGACACCTAGACCTAGGTTCTGTTCAAATGCTGTTTGAACTCGGTCATGAGCAATACAATCTGCCCACAGACCGTCCGAGTATCCAGGCTTGCAGATTTTCACAGCATAGCACCGACCAGGACGTTCGAAAATGAGGCCACATTGTCCAAAGCCAATCTTCCGAAAACCGATAGTTGAATCGTGAAGAGCATCCTGGTGGTCTTTGGCAAAAGAAGAAACTGTCGCAATGGTGCTTGTGGTTGATCGCACAGACAGAAGACGTCTGAGGGTCAGGCCGAGGGGATTGTCATCATCCGCAAAACCTTGGGATCTGAGCACAGCATCCCGTTCAACATCAAGAAGCCTGGAGAGAGTATTGGTTCGCTCAATATCGGCAATGAGGCCCTCGGAGGTTGCACTATCTTCTGTGCTCCTTTGGATGTAACGTCGATTGGCCATGTTTCGTGTTTGCAAATGATGGCTTGGGAAGGTATTGTGTGGAGGAAAAAGAGTGTTGAGCCGGACAGCTGGTTCCCGTAGACTTATAAACTAAAGTGAAACACAACAACCTTGATATCTAAACCTTGTGTTATCTAATTTTGAACTTACGATGGCTTTCCTTTTACTATACGGCGCCGCGCGAATACTAAGGTACGCTTAGATGGAACAAAAGTACGTAGGTAACCATGAAATGGCATCCCGAGAGGGCGATATGTAAGAAGCCTATTTAACATGAATGCAGCATATCGCCAAATACATGTATTACGGCCACTCGTAGGAAACTATTGGCGCAAAGGCTCAAATTCTTTCGCGTGTCACGGTGCGCATGAAGATGTGACATCGACAGGGCCTCTTCTTCGAGCTCTATACCAGTGAAGGATTGATCCGTGTTTCTTCCATCTTTGTCTAAGCCAAAATGGATTTGCCAGCTCGTAGAGAGACTGATATTTGTCTACAGTTATGGGCATGTATGTTCCTTGTTGACTGTTCTGGGGCTCGCGGGCTTGATGACCCAGGGTCTGCTTAAAATAGACAGCCCAGGAGGCTTGTCAGGGGAGACGCCGAGACTAGGACCACAGATTCGGAGGAGTGAGGACTAGAGATTGACATCGGACCTCCCGTAGTAGATCCTAGATAAGCCAAGGAATGTAATGTGATATGTCTATGATCATGCGTTTGAGAAAGAAGTCATTGCTGGGCACAATACAATGAATAGGGTACGTAAGGGGGTGAAGAAGAGTTTGACTTAAAGATTCATGAACATGGACGATTTCATCAAAGTACAAAACAAACGCTGAGGGAGCGTTGGTGGAAGGTGCCGTAATTTGTAAATAATAGGGAACAGCTAAGCAGCACCGTCTCACGCCACTTTCATTGCGCGCGCGCGACTCCATGTCGCGCGTCCCGACTTCCGATTCCCATACCACCTTGCCTCACCTTGATCGAAAATGCCAATGTTTTCCTCCCAAAAGAACTCAAAAAAGTCTGATGAACGTGGCGACATCTCGGATGGGTAAATTTCATTCTAAACCCTGGCTGCTACGCAGAGACCATCGTGCCTCGTGGTGACACACGCCTCCCCGCTGGAATGCATCCGCGCGTTGACTACCATTCCTGTCCACCACCCAGCCTCACCTCCGATTCGTATTGACCACTCACGTCAGTACTTCAGACGGCAATGTCTCATGATCCTCAAATTCCCAGCCTTATGGCCACACTGTGGGTGCTATCCAGCCCTTGATATGCCATTCCTCGCCATGGCCGATGACCTGCCATCACGCTGTATTCCATGCCATGGCTGAGCAGCGCACATGGAGTACTCAGGATGTAGCGACATCGAAAAGGGAGGCTGGAGGGATGTATATAACCCTTGATAGATTCTATCCCTCATCGTTCGAATCATCAGCAACAATCAACCCAGCAAGAATACCCTCGACCCAAAGTCAACCCTTTAACGCTCGACAAAGTACGCAGCACCGACAAATATCGCCAACATGTCCCTCATCAGCATCTTCATCGGCCTCTGTCTGGCTACAGGCACTTCGGCGGAGAGCCCCACAACCAAGGTCTCGCCTACACCATCCTCTACTACAGTTGCTGCGGCGCCAACCGGTTTTGGCGGCTTCGCGCCGTGCCCTCCCGGCGTTCTTTGCCCCATCCTGCCCCGCGACCAAGTCCGTCGTCAAGCCGTCGTCACGGTCGTCGATGAAGATTGCGTCGAGGACCACATGTCGTCCGCACTGCCTATCGTCCCCGAATCCACACAGACAGTTACCGTCTGCCCGCCTGAAGGCTGCGGTCAAGAAACGACAGTCGCGCCCGCGGAGGCCAGCCCCCAGCCTGCGCAACAGCGCGTTGGTTTGTGCCCTCCGGAAGAGTGCCCCGAGTGCTCTCCCGACGTCTGCCAGCCCTGCACTGCGTCTGGCGATTGCCCTTCCTGTGATGGCGGAGCGGAAGCCGGCTGCCTCCCCATCTGCCCAGACTACTGCCCTCCAGCCCCGGAGGCTCCTCAGACGACCGCATTCTCTACTCCCCTGCCAGTGGTGCCGACACCTACATTTATGCCCACCTTCACGACCAGTGCATTTATCCCCGAACCCGTGGAGACTGAGACCGAGCCTGCCAGCGACGTTGGCTTCGAGCAGGGCGTTGCCAGTGCCATTCCCTCTGCTGCTGCCGACAGGCGAGCACACCCCGCCCCTGGGGTCTACATGGGCATGGCGGCTGTCTTTGTCGCCATCAACTGTATGTAAATGGTGAGAAAGTGAACGGACGGGGGGGACGATGCATTATGATGTGAGCAACGGTTTTGAAATTGGCGTTTGGTGGTGTTGGGCATTGGTATAATATGGCTGGGTGGGACCTGGTCACTGAGGATATGGTTAAGATATGCTTTTTTACTAGACTAGGATACGAATATGCATACAAATAGTGTTAGCTTCCACGTGGAGGGTCCGTCAATGGGACATATCGTACACCGAACAGCCGCTGTCTCGTGATTTCGCCCTTGGCATCCTTCTCAATGCGCCAAACACTCTGGTCGATGCCATGCTCATCATCCACGGGGATAAACATGCTGCGCTCGTCAGCCGAAAGTCTTGAAGCCTGATGGCATAAATAGCAAGAGAAGAGGACTTACCATCCCGGTGCTTTCAACTGCTCCAGTAACTCCTCATGCAGGATCCTCGCCGAGGCACCGACGTGTATAACATCCCAATCGCTCTTCCCATCCTCCACCCACCCCTTTCGGCCATCGCCATGCCGAAACTTGATCCTCCCTGCCTCGAGAAGCTGTCGGCCCCTGGCACTCTTCTGGGCATTGCGCTCGCCGAGATCCCTCAGCTCTCGGATATGCTCAAGACCGACTACAGTGCCCTTGTCGCCTACCATCTCCGCCAGAATGTGCGTCAAGTATCCCGACCCGCTCCCGATATCAAGAACCCTTCTCTCTTTATCGGGACTCAAGTACGCCAGACAATACTCAATCGCGGACGCATGCATATGCGGGGCCGAGATTGTGGCCGAGTGACCGATGGACTGAGGACAGTCTTTGTACGGGTTGTGCGGTGCGTAGTCGGCACGGTCAACCTTGAGGAAAGCATCCTTGACAATGGGCGATTTAATCAAGCCAGCCTCATAGAGGTTGTCGACCAGTGCCCGGTTCGAGTCACCTGAGCAACGCCAAGCCATGTTCAGAGGACGACGCAGTACGTGTGACAATCTTGTGAGTGGGCGATACAGCAGCGGTCTCATAGATCTGATACCGCGTGGGCCTCGCGAAGTTGCGATAAACGGCAAGCTTGATGCTGTGCACGTAGAGCGCGACTGATTATCACTCAAATTCGAATCTCGCTGCTCACTTTTTGACAGTCGAATAACTATTTTCGCTTGGCGAGGGCGGAATCTGACGATGGAGGAGTGGCAATACCAGTCGCAGAGGTTGATCGCATGGTGTTGTATGTATGAGCTCATGCGGGGCTTCACTGAGTTACGATCATCTGACAATCTACCTTACTTCCATACCGCACAGCACAGTGGCCAAGCACAAGCCTGATACACTCCAAGGAGCAATTCTACATTATGAAAGAATCAGCATTTCTGGAACCGTACTTATGAAAGAAAAGGCGCTAGCCGTGTAGTATACGTAACCCATTTATCCAACCCAAACGCCACCTCTACTCCCTTTGCTACCATGATGCCGGAAAAGAAGAAAACGATGAAAAGAAAACAAGGACTCTTAGACAACTCTGTCGGGCGTCTCGTCCTGCGCAATTACCGGCACACCCAGACCGCGATCATGTGTCTGGAGCACCAGCTGCTCGTGCCGCCTCGCTTTGAGATATTCCACAGTGCTCTTGATCAAAATGAACCAACCCACGATCATCAGAACATATGCGAGCCAATCACCGCCCGAGAAATCCAGAGTGTCGCCGCCGTCAGTGACCTCGTGCTCGTCGAAGTCGTGCGAGTTGGGATCTGGTGGCGCGGCGTAGCCATCCTGGCCACCCATGTTGGATGGGGCATCACCGACCGGGTCAGCCTTCATGTAGAATCCATACTGAATCAGCGTGATGCCGAGGCCGGCGCGGGAGCCATTCTTGGCAGCGTGGGTCGAATGGAGCAGGTACGTGAGCAGGAAGCCGACGAGTTGGAAGGAGGTTGAGATCATGCCATTCCAGATGAATGAGAATACAGAGCCCACAGGAAGCCCATCGACGTAAACCTCATCGGCACCACCCATGCCGGGCGCGAAAATGGTCGTTTCCCAATATGGTGGCACTGCGTCGGCAGCAGCTTGCTCATAGGTCTAGTAACTGTGTTAGCCGCCATGCTACGCCGCAATCAGATGATAACATACGGGTGGTTGCTCTTCCTTCTCCGCATCCTGCCTCTCGGGCCTGGCAGACATGTTTGCAAATACACCATCGGTCGCGCCTCCACCGCCCATGACCCTCGCAGTGCGCTGCACGCTATCGGCATTTGGGTTCGCAAAGTGGTGACTTGGTTGTGCAACAGCGGGCGACGAGGCTCCGGCATCATTGGGCATAGAATTCTGCCTTACTAACCGCTGTCTGTCATCGAACTCATCGTCGGTGTTGTCATCGTCGTCATCGAAAGCGTCGGCAAGGGTAGAGTCGACCTGTTGATGCCGTCGACTGTTGGGTGATGACGAGCGGGAGTGGAACGAAGGTGGTGGCGAGGACGGGGTCGGTTGAGAAAGGCCATGGTCCTCTTCGTCGTGAGCGTTGACCTGGAGTTATCAGCGTCTGTCCAGGGCAGCCCAGTCGAGGTGACTTACCCGCTCGTAGCCCCCAGCCATGATGCTGGTGTTGATCACGAGATTCGAGGGAACGGCGACTGGGAAGGGGGTAAGACAATCAATCAGTCGGAAGGCCGCCGCTCGTTTTGTAACTTCTGTCGCTTCGGAGCAAGGATCAAAATGAAAAGAAGGATCGCGCAAATGGGGGTATCAGGATGGTCAAGGAGTGTCGATAGATGGGATTCGAAGAAGTGGCCAGAGGTAAATGGAAAACTATCAATCACCAGAACGCCGTGATGAGGGACGTACGTACGCAGCAGACAGATCCACGGCACCCGATGACAGCGGAGCCAGGTCAGCCGTCGTGGCGCTGGCCCAGATGCAACTGTGGCGCAGAAGCCGTTGGAAGCAAAGTCGCTGCCTGAGGTGCCCCAGCCTAAATCGAATCAGGCCTGGAATCCGCAAAGTCCCTGCATGACTAAGTAGACTTCGGTTATGCATTACTCCGGTGCCGGCGGCTGTCGGCTCTTCGCGAAGGACCACGCGCGCGCGCGTGATGGAACGAACAGTGGGCTCTTTTTTTTGCGGGAGAGCTTGTCGTTGACGTCGTGATGTTGGCGCTGGAAGTATTTGGCCACGCCCATCTACAACCTATTTTTGGACGATAACACAAATCACAGTCATGGCGCGACCAATCTCAGTATGCCTCTTTATTTGCTCATTGATGAAACTAAGCTAACGTGACAGTATCGCATTGCCACTGAGGCACTCTCGAAATTCCCCAAGCAGGAGCTGCGCCCTGATTACCAAATCCAAGATGTCCTCAAGAAGACCCTTGACGCACGATTCGCCAATTACAAGCCTTCCATGGAGGCCGAAGAGATATTCAGAGCAAGATCATTACAGATGCTCCAGGAGAACAGGTTCATGGATAGGGTACGTACGCCCCGTCCTTCCCACGTCCAGGTAGCGGCTAACCACGCGCGTGCAGTATAAGTTGAGCGGAAAAATGCTCGAGCCGAATAGCCAACCGACTTATTTTGCGGATCTCGTGCGCGAGATCGAAGAGGCGCCGAAACGAACGTGGTTTGAACGGTTAGGGAAGAAGCTTTCGGGAATGGTCCGGTTACAATAATGAAGATACCCTTATATATGCCATGTATAACACCAACAATGTCTATTAAATCCCCAACGCCAATTTCTTTTTTGTTCGATGCTACCACAGTGCGCTGTGACGCACCGTTTTGTATGCATGAACAGAATGAACACCAGGATGTATATACAAGGAAGATCTCACTCAGCCCTCCCCTTTTTACAAGTTCATCTCCATGCTATGCTTGTACCAATACTCGCACCTCTCCCGCAGGCCGTTGTCAACATCCTCCATATTAGTCTTCCCACCCGTATTTATGACAACTCTCGCTTGGTTGTCCTTACCCCAGGACGTCCACTCCACGGCCCCTTCTTGCCGGAACGTGTTCGGGTCCAGGGTCCTCATGAAACTCGTCCAGTAGCGCTGTATCACAGGCGTGGCGGGACGGTTCTTTTGGCCAATGGTGTAGCTCTCCGGCTCCTCGTCTGTGTACTCAGCGCCAATCAGCGCTTCCAGCTCCGACGTGTGAGGCACGCCCAGCCCCTGGGCGATCTGTGCCGGGTCCTCCACGTTCCAGCGGTAGGCCCATGACTTGGAAAATGGTGCGTAGGCGGAGTTGGCGTACAGCGCTGGGCACATGTAGCGGATCTCTTGGTACGTGTTGCTGGTCTGGCGCCAGAAGCAGCCCTGGTTCGGGCAGGTCTTGTTCGGGTTGGGGTAGAGATCGTTGATCTCGCCGAACATCTCGGGGGAGATAGTAGGGTACGCGTCGAGAATGAACTGGTTACTCTCCGCCTGAGTGGAGGCATTCTTGGGAGTGAAGACAGTGCCGCCGTTGGTGTCGTCGCCAAAAATTGTCGGTACCTTGATAAATTTTCCCTCCGTGAGGGACTGATAGGTATAGTCATTGATGAAGTCGTAGTCCAGGACCGGCAGCCACTGATACGCAGGTGGCTTCGAACCTCCTGGTAGGGGGATGTTGAAGTTTTCCTCCTGGATCTCAAGGGCTGTCTTGTTTCTCAAGCACTCGAGACTGTCCTTGCCGGTGCAGCCAAGTCGAGTGGCAAGGTTGTTGTACTGGTACTGCGACTCCTTGACAGTGAGCAGTCCGGCCATCGAGGCCGACTCAGAGATGGCCCCATGGAAGAGCCCGTTATCAGACCCGTTGTTGGCCGTCAGGTGGAAGATGACGCTTGCAGCGCCTGCGCTGGTGCCTCCCACAACGACGTGGTTGGGATTGCCTCCGAACTTGGAGATGTGGGTTTGCACCCATTCCAGTGCTTTGACCTGATCGCGGAGTCCGTTGTTCGGGGTCACTTGATCTTTGTTTGTGAGAAATCCATACGGACCGACGCGGTAGTTGATCGTTACCACCACAAGGTCCCGGTCTGCAGCGTCAATGATGCCTGTCCCATTGATGTTTGGGTTGGAGTTGGAGTTGAAGCCGCCGCCTTGGATGTACAAGAAGACGGGAAGATTCGAGGAGCAAGTGGCGTTGGTGGGCGCCATGACATTCATGAACAAGCAATCTTCCGAAGTCGTGTTCAGAGTTGGTAATTTATTTGTTCCAAGGCAGGAGAGCCCGACCTTGTCTTATTAGAAATACGAATCTTTCTTCATGGGAGGCGTAAGCGAACCTTGTCAGCTGGCTGTATCTCGTCGTGGACTTCAGGATCTTGAGGAGGCATGAATCTGAGGTCGCCGACAGGTGCTGCTGCATATCGCATGCCGAGCCATTGTGACAGACCGTTTTTTAATTTTTGGCCTCTGTATGATGCATAGCCAACATCAACCACGTCGCCAACAGCGAGTGACGATGAAGCCCACAAAGCCACGCCCAACAGCGCGTGCATCAATCTAGACATGGCACAGATCGAAAGCCAAAGAGGATATAGAACAACAAATGGGGTTTGGATAGTCCAGAGAGAATCAGGTCGGAGAAAGACAAGGGTGACGAAAGCCTGTGCTTTATACGAGACCGCAGTCCGAAAAGTATCAGTCAGTCTCGCCTATTGTACGTCCAGCGCGGGGACGGACGACGGCATCGATCTGCCGAACTGGGTGGAGCCACTGGGCTGGAAATATGTATGATCTTACCTTCTTTCAGCAGATAGAGAAGCTAATGTTAGTTGATGCCCACAGTATGGGCGCCAGAAGGCGCTGTCTCTGCGAAATTATGCACAGCGTGCTGATCCGCGTGTTGGTCTGAGTCGACCACACGGGACCCTATGGTGCTCACAACGGGAGGCTCCTCGATCTGGAATGCTTCGAAAACTTTAGCTCTCGGGACTTGGAAATGTCGCACCGGCACGTGGCGAGCTGAGTACATGTAGGCCGAAGTTTGAACCTCTGGCGCGCAAGGCACTGGTGACCGGATCCGGCGTACGGGAGTGGACGTCCTAATAATTTGGGACTCTCGAAATCGAATGCTCTCCGAGAGGAGCTGTTTGATAACACCAAGAGCCAAATCTCGCCCAGACAACCGCTCGACTGCATCACGAGCACTGTTTGACTCGTATGCCGCACGAGACAAGAGAAGCTGCGTGTCTCACCCAAACCGCTTCAATCACGATGTGACAACACCAGCAGCAGCAGGCTGTATGATTGTTGGCCGATGTTCCTTGATCACACTCGGAACTCGCCCGCGTCTTCTGGCCGACTGACGTCCGAATATCCTCCACACCTCCACGTATTCTCCTCCTCTCCAATATTGCCCTGCGTCGGTATGTAAGCGATGATGACTGAACACTACCGCTCCCGCTCTCGCTTCAAAAGAAGCTGGTGTTGTTCCGTGGGGCGAAATCGCCCGCTTCTGTTCCAACTAGGATCCTTCGACACCTCAATGGGGTCATCATCGTTGTCGATCGCCAAAAACGCGGATAGTTCGGAGCCTTCACATCCACACATGTCCTGGCGTTCCCGTGATTTACAACTCACCCCCAGTCACGACCACGGCAGGTGCAGCAGGTGCCGAAAAGGGGCTGCCGTGTCAACGGCATTGTCTTAAGCTCTACGAGACACGCAGTCCAAGGAAAAGCAAGACTTGATATGCAAAACGCCAGCTACCATGCAAGTATGCAGTCGTAGAACGTGAAAATAGTCAACCATCACAAACCCCCCTTTTCCCACCTCTCCCGTATGGTATGCTTCCAATCCTGATAGCTCATCACCTCCGCATCTTTGAGAACTTGTCCCGTATGGAGCACTCGTTGCAGAGGCGGCACCTCCATCCACTCGTGGTCTGGCTGGCATAGACTCGTCTTATCGGTCCCGGGCTGTATCTTCTTGTGCAGGCATCTCCCACAGAACGCATCGAGGCAAAAGTGGCAGATGAAAAACTCGGCGTTCGATGGCACAATCTCCAAGCAGTTTGCGCAGGATCGGCTGGACGATTGGATATCGGGCAGCTTGGGCTCGAGGCGGGTATGTACAGGCGAGTCACCGGGTGTGCTGAGCGAGGCCTCTGGGTTAAGACGTCGCATCGACACCGCCAGGGCGAGGGCGTTGCCGTCATCTCCCGCTGCGACAAACAGCTTCAGCAGGTTCTCCAGCGCGAACTGATCATTCTGCAGATCCTCGTCCTCCAGTATCTCGCAGGATTCGAGGATAAGAGCCGACAACAATTTTTCTGCGTCCCTTTTCCGCCCTCGGAGGCGGTAGAAGAGCGCTAGATAGATGGCTGCGGCGTTGACGTCGGAGCCGAGCATGCTCGCTGGCAGATCCTGGTTCCGATGAGCGCTTTGCTTGGCCTGCACATACTCGAGCTTCTGGATCCAGCGATCGGCGCCAGACGACGTGATGCCCGCCCGCAACGCCATGCCCTTGTACAGCGACGCTAGCTTCTGAAAGGAAAGCGCGTGGGCTGATCTTGTAGGTACATTGCCTCTTGGTCGATACTCCACCAGGGAGATCTGCTCAAAGACCTCAATGGCCTCGTCAAAGTCTCGGCTGTAGACGAGCGCTGTGCCCATGGCGAGACGAAGATAGAGCTCCTTGAGTGTATCACGCCTGTCGTGCGCCACGTCGACGCTCATCTCGAGCCTCTCCACCAGGAAGTCTGTCTTGCCCGTTGTACAAGCTGCCTTGGGCAGCCATTCGAGGACTATGGGTTTGCTGTGTTTTGCACACAAAAAGTCCACAAGACGACTCTGCTCCCTGGTGCGGCTGGATGGTTGGAGGGCCATGTCTTCCATGACCTTTATCATTTCTTCGTGCTTGTTCTCGGCTGCGAGAACGTCCAGGAAACTAGTCACCGCTTCGAATCGCTCGTGATAGTCGAGCGCTGCATTCTCAGCGCTGTCAAGGGCTTCGTGGAAGTACCGAATGGCAAGGTCTACTTCCCTTGCCCGGTAGTAGCATTGCGCAATGAGGAAATGATCTTTGTATAACCGCCACTGGCTTGCTCCTCGCTGTGGTAGAGTGGGCTTCCCATTCTCGAGGATTTCCTTTTCCTTGGCCTCGCATTTCAGCGCCAGGTGCAGAGCTTCACCATACCGCTCATCGACGGAGAGGCAGAACGCTTTCCGCCCCAGGGTCTCGACGCTGTCTGGCTCAAGCTTCAGCGCGCTGTTGTAATGCTGGAGGGCTTCCTCGTTCATGCCGCTTGTGAGAAAGGTACTGCCCACACGACGGTACCAATGGGCCGTCTTCTCGCAGGCGGCCCATTCCGTCGCTTTGTCAATACGCGTCACGACGGGGATGGCCGACCAGTGACACTGTGAGTCAGACCACTTGTGACCCTCTTCCATGTAGGCGATGCTCTGGACGATTTTGAAGCAGAAGCGAGTGGGCACGTACTGCTTGAAGCTCGGGTCGAGCCACGCTCTAGCGTAGAATCTGCCGATCTGCTGGAAGAGACCTGTGGGCTTCTGTACGGACCCTTTAGCCCATTGTTGGGCTTCTGGGCCCAGACCGGACAGGACATCTGGATCACTCATCCAGGCCTTGAGGGCAGAAATGTTGCTGTCCGTCAAAACTTCCAGACCCTCGTCATTTTGCTCGTACAAAACACTCCAGTCGTAGATGATGTCGTCTTGGGTCAGCATCCGGTAGATTTGCGGCCCAAGCTTACGCTTCTCCTCCACACTGACCGCGGAGGGTGAGAGGGCGGCAAGGTGCTCTTGCCAATACCAAGCAGCATACTGTCTCAAGGCGTACCTTTTTACGCCTAATTTATGCTTGTCGAACCATTTTTTGTCGTTGAAGATGCGCAGGCACGTCTCGAGGACATGCAGACGTGCCTTGCTGATGTCGAATCCTATATCCGGTCCTTTTACGCCCCTTGTGGCGGATAAGGTATCCTCGTCGCGGAAGAAGTCCCTGACGGAGGCATGAAAAAAGGTGACCATGGTTGTCGATTTCTTTGACCGAAACTCCATCTCTTGCCCCGCGTCGAGTAGCTCAGGCCTTCGCGCGGGACTGCGAGAGAGACTGTACCTTCTACTCGGGCTCGTCTCGATCAGAGCCACGGGACTTGTCCGCCTCCGGTTGTAGGCGATGCGTCTCGCAGGGCTGACGGCTCTTTGCGGAGACTCCTTCTTGCCCGTCGAGCTTGATCTCCGAAAACGGCCCGTGGGCGATTCCTGTTGACCTTTTTGCGCGCGCTCGTGGCTCTTGACAAGGTCGTCGGTGGTGAGGCCATCTTCACGCTCGAGCTCGAAGAAGCAGGCGTACTGCCCGCGGAGTGTGTCCTCGAACCGGAAAGGGGGGTCCTCGAATTCAAGTATCAAGATTGCTTCGAGCTGTTCGAGTGTGAGGGTCTGCTCGGCGCAGGTTACCCACCGAAGCATCTCGTTGAGATCTGTCGCCTCTTCCTCAGTGATTGTCGCGGACAGGTTAGCAAGGGTCGTGCTCAGTACGCCATTGATCTCGCGGGGGAATGACTCGAGCGACTTGAGAATCGTGGTCGGCCTGCGCTTGCGGTTCATGTCCGCCAGCATAAATTTGGCCAGGATGAAGAGACCATCCACGCGTTTGGCCATGGCCCGGATGACCTGATTCTTGAAATCCAAGGTGCTTCTGTTCAGGAGCCTCGATGTGAACACCTCCGCCTCGATATATGTAAGTACATCGTTTGCGTTACGATCTGGCGTGACATGAACAATGGTGAGCTTGTGCTGCACCGAAGGCGGGTCCAGGTAGGAGGTGACAAGCTCAGTCAAGTAGGACCTGCCCACGAGGGCGATTTGAACTCTGGAATGCTGTGCTGGTGGTTTCAGGGTGTCCTCCTGAGGCTCGAGTTGCCGTAGCAGTTCCTCCAACTCATCTGGTTCCGCTTCGTCAATGCCGTCGAGAAAGACATGGAACAACCGTCCACGAGTATCCTCCTCCAACGGCTGCACGAAGAGTCGCCGGAAAGCGCTGGGAATGGTCTTGATGTCATCGCTGCTGTGGACTGTTCGAGCGATATGCTTGCCATACAAAGCATCACTCTCGCTGAGCTGATATGCAACGTCGCGCAGGGCTTGTAAAACAGATCTCGTCTCTGGGTTGTTGGCGCGGAAGTAAAAGTACGCCAGGTGCGAGAGCTTGTCGGTGCCCCACGAGATCAAGCGACTGGCCAAGAATGACTTTCCTGTGCCTGGGCCGCCTGACATCCACAGGTAATGCGTCTCGCTGCGCATCCACGCCTTCAGACCCGAGTCCTCCAACAGCCAGTTGCCCGTACCTGGTACTCGATTCCGCTCGAAGGCTGTGTTGAAGTCCTCGGGAAAGGGAGACGGTTCGAGGATTTCCCTCAGTCGATCTTGATGCGCGACAGTCGCTCTCTCCTTGTACTCTGTTCTCATTTCTTGAATGTTCTCACTCATCTGCGAGACCATGTGCTCCACGCGATCCGTCTTGGTGTCGATCCGCGAGACCCCACCGTACGTGTCGGCCAGCACCTGCCTCTCCTCGCCGAGAGTGAGGCTCTGTAGGTCGGCGAGCGCTTCTTGCACGGGGCTGTCGGCGCCAAACAGGTTGCGGAAGTAGGACTTGACCCTGCCGCGGCGGACCTCCTTGGTGGCGAGCACGAGGACCTGGAAGAGGGCACTGAAGATGTGGACCACCTTTTCGCGCAGAGCCGTCGACATTTTGTGCTGCAGGTACACGTTGAAGCGGGCGGTGAAGTCCTTGAGCTGGCCGAACAGTTGGACAATGGAGTCGTATGTCGAGGACACATTGTTCGCCGCGTTGACGAGAAACATGACGGCGGAGAAGATGCTCTGCGTTGGCGGGAAGATCTCGCCCGCCGCACCACTAACGACCTCTCCAACGATCTCGACGGGTTTGAGCATTGTGGTCAAGACACCGAAGAGGGACGCTCTCTTCGCCCGGAACGAAGAAAAGTGCTCGTTGGAGATATCGAGCTGCGTCTTGAGGTCGGACAAGGTGCGCATAGGCGGGCTCATGAAATCATCGAGGTTGTCTCCCGACGTCTCGCGGTAGAGTGCTCGAGCATCGGTGAGGACCGCCTGGAACTCGCTCGCTTCGTAGCCGGGTGGCTCTTCCTTCTCTGTTTTGGACCCCATCTTGAGGCTGTTTGGTAATACGAAGTAGGGCCAGATCCGATTGTACTAGATGCTGTGGGACACAGGGGTGCGAAAGATGTGTGTGCGCCGGGAGGCTGAGACACTTCTGAATATATATGCCTGACTCATAGGACTGAGTCCTGACGAGTCTTGCTACGTGTGTGTAGGAACAGCCTCCTGGTCTTGGCTCTCTTGGCCCAGTCGACGACCACGCCCAGTGGACGAGGCTGCGAGATGCTGGTCAGTCAAAAGTCACACACGCAGCTGACTGGATCTGTAGTGTTGGCGCTACGTATACACTTCGTTCACGGTTGGGCTGAGCGACGAGTATCGTGTACTTAGGACTGTCGAGTCCGCAGTCCGCACGTCTGGTACTTGTGCGGGACGAGGGGGACCCGACGCATCATCCGCGGGGCTCAGGTCGGGCAGAGCCAGGCAACAGGGGGGCTTGTGATCACCATCGCGCGCGCGCGTAGTGCTGATTGGGCGCATGACGCCAGTAGGGCTGCAGTTTGGTGCTGCTGTCGCGCTGCCGCAGTCGTTGTTGTGGAGTGGTGGACGGCCTTTTCTCCGTGTGCCGCTTCGACTTGGTGAATGGAATCGCAGCATCCAGTCAGCACACTAATAGCGGACGGTGATGACGGGCAAAGCTGTGGGGGATTTATCGAGATTCGAGGGGCGTGGTGGAGGTTGTCGTCGCTCCAGGTCCAGTTTTCAATGACAGATAACTGGATGGGATGCCTCATAGGCCACCTGGCCTGGGCGTTGGCGGTCCGTCCCAGGCTCCCAGCGGCCCAGCCCCGCCCGTCAGCCCACCTCCCGCGCGACTACCCTAGACACAATGTTCCCTACGTATATAGGTGACTTGAGAAACCAGGCTTCAATGGATCCCTTGGAAGAAATTGATAGTGTTTCGCGGACTATTTTTGGACGGTCTGTATAAAAGGCGTCTACCAAATACGGAAGTGTGGCATAAGGCATTACACACTGCGCAGTTCCGCGCTGCCAACATGTGCTCGGGTAGTGGGATACTCCCTAGTTATGCGTCCAAACTTCCCAACATGTCCATGTTTACATGCAATTCTACGAAAGGCCTCGAACGCCCCAGGCAGGATGCTAATTAGCTGTCTGCAATTCCCGACTCGTTCAGCCGCAGCCGGTTCCGAGTCGGAGGATGTGATTACTTTAATGAGAGATGTCTGCCTCGATTCCGGGCTTGTTACGCGACGAATTGCTGGTAGACTTTCATTCACTTGGTTCTAGATGCTGTCTGGTTGAGCACTATACATACACAGCCAGCGTTCCTAGTTCATCCCCGGAGATCCTCAATCGCAGTCATCATCATGGGCTGGGACCCTGCGACCATCGCAGGCGTCGCGGCGCTTGTCGTCGCCGTTGTTGCCATGATCATGGCCGTGGTCCAAGCTACCCAGCAGTACCTCATCACCGGCCAGCAGATCCGTCTCTGCGACAGTGTCGTGTACGGACCGATGCCGGGCCAAGGCCGTCGCGTCTGGCAGATGTCGCAGTTCCGCTTCCGTGTGCTGTACAGCATGCCACAGATCTCTCTTGATCCACGTCACTGGGGCTATGGCGGCGGTGTTATCCGGCGCTCACGTGCTATTGGGGAGCACTCTCTCCCGTACCTGGGTGCTTTGGGTGCTCTAACGGAAGCAGGTTCAGGGCATGCGCGTAACGGAATAAATCCACCTGGCCATCAAGCCCTCCGCAGACGACGACCTGGGCCCGAGGCGGGCGAAGTAGAGAGGCGCGTTGGGAAGGAGACCATCACCTCGACCATCCCTCCAGGAGAAGCTTCCTGGGTCTCGTTCTGCCGAGCTGTGGAACGTTCATGCGGCGACTCGATACGGGTGGACTACGTCGAGTGCGACGTCGATCGATGCCCAAAGCGACCTCGTCAGCGCCCCGATGCCCACTTCGATGAGAGACATTGTCATCATGGGCCTGAAAGCAGGCATGGTCGTCACGAGAGCGTCCTTTGAGGAAAAGTCCGTATCGATGCAGGGCCCAGCTGGGAGCTTGACCAGCGCGAGCCATCCTGTCCTGGGGCCCATGTTGCATTTGACCCCCACCAGCGTGTGCCCCCCGGTGTCGCAGGTATTCGGGGTGCGCAGGACAAGGCATCGCGGCACCGTCGACGACCCCTGGCTAAGAAGGATATGGGACGTCCCCAGTGTCGCGAAAAAATACTACCACTGGGCCCAGAGGCGCACAGCGCGCCGACTGGACGAAAGATGGATCAAGGATCACAAAGGCGTGACGGGCTGTGAGATTCACGTCACTTCGGTCCCGGAAACCAAAGACTATGCCAGCGGGCCGAATTTGGAGCGAAATACATCTCCCAACAATCGTGAGCGCAGAGGTCCAGCCAGGTCCGACCCCTACCAACTGGTGGAGCATAAGCCGGCGGATGGCGCTTGGGGCTTGACAATTGCGAAACCGCCGCGATCCAGGAAGCAGGAGAAATCACGGCGACGGGCTGGGACTGGAGCAATTCCCAAACCAAATGGAGAAGCGAACCAAAAGTACTCCGCTCGAGGTGACACACGTTCTAGGAATGTCCATGCGTCGTCATACAGGAGACCCCAGGTCGAGGATGCCGATGATGAGGGAGAATCTGCACCGCCAGTGGCTGAGAAGACAACCTCATCGCCACCCGCAGATCCCCAAAAAGATGCCGAATCACCAGTGCCGCCCCTGACACCCAGTTCCAAAGAGTCACCACCCCTCATGTATGAGGACGAGGAGGAGGTAGGGCATGAGCGTGATGGAGCGAGAGACCCGTTGGCGGAACGCAGGAAAATTGCAAAAGAGCGCCAAGCCGCAAGAGCCGTCAAGATGGACGCAATACAAAAGGACATGTCTCTTGTCCAACAGTCGGTCGAGCAGGGCGCGATGACTTCACCCTATGAAGAAGCAGCCGCCGAATGGAGAGGAGATCAGCCCCCAATGCTACTGACCTACTATCCACTCCACGGTTCCGCTGACACACCCGAAGCAGCTGGACAGGAGCCACCACCGGTCACGGAAGAGGCATACGAGGCTCGAGACAGGGAGAAGGGGAGAGAGGAGGCCAAATTAGCGAGGGCCGAGGCGCGGCACAAGAGGAACCTGTCTCGAACGCAGGCGATGAACTTGACCAGTGTCGATGTGTTCTGGTTAAGCCAGGTTGATGTCACCAGCGGGCAATGGGTGACACCCTGGCGCGACGCTGGGTGTCTGCCGCTGTCAGCAGCAGCTGCAGGGGGCATCACGATCATCCTCGAGGCGTTGCTGGGGTTCCTCGACGATGAGTCGCTCCTCTATACACGTTCGAGCATGGGAACGTACACATCCTTCCAAGAGACGGCTTGCTGGATGCTCGAGGGCAGGACGACATCGTTCCCAGCCTATGCTCTCAATGCGCGCGGCGGCGTCGTCGCCAAAGGTACGTACATTGGCGTCAATATCCCCGTGCTGGAGGGCGTCGTGCCCGCGCTGCAGCTCCTGCACTCGTACGAGTGGCAGGTCAGCACGACTCGGAACAACGAGGACTTTGTCGAGGAGTCCAACGTAGAGTTGATGCGGATCGATGCGTGGCTGTCGTACGTGGGGCGCACCGACCAGATCACCAACGGGCCCCGGAGACTGCTCAAGCAGACGCCGGCCCTGGTCGCCCTGCTTGTGGAGGAGCACGAGCTGGACTTTCAGAACATGGACCTGTCGGCCGAGGAGGGTGGGTGGCAGGACATTGCCGATGCGGCCGCGGATCTGATGGATACGCTGGTGGAGGAGCAGCTGAACGAAGCCGAGCAGCTCTATGTACTCGTGGCCATGCTGCGGACGCTGAAAGTGGTGCAGAGCGTGTGGGCGGGTTCCGACTCGCGCGATCTGCAAAGAATCCTGGAGCGAGATGTCCAGGTCCACCTGGTCTAGTCATACTCTGCAATACGTTGGTCTACGCTGGGAAACAAAAACTCCCATGCTATGCTGTCCTCATGATATCGGATCAGACAGGCGTTGTGTCCTTCCGAGAGGCTGCTGTGCCCAGCATGGCAGTTGATGCTTTGCGCGGACACGTCTGACGGCTTTCCTCATGAACAGGGCCTTGCGCAGGGTAGTGGTAGGAGGAGAGATCGTGGCCCACTCGTTATCAAATCACATGTTGCTCCCAGCGTATAATGACATGCAATCGAGTCAGAGTCAGGGCGTTTCCTCTGCTCGCCAAACGCGCTTGGTCTCGTCGCAGCGCTTGTGCCTCTTGCGACATGTCAGGCAGCCAGCAGGCCGCAGAGGAGGATGGAGATGATGCCCATTGTGATGCCGACTGGACAGCAGGCTACATGTGGGAGGGAGAGAGCACGACAGACGATGCCATGATCTGCTGGGCAACTTCTCCAACTTGTACTTGGGGGAGGTTGTCGTCACTTCTCCACAGCCTTTTCGCTCAGCTTGACTGACTGTCAGACTGAGTCGATTCGAATGGAGCCGCCCCTCTTACTCCGATGTAGGATGAGGAGGAAACGTGAAGTATACCCGATGGGGAAGGCCATGGCACAGACTGTGTATATCGCGCACTCGTTGCTGGATCCAGGCTATGCTACATGTCATATTGCTCATCTACACATCAATGTCTGTCTACCCAAGTCATCACCGACGCCTCGCTCACATGCAACCCAACAGCAGCAAACACACTGAGCCTCAAACTCTTAGTGAGACTTGCCAGGGGCACCGCAAGGGCCGACGTGGTCGTGCGTGGCCGCCGCGTGGACGCCCGACCTCTCCCAGAGCTGGGCGCGGTCCGAGGCCCAGCGCCTCTTGCGCATGTCGACCGGCTCCAGGGACTCGAAGCTCATGGCGTACTTGGCGACCGAGTTGGCGATGCTCTTGGTGTTGAGCAGGTACGCCTCGTGGTTGAGGTTGTTGATATCGTCGCCGGCCAGGTGGTAGTTGACGTCGTACGCGACGCCCGCCTCGCCGCCAAAGAGTGCCGCCTCCTCCTCCGTCTTGACACCCTCGGCGCCGGTGAACAGGCCGCCGGACGGGATGCCGTTCTCGATAAAGGCCGCGTAGTCGGAGCGGCCGCTAAAGTCGGTGGGCACGTGGGCGGCCCCGTTGCGTTCGTAAAACTCCTCAAACTCCTTCTCGATGGCGTCGGAGCCGGGGGGGCCCGTCAGGCCAAAGGCGTTGCCGTCACCGTCGTAGATGCCGTACATGTAGTTGGGGGAGGCAATCTGCCATCGTTAGCGAGTGTCTTTGAGTATTCCAGGAACGTAGGAAGATACCCACCATGTCAAAGTTGAGGTAGGCGCGCATCTTGGCCAGCTCCGCGTCCGACGTGTTCAGCTGCTTGACGTAGTAGTAGGAGCCGAGCTTGCCAAACTCCTCGGCGCCCCAAAAGGCGAAGCGCACGGCATTCTTGATCTTGAAGCCGGCCAGGGCCTCGGCGACGCGGAGGACACCGACGGAGCCCGAGCCGTCGTCGTTGATGCCAGGGCCGGCAAAGACGGAGTCCGAGTGGCCACCCAGGATCAGGACATTGTCGTGGTCACCGGCCTTGGTCTCGGCAATGACGTTGTAGTTGACGCGCGACTCGACGACGGCGTCGAGGCTCAGCTCGGCCTCGACGTCGCCTGCCGCGAGCTGCTCCAGGAGGGGCTGGGCGGCCTCCTGGCTGATGGTGACGGTGGGCGCGTAGTCGCCAAAGGGATCGCCCAGGGTAGCGGTCAGAGGGCCTTCCACGTTATTGTAGATGATCAGGCCTGCGGCGCCCGCCGCCTTGGCCGCGGTGCTCTTGGCGCCAAAGGCACATTCGCCACGCGAGAGCAGGGCAATGTTGCCCGCGACCTCGGCGGGGAAGTCCTCTGCGGTGCAGCCCAGACCCTCGACCGCGATTAGGGGCCCGCTGAGCTCGCCGCCGGACGTGTAGGTGGCAGGTGTCGAGTCGACCTCCTCGCCGGCCACGGTCAGGCTGCCGGCGGCCCGGGCAAAGAGCTCGGTAAAGGGCTGCTTGACCACGTCGTAGTAGTCGAGGCTGTCGAGGGTGTCGTACAGCCAGTCGACGGTGGCGTTGTGACCGCCGCCGCCAAAGGCACGGTTACCCCCGTTGGCATCGGCAAAGTCCTGCAGCTTCTGCGAGCCGGCCAGCAGGTCCTCGAGGTTGATGAGCGCCTGCAGCTTGTCCGAGTCAACCCAGCCCTTGGTGCAGTTCTTGGCCTGGCTCAGAGCGGGCAGGGACAGGGCGGCGGCGGCGGCGGCGGCCCCGCGGAGGGTGCTGGTGGTCTTCATCTTGGGGTGGGTTGATGTTCAAGACGGGAGAGTGCGGAGGACGATGGACACATGCTGAAGAGTCTCGGTGGGCGCACCCACGACTTTTGTAGGCCAGCAAACATTCCAGCCTGTGTGTTCGTGTCCCATGTCCATCCATGTGGCCTTCTGTCTGACCCCTGCGTGTCTGCGTGATCGCGTTATCTTTCGCCAATTGCCCCGTCGAGGCGAGGAGCGCCAGCCAGTCCAGGGGCGTCGCGGTCCCAGGCCCAGGGCCACAGACTCGTTGTCGACGCCGCGGCTCCCACTTCCAAGCCTCCAAGCCTCCAAGCCTCGCAGCCTCCAGCCCCCCCAAGCAAGAAGGCGTCGATGCGCAAGGGGAACTGCCTGATCGGGCGCTCTTCCATGCGTTCTAGACAGGGACTTCTGTCTCGCGCGGCCGCGTGCGGGGGTGGAACTTGGAAACGGTGGATGTCCGTCGACGGCACTTTTTTATGCTTCTTGGCACATGCAGACGATTGTTGGCCGTCGCGGCGAATCAGCAGCCTCAATTCCTCCGTCGCCCAGACACCCCCCAAGCCCACCGCACGTCGATCTAGCGCCGGAATGGCAGGTCAGCACGCAGTGGCGTCGATATGCTTGCTGCTGCCGCATCCACTTGTCGACAACAACCTCGGACACGGGTAGGAAGAACAAGCCAGTGTCTGTCGGTCAGATAGAGGCACTATAGCCATCCGCTGCTGGTCGGCGATAAGATGGTCCTCTTGTTAGTCGAGTGATCAAAGGTGGGCCAGCTCGACTTGTATTGCCTACCCTGCACCAAGTCACCACCGCCTCATCGTGCGCGGTACATCTGCATGGGCCGTGGTGTACCTTTCCCTGCCCCACGAGCCTCTCTTCCCTCCTACACTTCAAGCTTATTTATATTCAGTTCCGGTGGCCGTGTGCGGGATGTGTCCAGGTCCACCAGGCGTCGGGTCCGGGTAGCTCCGGTAGTCTCCACTATAACGGCCCGGAGTCCGAGTCCGGATCCCGACCGGTGACCTCGGGGCGGAAGCAAGTACTATTTGGACTTGCCAATGTGGCTTCTAATGGAGACACTCACGGATAGTCCGGGCTCCTCCTTGCTGGCTTGCGCGGCGTTGACAAACTTGCCATAAACAGCGTGTCCTCGTCTGACAGCGGGCATGGTCGACCCAGCTCCCGATATGGAGAGTTCCGTCATCATTGTTTGGCTATATCCCCCACACAAATAAGACACCAGGCGGCGGTGGGAGCGGGACTCTGCCAGTGAGCTTGCCCGTCCACAGCGTGGATTCAACATGTTCTCTCGCACACAAGGACGTGAAGCGATGCACGGTTCGAGAACACGCCCTGGAACGAGACACTGTTTCCATCTGAACGGTCCTACAAACAAACGCATTGAATCCCATTTCCAATATTTTCTGAAAGGGGTCCTTCACCCCCTCTGAACATGTGCCCTATACCCAGTCTCCCAAACAAAACGAAAAAAAAAAAAAAGGCCTGCCGTGCAACAAGAACCCCCATCAGAAAGACTCCTGCGCAGGCCTCATGTCCAGCTCATGAGTCCACAGAGAGGATGGCTGCTTCGACAGATACAAGTACAAATCTCCGACATCTTCGGCCCTCATGCTGATGCCTGTCGACGTCATCTCATTGTCCTCGTCAGTAATGGGCCCGTTAGCAATGGTGTGCACCACGTGAATGCCAAACTTGCTGTGCTCCTTGGCGACCGCCTGCGCCAGCATCCGCACAGCAGCGCGCGACGCGCCATACGACGCAAAGCTCGGGTTGCAGCGCAGCGCGCCCAGCATGCCCGTGAAGATAACAGTTCCTTTGACAGCACCGTTGGTGTCCTTGAGGTTGGTCTGCCCACCGTTTTGCGCGTACATGAGCCGGATAGCCTCCTGCGCAAAGACGACGGCACCGGTGGTGTATGTCGCCATGCTCTCGTTGAAGGCCTCGGGCGTCTCCTCCAGGAATGGCTTCTTGTCGGCGTGCTTGACGTGATACACGGCGAGGCAGAGTTGCAGGCCCTGGAAATCTGGGCGCGCCGCAATCTGCCGGAACGCATGCCGCAGGTTCGCGGGCCGCGTGTCAGTCGCAAAGGGATGCAAGACGCCACCCTGGGACGACTGGCGCACATCCGACGCGAGAGACTCGAGTCGGTCCTTGTTGCGGGCGAGCAGCGCGACGGCCAGGTTGCCTCTCTGCGGGTCGGCCAGAACGCGCGCAATGCCGGCCCCGGACGTCGGGCCCGCGCCGATGATGATGGCAAGTCCGCGAGGCGACATTGTGGTACGGCTGACCGGCTATGGTGGTTTACGTGGTGTGTAGGGCGCTGGCAGTCCTGCTTCTTCCACGCAGTTGAAGTCTTAGTGGACAAACAGCCGGACTTCATATTGACGGGCCATGCGAATTGGTGTACTGCATAGTCGAGCAATGCGCGTCAACGAGCTTGACTGATGTCATAGTTCATCAACACTTATCGTCAGGCTATTTCGAGTGTCCCACAGTCCACGGTGCATGGAGGCCAACGGTCAACATGCAGCTGGCTGACACCCACGCACGGCACACGACCAGACCTGTGGAGACAGACTGCATGTGAGTTCTTATTAGTAGGCTCGTCACGATTATTCTACATGAGCGACACACGTGAGCCGCCATGCGAAGAACAATGTACCAGGCTGTGTTTGCAAATGATCAAGAACCACATGTTCAACTCCCTAGGTCTATTTATAATGACTCATGAGCTACGCCACTGCCTCGTGAAGCTACCACCAATGATAACCGTCCACAATTCGCATTGTGGTAGCAAAAGAACACAGGAAGCTCCATTGATCTAAATTGTCACAGAATAGTGTTCACGAGAGGTACCGGGCCTTAGAGCCAATCTTGGTGTGTGGTTGACCAGTCTAGGGTAGTCTGGCATTGACCAAATCTTAAGTTAGGGGGGGGAGAAGAGGGCGGATGATGCGATCAAATCTTCAAAGCTCCAACACGCAAAGGTCTGCATGGTGTGGATAATAATTCACCGCAAAGGCAAATGTGTTGTCAACAGCAGGATTCCGGCAAATTCCTTGCGAGCTGGTTCCGTGTTCTGAGCACAATCCATCTGCCATCCCTCCCTACATAATGAATAACTGCGTACCATTCCTGGCCCTCCCTTCGTGCCTTGGAACAACCAATGAGGCAGCGTCAACCGCTGGCCAACTGCCGTCGACAAGGAGACAGGATGCTTGATTACGTTCCGAGAACCTGCTTCGTCATCAGGAATGGCTGTACAAGAGTCAAGACGCAACGTACAGCGGATCATGACGATCACGCCAGAAGACTGGAACCCAGCAGTGCCTAGCTGGGAAGGGCAGTGTTGATCAGAATCTGAATTTCCTCACAGAAAGGAGTCTCTCATTGCGTATTCTCATATCCAGATATAGGTTCTGAACCAAATAACCCAGGCCCCAAGGGCGAGTGTTGCGCATCACATCGCAACAGGAATGGGCTTCTCACCGCGATCACGATGGCCGGCCCGGTGTCTCACGCGATCAGCAACGTTCATGCGCGGCTCTTGGGTAATACACATGCCATCAGCTCTGTCCTCGGATAGTATAAGAGAGCTCGAGATGCTGCCACATCTCCTATCGGCCTTTTGACAACCAGAGCCTCCAAGCCATTCTTCCACTACACTCACAAACTTTATACACATCATCCAATACCGCCATCATGCAGTTCTTCACCCTTACCGCGGCCCTCTTCCTCGGCTCTGCTGCCGCCATGAGCCCCGAGATGATGAACAACAAGATGGGCGAGGCCAACATGAAGATGGACATGGCCGCGCGCCAGGAGATGGCCCCCCAGGGCGGTGCCACCCTCGGTAAGAATACGCTCTATCTTCATTGCTTTTTGTAGCTCACATAACGTTAGGCACGCTGCTCGCTGCTGTCGACACCATTGTCGGTCAGGTTGCCGATCAGGTCAAGGACCTGAAGGAGCCCGCCACGGCTCTGCAGGATGCCATCAAGGACTTTGAGGATGCCGCCAAGGATGCTGAGGTCCCCGAGGGCGATAAGAAGGACAACTAAACGGGCCTGACATCTGGTAGAAAGACTTTGTACAATGTCCTCGCCATTCGCTGGCTCAGACTTACCCCTGGCATTTTGGCAAGACACAATGAATGCATTACATTTTGAAAAATTCCTGTGCCTATAGTATCCCATTCGTGACACATCACCTATTAAAGTAGCCAAATGAAGGCGGACGCAGCAGATAGACTTCATAAGCAGGCGTTGCGGCAGCCATCCAAAAAGGGGGAGGCTATCCCATCGTCGCCTTGACAGCTTTCCCACGAAAGTCCAAGAGGAAAAATGGCATGAAGGGCAGGTGTTTGATAGAGAGCTGAATAAGAAGTCTTTGTAAATCTCGTATCGTCGTCTAACCAGTCCAATTGTAACCTTCGAAACGCGAGTCCATGTGGAAAAAGTGCAGTAATATCAGTAACCCAGATTCAATGCGCTTAGAATCTCCATATCTAGGCAAAAAATAGCAAGCATTTAGCACCACCGGAAATTAGAGCTCTCCGTCATTCAAAACGCCGTCCTAGTTGTTGTCTCTCGCCGGGTCAGCTGGTTTCCCACTTCTAAGCTGTGAGCCGACAACGCCGTCCAGGAAAAGTCCCTCGCTGAGCTTCTTGGTCACAAATTCGGGATCTGGCTCGTCGGCTCCGATAAATGTCCAACTCTCCTCGTCTTCGTCGTCGAAATCGCCTCCCTGCGATGCGCTGGTCGATGCGGGTACGGGATGATTCTTGCCAGCCTTGCGCTCGACGAGACTCTTGGAATACTCGAGATCGCGATAGATGGCTTGGATGGCCGTATCAACCCCGTCCTCCTATGTCACGTTAGCATATGCGCACAGTTTACACGCTGGCAAGACTCACTGCGCGGATCTGTTCACCCAACACCCGCGCTTTCACAATCATGCGCTCGTTTCGCGTGGCCTCCCAGAGCGCCCTGCCAAAGGCATTGGTGCCCCATTTCTTCAGTGCAATACCCACGCCTAGATCTTCCACGCGCCCCGCAAAGAAGTTTTGGTCGCCGAAGAAGGGTCTGATGATTGTGGGAATGCCCGCGCGGAGACTGGCGCCCGTCGTACCCGAGCCTCCATGGTGAGCCGCCGCATCGATCTGCCGAAAGAGCCAGTCATGTGGCGCACTCTTGATCACGAAGATGTCGGACGGCATTTCGGGCTCTTCTGGGTGCGGTGTTGCGGCACTGCCGTCTGTGGCAGCACCGCGTTCGGACCAGCCTTTGGACAATATGCAGCGAACGTCGGCCTTTTGGACTGCATCAATAACTTCCCGCGTCATCTTGGGCGTATCTTCCACAATGATGGATCCGAATCCGACGTATACGAGCTTTTTGCCATCAGCCCTCGCCTTCTTGATGAATTCGGCGAGATCTGATGGCGGCTCGTAGCCGCCTGCCTCGTCCAAGAACCAATACCCAGTCACACGCACCCAGTCAGAAAAGTCCAGCGGGGGCGCGACAACGCTTGGGCTAAAATTGTACAGAAAAGGCACCTTGTTGGGTTGCATCTTCTCCAGGCTCGTGTTCGGAAGACCCAGGGTGCTGTTCCGCCATCGGTTCACCTGGTAGGATGTGGCTTTCCAGAACAGGTTATCGAACATGATGTACGTCATGTAGTTGTAGGCACCTCCCAGCCGGGACTCTGGCATGACGAAGGCGTGCGGATACGCTCTTGTGCGGGTCCATGGCATGGTGAAGGCTCGGAAATAGGGTATCCTCAGTCTCTCGGCGATGTGAATACCAGCCATGGCTGAGGGCGATTCGATCAAGAGGTCTGTATTCTGGCAAGCCTCCCAAGCAGAGTGCAACAGGCTATCGAGCCACCCTCGGAAGGTTGCGTTGGCTTCACGAAGGAAAGCAAGGGTGAATGTCCCATGCTCAATGCAAAGTCGCATAAGCGAGCCCGGATCACCTGCTATCTCGGCAAACTCAATGCCGTGCGACTCAATCCATGGCTGGAACTCTTGGTGCGTCGCAATTTTCACTCTGTGTCCGTCCGCGATAAGCCCCTTGCACAGCGCAATGTATGGCTGCACATCGCCTCGCGAGCCGATGGTCAAGCAGGTGATTCTCATAGATTCCTTAGGCTTGAAGCTGATGATCGACAAATCCTGGCCCTCGAGTATCGTTGGAACATGTTCGAGGCCAGTCGTGCGCAGGGCTTGTTGCGGCTCGTGGTCCGGATTACCCATCTCGCGGGCCGACTTGAGTGCTTTATGCTCGAACAGAGCGGACTGCTCCTCAGCCTCTTCTTCCTCATACAGACGTCCGGATTCCTTCAAGTACCGTGTCGTTTCTAGACTCCTCAGTAGCGTGACCGCACAATCGTCTCGGTCGACCGCGAGATTAAACTCAAAGAATATCTCCTCATGGCCCTTGATAATGACCACGAGCCCCGAGTATCCCAACCGAAAGCCTTTCTCCTTGTGAACGTTCTCCACATCCTGCAACGGCAGGATGAGTTTAGTCCGCGTTCCCGGTAGCAAGCTACGGAAGCAAAAGTAGCGATTGCTCAAGTAAATCTTACCATAGAGAGGTAATACACGGAACAAATGACCATAGTACGTAGCTTGCAGTTTCTCGGCATCCGGCAGGGCAAAGTGAGCACGGAATCGCTCATGGGACATTTGCATTTTGCCTTCAGAGTCCTTCTCGAGGTCGCCGTCATCGTCGTCAGGCCTTACCGCAGCAGGATCATCATAATGCTTGCGTTTCCCTTGCCACATGCCGTGCACCTTTTCCGCATAGCCCATGGATTCTGTCGCCAATAGAGAGCTCATCTTCTGGCGGGTGCGATCGAGATAGTCAACAAAAGCGCTAGCTCGTTGAAGCGAGGAGCCACCCATCTGCGAGATACTTTGCAAGGTCGGTGTTGGAGGCTGTGCCTTGTCGCCAGTCTGTTCGTGCTGTGTGTTGTGTTGGCTCGATAGGCCGGAGTACGTAGCCAAAGGCGCAAGCTGCTCCCTGGCATGAGCTTCCCTACTCTTCGGAGCACTCGAAGCATGGCCGTCGGTGGACCGTGGCACTGTCGGGCTCTGACGGAAGACGGCACTGTCGGTGAGAAGTTGACTAGCCGAGGGATCTTCCAGGGATGATGCACCCAGGTTCGAAAAGCTTGGGTCCTCAACTGAGGACTGGAGATAGGACTCTGAAGATGCGACCGGCGACTGATGTGGCTGAGGCGTTCTGGAACCACCCTGTCGAGAATGACTCCTGGACCTGCTGCTACCGCTAAAGCCCCTGCTGTGAGTACGAGCATCGCGTGGGGCGCCCGCCGTGTCGAGACTCCGCCTGCCAATAGAGCGGAAGGCATCCAAGCTTGATTTCCGGGATACTTCTGGGCTCGCAATAGGGCTTGTGCCGCGTGGGGACTGTGACGGCAGTGGGTATAGAGTTGACTTGACCGTCGACACTTGTAAACGGGGGGCAGCGCTGGCCGTCTTATCTCCCTTGGGCTGTGAAGATGGAGTAGGTGCCTTAACCACCTCAAGTCGTTCGGATCCATTGTGGGATTTTCTCTGGTCAGCGCCCCGTTCCTCCAACATAATCTTCAAAACGTCAATGGCCTCCTGACCAAGCTTGAAAAAGGAGAAGAAGTATTCGTCCATGGCCCATGTCTCATCGTTGTCAATAACGCGGATTTTGCAGGTCTCGGCGAAATCTGTCATGTGTACTTCTTCCACGTCCATAATGTTCGCGATAGGTAGCGCGATCTTCACGCTGTTGCCCTCGTTGTGACTTCTGAAAATGACACGCTGTAGGTTCTTCACCCATTCCTGCGCGCTGGCCTCGCTATCGGCACGGAACCTGTAGGTACGATGGCGCGTCACGACTTCGAAGCTCATGCCGTCCTTGTCTTTATCGGTGATAGATGCAGAGATGCCGTATCGGAGGTCGATCTGCCCGTGAGGAAAATACTGGTTTTGGGTGTCGCGATAGTAAGAGAGGACGTCACCTTTGAGCCGGAAGTAGAATCGAGTGTATCGAGGGTTTCGCTTTCCTGTCTTGGCCAGGAAACCGGATTTGAGTACTTGGTTCTGTTTCACGGTTAGTCGAGGAACCTGGCACTGGGGTGTGAGACTCACCACTGTCCTAGGCACATACGCATAGAAGCAAATGTGCTTCTCTGTGATGTACAAATACCCTTGCAGCAGAACGCTCTGCAGCAGCCAGCAAGGATACTCCTGGATGACCAACTCCGGCTCGTCGAATTCGAAGATCTCCATCATTCGACTCGCGAGAAGTGCAGCGTCATTATCATCCTCCTCATCATCACCATCGCTGTCCTGTTTTGCATCGGGCGCGTCGAAGCTGGACCGGCTCGCCATTTCGGCATGCGCTTCAAGCATTCGACTCATGACGGGTGGCAGCCTGTCTGATGAAATTGTTCGTGTGAATTCAATGGCAGGTGGCCTGGCAAGCTTGCCAATTTTATTGTCTTCGCTTTCGTCCAAGGTTTCCTCGTGTGGAGGTAATTTCCCTGGGGCGCTTTTGGATTTCGACATCAGGCGCGGCAACGAGGGCAGTGACTTGAGAAGGCTCCTGCGCCCTGACACCCTGCGACGGTGACCGCGGGCCTGCTTCTCGGTTCTGGATTGAGGTTGGAATATGGTCGTTCGTGACAGGTCCTCGTGTTCCCGGTGCCTCTCCCCATCGCCAGTCCCTTCAGCATCCTCGTCACTGCTACTGTCGTCGAATCTCTCGTTGAAGTCCACCCTTGACCCAGCGGCGGCTATCAGGCCAAAGATGCTTTGATTCATATTCATTGGTAGTGTTGATGCTCGTTCGGAATCTTCGTCATCTCCCGACGACTCATCGCTATCTCGTAGGCGTTCGGGCATATTCGTATCATATTCGCGCCGCTTCGTCTCGGCTCTTCTGGTGATCCGACGATTCGTCGAGGGCGAGCCTGCCCTCGCAGGTGCTGTGACCTCCGGCGGCATGGTTTGACGCAGTCGGAACGGATACAAAGCCGCAGTTGCGATTCCGAGTATGCA